TAACGTTGCAAGCATGTAATGTATGTAAGTACCACATGTAACAAAGAAATCCTCTATAATCTGCTTATATTTCTTAACTGTTGCAAATTGGTTGATCTCGTGCCGTCAATGTCATTGCTACATTCAAGGGTGCCTTTCTATATATAAAACAAATGGCCAATTTAATTTGTTCAAGGATTAGATGTGCGCAATCTCGCAGAAGTCTCCGGAGGCTCTTAATGCGTTCGCTCCACGCAAGTAAGTATTGAGGGAAAAAAGTTGCCTTCGCCGGGGATTTGAACTTGAGATTGAGGTCACCGGAGACTGGCAAATTGATTCAATGTCAACTTTATTCATCTATATAATGTTTGTTTCTTTTCTTTTATATTACAGGGGGCATACGAGCTGACGGCTCGCCAGTGGTTGGTAAGTGATCACTGTCGCCCATAGACACCTGCAACACCTGGAATATCACAAATGCGATGCCGGCTTCCAGGGGGGAATTACGCATTTTTTTTAAGGTTGTGGATCGTATTAGTCTAGACACACTGTGGCTGACAATGTATTTCATCACAATTTTGTCACGATGTACGATGGCTAAAAGCAGCAGCTGGTATTAATCCGAATGATTTCTCTAAACACTTCCCGTGATAAATGCGATAGAAAGACGATGCAGCATATAGCTTCGCTGGCTATGTCTCTACCCAAAGCCATAGAATCAAGCTTATCGGAAAGGTTCTGGTAGTCGGCAATTAGAACCGATCGACGCTGGATGCGATCCTGAAGCAGAAGCTAGCACTGGGGTGCCCAAAGATGAGAACTGTACTCAGGAGCCTGTGTTTTATGAAATTACAGTCGGTCGGTGCACCGATGTGAAGTACCTCCTCAATTTATTGACCACACCAAGATTCTTGGTTAATTTGTAACTTTTTTCGGTTCCAAGGCCAATTTGGACTTTCTTCTTTTGTTGATAAATATAATTATCGCTTTCAATATCACACTTCGACATCTCTTATTTATTTAGGTTATTATTAGTAACCATGTTACCAGACCTAGACCCAATAGTAGGGAAGCCCAAGCGGGAATGGCACCCGACTAGCAAGGCCTCGGCCCACCATCCACTCGTGGACGCCACGTTGTCAACCAGCTTACATGTCGGGTGTAGCACGGATGGACGCCTCGTTGTCCACCAGTGGTCAACGGGTGAACGCCGCGACGCCGCGCTGCCGCGTACTGACTAACTCAACAAAAATGAAAAAAATCCCCAAAATAGGATTGAACTAAAAACCACTTTTTAGTTCAGTCCTATTTTTTTTTCTAAGAGGCATCGAATAAAATAGCTATGAGATCGCCAATTACCCTCTTCGCTTTTCGCTACAACATTTTGGGCTTCGCCGCAGTCGGGTAAAAGGTACTTGTTGATTCTAACCTCAAAAGTATTGGTGGCGATATTTTAAAAAATCGTGGCTATTTATAGGTATAAGATTTTCAAACGGAATAGTATTAACAACGTAAAAACAAACCATTCTCACTATAGTTTATTAAGGGACATCAAAAATAAAAGTCAAGTCCAGCTCATATAGAAATCTGGCCATTGTTCTTTGGTGACTCATTTCTGTGTCGTACTATTCGTAAGAGGAATTCTTTGTCCGCGCACGTGTTCCCTCCTTCCTACAATCTGAGTTTCTTTAAGAGAGGCATGAAGAAGCATTTTTGCAGGCCGGCAACTTGAGGATTTTTGGTGTAACAGTTTATAACTACTGTACCAGCTATCTTCGCGTTTGGACTTTATCACCACTTAACGTCAAGTGGGGTATAATAGTCACCTGGCTATTAAAAAAACATACAAAGAATATCAACCGCTCGCGTTGAAAGGTGCTGGTCGGGAACCAGGTGGTAAAGCTATTCGTAACGACTAAATCTGCTGATGAAATTTTTGCCTCCAAGCAGGTCACTATTATAAATTAGTTAGGTAAGTGCAGTTATCAGATAATGAATCTAATGTGGAAAAATACTATTCTAATATAAATTGATCACTATATAAATTACATAACTGGTAAACAGGATAACAAAGTCCTTGATTAAGTTTTAGACGAATTACCGAATACAAACTTGGTCACACTTAATTTCTGACAAAGTTTCTAACTACGCTTTGACGTAAACCACCCGAAACTATTTAATAGGCAAACAAACATAGTCGAGGAATCAAACGGAATTCAGTAATTATAATTTGAATTAATTAGGATAATGAAAACAATGAAAATGAAATTGACGACTAGTTCTTCTGCTCTTAAAGATTCGAATCCTAGTAGGTTCCATTTATTTATATGATGGACACAAATATTTATTTCCAAGTTATACTTGTTTATTATTTTATTTCATGCAGGGTTAAAAGTATTTTTATTACCAAAAGGGATCAAGGGTTGATGTGAGCTCTAAAAGATATACAGAGCAGAGTAAACAAAATATTGGTGTCGATTCCGACATGATTCTCTAAACTTAAAACTAAATTTAACATCATCCTCTCCTTTTCATTCTAAATAGATACTGTTGTCAAATTTAAGTTTAAGTTTAGAGATTCATGTCAGAATCGACACCATTATCAAATACCACATATACGTACAAATATTTTTGTTTCACTAACCTAGAGTTACTAGAGAGATATTTTCATCATTATTTTGTTGTACTTCTTCTAGTTTTAAATATATTTGTTTTTAAACATACGCAACCACTACCAATTTTGATAATGGGAAATACATTTATTACCGGAGCCAGATTACAAATTAGTTGAAGAAATATTTACTTGAAAAAAAATTAACTTATCCAAGAAACGGAATTAATGCTGCCAGGTTCTCAGAACACAGAATTATTAGGCTATCCTTGTCAATTAAAGGTAACTTACAATGTCGTCAATTTCTTTAAGATGAAAATAAAATTGGTATTTATTTTTCCATCATCATCAGCCTGTTAATTTTTCCCACTGCTGGGACACAGGCCTTCCCTATGCATGCAAAAGGGAGATTGGGCCGTGACCCACCAAACGGGTTCAGTGCAGATGTGGCCGCTAATGATTGCAGTTGCAGCCGGGACCAACGGCTTGACATGCCTTCCGAAGCACGGAGGAGCTCGAAAGAACTTATTAGTGACCCATTGAATGACCAACCGCGAAACTGCGAAAGTTTCTTAACTGCAACGATCGCAGGCCGAACGAGCTAACGACCTGCGTCATCGAGTTCCTCTTAATTTTCCTATAGCAACGGTAAATTGGTACTATGTCTTATTTGACCTTTCTCGGGAATTGGGAATCATCCGTTTTCGTCCGCTTGTCGGTCATTCAAACCATCGGCGCCACTTCGGCACTTACCTTAGTGTCGCCGCACACGGGCCACTGACCATAACCACAAAACGCTGCCACCGGCATATTTCTTGTAGTTTTCATACATTTTATATGGACTCGAGACACACGGTACGCCCGGTGGCCGCCACACGCTACAAATCGTCGTTGCTCGCTTCTTGTGGCCCGCACTTAATGCGCCGATACAAAACGCCGCACACACGTCACTCGCGCGATTCCCCATCCCTCTCTCCCTTACCTTAGTCGGCTGCTATCATCGGCTTCAGCCACTTTAGTAGCCGCTTCTAGCTTCTCGTGACGGCGTTTGTGGCTGTGGCGTATGGCCCGTGTGCGGTGACACTTATTCGTTTTTTGGCTCGGTAGTATTATCAAAAGCATTCTCGACTATTCACCCCCGCGACTTTAATTCTATTGACGGCGCTGCGAAAGAGTCAGTCGCGGGTCCCACAACGGGTTGAATTTGTCGGACGTCCGACGTGCTCCCGCTTCACGCAGTGCGGGCCCTGGCAGCTGAGGCCTAAATCTTGGTATATAATCTAAATCTGATCGAGCGTGCAACACAGACTAAAGTTCGCTATGTGCGTTGCTACGCCTAGTCGCATGAGTCGCATGAGTTTGACGAACTCCGTGGCCGAGTGATTTGTACGCCTGGTTTCATGGTGTCGCTGACTCGAGAGGTCCCGGGTTCGAATCCCGGTGGGGGCAGATGTTTGTGAGATGAACACGAGCATTTGTACTCCATTCATGGATGTTTAATATGTATTTCTATATAAATATACTTATATATGGTACTGTATATGTATTCTATCCGTTACCCTAGCATCCCATAATACAAGCCTTACAGTGCTTACTTATGAGCTAGGCCAATTGGTGTCAGTGTTGGAAATATTTATTATTATTATTCTATTTTTTGGGGATTCCCGCGTACTTTTGTCGTATCTGGTCTCAGTGTCGGGAGACTTTTTACATGCGACATTTTTAATTCCTCGTTTCCAATACTCAATGCAGTTTAAGTAATTTATTTAGGTGGACAAAATAGTTCGCGGACATTAAATCCCTCGTCTGCGCATGCCATTAAAGTAACAAAACAAAGTTCCCACAACAACATCGACAAAAATTATACTCCGCTAAAATGGGGCATCATACGAGCAAATACTCATACTGTACCACGTCAACCTATTAATCATCGGCAGAATGGGAATTAATATCACGGGACAATACATCCTGCCGTCACGCGACGAGCGGAACACGTTATCACGCAATAAATAGCGAGACGACTCGGCGCGTCGCTTACGAAATGGCGCCTAAACAAAATGGCCGGTCATGCTACGCCGGCAAATCTTAGGAGTCAAGCTAGAGACTTTTGGTGTAGTTACAAGCCAAAAATATTATCTTTTAAAGGTATATCTTAGGAGAATTTTATTATCACTGAGACATGTCCTCACATGTCAGGTCATATTCTCATTTTATTTTTATTTTTATTTTATTTTATTTTATTTTGTAAGGAATAACAAACAGTTGTACAATTTGTGTTACATAAAGATTTACAGAATTTTTATTACTAATTATACTCATGTTTCGAGATCTGCAAAAAATCCTCATGTAAATACACCCGAATACTGACTTTAACATAGTTTTCAGATGCGAAGAACTGTTTACCTCGTGGGTCGGTAAGGTATTTTTTCACGTTAAGTAGAATAATAAGAAAAACAGTGTCAAAAACTTTCAAAAATTATTTAATAATTATAAAACTACCAAATGGCTTGAATACAAAAGTAAAAAAAGTGTCTGATTTATAAACATAAAAAATGCTCCATAAATACATATACAGTAAGCATTTCGTAGGATATTTAACAGAAACTATTTGCTATGCAGTCTTTTATGTGGATGCTGAGGGTGCCGCTGCGCCACTTTTGACGGATTCCTTGAGTTTTTCGTTTTCTGCAACTAACGCCTTCACCCTCTGCTCATATTTCTCTCTTAGTTCCTGAACAGAAATAATGAAACGTTAAACCTCAACGAACAACTTTTATAATAATCCTGATCCAATGTTAGTCTTTCAAACTTTTCTAAAATCCTTAGGTAATTTAAGACTTTTGCTTGAAATCCTTTCTTTTGTTTTGTTAGTAAAACTGGCGTAAATCCAATTTTCACTAAACAAGTTTTTAAATACCTACTGATTTTGAACTGAAGGTGACTTAATTTCTGTTATTATTTCATTTTGTAAAAAATCTAATTGTTGTATGTATCTTAAATTTTCCGATCAATTAACTCTAATACAATAGACTATTTGACAAGTTTTTGAAAGCGTTCATACGTTATTTATCCATTCCATTCCATCCACACTAGGATATTTTTTAATTCTGCTGCGGATTTCAGTAAAAAACGAAAATAAAATTTACGTGTTCAAATATGCCGCGGAAATGTTTCTCTAGCAAATATGGCGTCTTACAGAAAGCTGACGTCACACAGCTCTGGTTAAAACGTTTAACAATACATAATAAATCTAAAGAAAAGTTTACTAGTAAAAAATCTACGCGGACCAGGCAGCGGACGGGACTCGAACCCGCATCCTTCGCTATCCGGGCGAATGCACTCACCATTATGCTACCACGGCCCTATTAGCCGCGTCGAAATTTTCCTAGCCTTAAGCTGCAAGGCAGCGCCATCTCTTCGCATTGTAGGTAACCCACAATGTTTTTTTTTCTAGTAAACTTTTCTTTAGATTTAAGCGTCTAGCGGTTGAATGCTTAAAAAATAAATAAAATCATAAATACATAATAATATTAATTCAACATGCTTTTGAATTATTGCATGTTTATATGTTTTATTATGACTTCAACAGCCTGTTGAATTGACATTAGTTTAGTTTAGTCACGTATAGTTTCATCATCATCGTCATTCGGGCTGGACAGCAGGCTATCCTTATCGGCCGTATGGTGAAAATAGGGAGGGACTGTTGCTACGTTGAGGGGTAGCGGGAACGGATGGCTGTGTGGAGGGCCGGCATTATTGTTTATGTATTAATTGGAATGTATGTAATGTATGTGTTAGTCATTAATTAGAATTGTATTCCGTTATATGTATAATTGTGTTCTGTGTTGCGTTATTGTCTCGCTTATTCCGGCATTCGCAAATCACCTTTGCCATAAGGCGCTGGCTGAAAATCAGCGCTGCTGTAGTATCGCGAAAGCGGTTACCACACAGCATAGCTGAGGCAGCGCCCTATTGGCCTTCCACGGCACGATGTTTTTATTTATTTTTTATCTTTTATGCTTAAATCTATGTTTCACTATTAAATAACCATTTGTATTTCTAAGTTAATGCCGTGAAGGCTAATAAAATGTTTTTCTTTCTTTCTTTCTTTTCTTTCATCATCAAAAAAAACTGTATATTTATATAACTATATATTTTTTAACTGTATAGTTTATTATTTCACATATTCAATAATTACAGAGATATAATGATTTGAAATGTCGCGTGTCGCGTACCAAAAGTGACGTCACGAGCCCCCACCCCCAAACTTTGACGCGCCTTATGGCAGAACTACACTTCTCTGTCAGTTTCATTATACATCTGTTTCATACATTTAGTATGGTTAGAGTGAGAACGGTGTCTTCTCATCGCACCACACAAGTATAGTTCTAACCGTACTAAATGAATGAAACCGATCTAGTCACACACAACCATAGAGGTACAAGAATAGAGTAGGGGAGATATGTACTCTACTACAAGTGGAAGTGTCCGTCTAGTAGAAAGAGAAAGAAGATAAGAGACGGCTAGCTATCTCTCTCTCTCTCTCTCTTGTGACGCTGCGCAGTCGTGTGATTGGTCGGCATTCATCCGTAGGCTTTTTATCCAATGCGATTAGAGAGAGAAAGGCTAGCCGTCTCTCATCTTCTTTCTCTTTCTACTAGACGGACACTTTTAGAGCCACCTTCCCCACTCTATTCTTATACCTCTATGGTCACAACAAAACACGATAGATAAGTACATTTCTGCCTTTATCTTTGTGATTTTTTTTGGTTGATTGACAAAAGAAAAAATATGTGTCCATTCCTTTTTGATAATGTAATGTAACTGGCGGACTAAATATAATTTCGATTACTTTACCCAGTCAACATGCCTATTTTCTTTACCTTGAATATCGCTAGTTGTGTCTCGTACTCTTTCTTTAGGTCGTCGTTGATGTTGGAGCTGGTCTGCGCCCGCTGAAGAACCAGTCCGTATCGTTCTTTCTCCGTTTTGAATCGAGCTTCCATCGCTTGCAGTCGATCCTGTGAATAAATATGTCAATCATGACTGGTCTAAGTAGTAGAAGACACATCCAATTTAGGAGTAGGTAGTCCTATACCTTCGCGTGTTGGTTAACTTCATTACAAACTTAGGATTTTTTTCTATTACTGTAATATTGTATGTCTTATTGTAACTTAATAAACACAGCGGTGCCCTTTCCTTGTGTCCAACAAAGCAAATCTTTGCAGTGGCAAACGATTAATGAATTATAGTAAATGACGTAAATAAATATGGTTTAAAATCCTCATAATTGTTATTATGGTTCCTTCAATCGTTTGAGTTCTCACCTGAAAAGCCTTAATCTCTAAATTTCTGATCTGCAGTACATCCTTTGTCATCAAGCTGATGTCCTTCAAAGATAGAATCGTAGTAAGTTCCTTCATTTTGACCTTCTTGGAACGTTTGAGAATTTACGAATATCTTACCTCCATAGCCTTTACTTCTGAATTTCTGATCTCCAGTAAGTCCTTAGTGATCAAATTAATGTCCTTTAGGGACTGAACTTGTGTCGTCAAAGCTTCGATTTGCAGTTCTTGATTCTTTACCATTTTGGTCTTGTCGAAGATCATACCTTTGGCTTTGCTTAAGAGCTGCAAATAAATTAATAAATAAGTATTAAAATTCTTGATATGTTAACAAATCGTTTTGCAAAATTAGATTAGAAAACTTTTTTAACAAAAAATAAAAACCGATGTCATAAAAACAAAATCACAAACAATTAAGGAAATAATACATTTTCTTTGCTAAAGTCCACAATTACTTTAAAGTCGAACCTAAGTAGTAAATGGAAACTCAGATCTGTCAGACATGCATGGTACCGACTCCAAATATTATTTTGACTTCAAAGTTAATAAGTAATTAAGTAAAGAAAATGTATTAATTCTTATTTTTTTATTTATGAAGTCGGTTTTTTTGTTAAAGAAAGTTTTATTTTCCACTTTTTATAGTCCAGAGCGACAACAACCTAATAAATATATATGTCTGGCCTGCGATCTGTCTTTCATATTTCGTAAAATAACCAAACACGATATGTGTACGTCTGTATTTGTTATCTCCGAAAATATTTATCAGATATTCACCAAATCATTATGGGACCATTTCGCTAACAAACACTTCCAAACAAAAAACCAATAACCAAAATTGGGCAACAAATCTCAGAGATATGCGCGAATAACAATAAAAAATAGCAATAATTTGATGAAGTGAGAACCTCCTTCTTTTGGAAGCCGGTTAAAAATAACGTAAAAATCTCGAACCTCTTCATGTTGTTGCTTGATTTTTTCAATCATTTCATGGTTCTTTCCGCCAGGCTTAGATAAAGCGGCTTGCAGCTCTGTCTCTAGGTTCTTCACTCTTGCTTTGAGTAGATCTATTTCTTCTTCTCGAACCTACAATTTTATATGTTTATAACTACTTCGTAACGTGAATACTGGTTAAATTTTATTTGCGTTTGACCTCTTCAGGACTTAGTTGATAAAGTAAATATTGTCGAAATCACCTTTAACTGTAGTTGCAATCCTTCTTCGCCACGTTCACTCTTCACGCTCTCCAATTCTTTAATCTTCTTCAAAAGCTCCGATTCTCTTTCCTGCCAGTTCTGTAAATAAGAATATTTTGTAAAAAATACCATTTAATAATATCTGACACAACTAAAATGTTTAGTGCAAAAATTCTAGACATTTAATCTTGAACCAACTTTTATTGTAATGAAAAAAGACAATTAGAAAATACTGTACTGATGTGTACATCAACACTGACCACATTTTTTAGTTCTGTCGTATTCTTATCAACACTGTTGGCATTCTGATCAACAGCTGGTACAACTGGATTAACCTCTGGTGATTTAGTTGTTTCTTCAACTGTAGGTTTAATCGGTTCTTCTTTTTTAGTATCTTCTACTAGAGAGGACGATACGACTTCTTTATTTTGTTCCACTGTCGCAGGCTTTGCCAATTCTTTACTCTCTTCTATTGAAGATACCTTACTTTCTTCTATTTGTGTAGCTGGGGCAACCGCTTGTTTAATTTCTTCGCCAACGGGTTTTGTTACTTCCTGCGCCTGATTAGCTGAGGCTTCGATTTGTTGTGTAGTTGGCGCTTCCACCTGTAAACATAACAATACATTTGAATTAGTACGTTCAAATGAATATTCATGACTAGTTGATAATGTAATAGATGAATATTTGTTATAAAATCAGGCCGGCCCAAATGTTAAATATTTTTAACATTACCGTAATATAACCCGGGGTTTTATAAACCAAATCATGTGTACGTAAATATAAATGTAAATGTAGCTGATGATGTCCAATAAGCCATGTTGGCTGGGATAAAAATATGATGTTTTCCCGAACCAAGCACCTACCTACCACAACAAAACTATTTCGCAAGTAAAGTTTTACTAGGCAACCTTAGACCAGTAAAAATATTTGACCTTATTCTCCTTTAATCAAAAGAAAACATTTGGAAAGAAACACAGTAACCTATTGAGTGGGGGCTGGGCCGCAGCCCCGCAGCCCGGGGCACAAACCCCGATCACCACTCAGATGGAAAGCTAATAAAAGTCTTTCAAGTTTCCCATCCAATCGCAACTATGATTTTGCAGAGAACACAAGATTAATGGTAGGACGAGTGAGTCGATATTTACGTTTAAATATTCTTACTCTTCATATTCAGACGCCTTTGCCATTTTTGTTAGTAAATGGAGAAACCTTTTCTGGGGTTTCTTTATTTTTTTGTGCTTAGGATTACCAGTACTTTTAAAAAAGTTGCAAAAGAAAATGGGATCAGATTCTCAGAAATATACTCAAACGTAGCAATCTGTAAAAACTGCTTCGGGTTATGTCTTAAAAGTCTTTATTATACTCAGTTGAATTGAACCGAGTATTATTTATTCTATCCAGTTTGTCAACAAGACCTAATGAAGTTCGAAAAGTCCAATATAGCTTTAAGCGGCAAAGCGGTGGTTTAGACATACATTTCTTACTTGTATGGAAGTCAAAATAAAACAACTGCCAATGACGAATGAAGTTGTATTATTTTTGTGACTTGACTCCTTAGTTCGATTCGTTTTATTAGCGTGTTGTTTGATTTTTTAAACTAATATTTTTATATCATAAGAAATAAAATTTAAACTTGTTCAGGCTGGAAGCGAACCTACGTTTTTCTCCAGACAAAACGTGTTCCCAAGTCATTATGATTATTGTACCTTAAGGTGTACAATATCGAATTTATCAACATTATCCACTATTATCCCAATATATCATAGTTAAATAGTTATTCTCGGTCAGTCATTAATTATGAAATATAATTAACGTATCGAAAATAAACTTTTCTTTAGATTCAAAGAAGGAAAAATATTAATTATTACTTTCTTGAAATCAGAGCAGAATGTAGGTAGTGACCTAAAATTGACTTAATTCATAAAAAGTCTTAGAAATTTCTTACTGGTTTATCTGCCTCTGTTGGCTTCGGAGGGCTGATTGCTGGAGCTTGACCTTCTCCCCCACCAGATTGCGGGGTTTCTACAGAATCTGCCTGTAAAACGATAAATAAAGCACAACATTAAATAGAATATTAATAAAATAGGACACAATTTTAAGGAAATGGAAATCTACGTTGTAAAAAGATACCCTAGATATAATGACAATGGATGAAACCTAGTTATTAGGAGTTTTCAGTGTTTTTTCTAGATAATATACATGCACAGACGCATCTCCCAGTGTGTAATTGCAAATTAATAAACGGGCTCCAAAATCGCAGTCAGTTGCCTTCTGTTTAAGCCCGGAATACGTAGTAACTCATAAGAAATCTGTGCCGGAACCGCAAACTGTCTGGCTGCTTAAAAGTTGAAATTTTCACAAAATGAGATTTTCTATTTATTTTTAATTGATAGGTCCGACAAATGCCTACTTACAAAAACATACACGATATGATATGTAGATAGTTCATGATTATTAATTGTAACCAACAATACTTGCTATTTTTTTATAATTGGTAAAAACTAAAAACATGAACGTCTTTTTTCTTTCTCAATTTTAACTACCTGAACTTCTTTATATGTTTTATATTACAGTGGAAACTTTATTGATGTATGTTTGTTAATTAGATCTAGGTATCTCTTATCTATTAGACAAGTCCGTCCGTCTGTCTGTGGTGCTGTTTCAGCGGCCAAACCGTAAGAGATAGATAAAGAGAATATTTAAGTTATAAGTTAAGAATAGTCTGATAAGACTACAAACCGGATTTGAGTAACGTAGCACTTCCGGTTTTCGAGAAATCAGGTTTTGGTGAACATTTGGTCCACTGGTTTGCTAGTAAGTATTAATAGTATCGGTCATTGGATGGGTCACCAAAAATTTCTATCTCGAGTTCCTTCGTGCTTCGGAAGGCACGCTAAGCCGTTGGTCCCGGTTGCATCTGCAGTCGTTAGCACCCGCCAATCCGCACTGGGCCCGCGTGGTGGGTCTTGGCCCAATCTCCCTATTCCATCCATAGGGAAGGCCTGTGCCTCAGCAGTGGGGACATTAAGAGGCTGATGATGATGATGATAACTATTAATTCATTGTTTGTTTCCCAAATTAAGATAAAATAAAAAATAAAAGTTAAGAGTGTTTAGGGTCTATAAGAAACAGGATAATATGTATTTTTTTTTATATAATATATTTTTAGCAACTTTAACAATCTGTACTTCACGCGTTGGTGGGCCCACCATGAGTGTTGGACTTTGTACTATCCTGAATTATAGCAAAGCCGGTATTTTCCAAAACTGATGGACTTTGTTCTATGTAAAATGCTCGCTACGTATCCTCGTACGATACCATAACAAAACATCAGGTGAAAAACCATCATTTTTATATTCCTGAAATAGGAATGATGACTAATTTTCTTTTTGACGTGACAACGTCTTAAATTAGGTTGCGGCTGGGAGTCACTTATGAAAAAGTGTAACGCTCGGTAACGTTACGATGAGTTTAAGTTTACATGTACAATGTTTTAGTAAACAAAATATATTTCTATAGTTAAAATTTGTGCAATTCTTATTTTCATTCAATTCCTTGTTCCTATTGTGCAATTTAATTATATTCATATCAATAAATATTCTACCGAGAAAAAGACGTTGTCACGTAAAATCTTCGCCCGTAAAACCGACTTTACAGGCAACCATTTTTTTTCTTCGTTTATCAGGTAGATTATCAAAAAGTATTGGACACGTATTTTTTCTTTTTTCACATAATATAAACATTGCAGAGATATATTGATTTGAAAAGTCGTATGACGTCACGTTTGAATACACTTTTAAGTGAAAATTCACTAAAAAATGACGTCACGAGCCCCTACTCGCAAACTTTGACGCGCTATAACTTTGTCATTTTTTGGTTGATTGCCCAAAGAAAAAATACGTGTCCATTATTTTTTGATCATCTAACTGACGGACTAAATAGAACTTCGTTTACTGTACCCCGTCATCACCCCTATTAAACTTATTCCATTTTGTCACTCAGATGAGATTTTCTCACTGCTTTTTTATAGGTACGGCATTCGAGAAATTTTGTTGATTGATGAATTTGTGCCCCGTTTAATGCCCCCAGGAATCCAAGAATTAAACAGCTCGTGTATTTTATAAGACTTCTTGGAAAAGGAAGTTAGTCCATAATACTTTGGAAATACTTTAATAAATATTGAGGTGTAATATGATTAATTTCTCGATGGATGGCGGCACTAAAACGAATTAAAAACAAATTATTTATATATTTTACAATGATTAGATCTATGTAATCGTTAATTGCTACAAAGCTAATATAGGTATTTATAATAAAATAAACTATAAACAGGGCTTTCTCTAATGCCCTAATGAATTAAACAGAGAATATATTTGTTTATTTTGGGTTTTTTAGTGCAGTCAAAAAGCGTGTTTTGGTTTTTTTAAACTATTAATTTTATTAAAGGAAAATGAGAAAAAATAAACAATAAATCGCGCTTTATTCCCGTTCAACAATAGATAAACGAAGTATTTAAAAACTGTTTTCTTAAAAATGCGATAGTCAAAACGGCGGTAAAAATTAGTTGCGTGGTTTAAGAGTTGGAAGATTAAACAGACGCGGAAAGTGACTTTATAACATAATAATATGCGTTATAGTAGACCTGTATATTATGTATTCCCTTTGTCTCGAACAAAAAAATATTTAATAAGTCCAGTTCAATACTAACATAACGCTTTCGAAATTTGGTCGCAATAAAGTTTTTAATACAACAATAAAAAAATTTAATGTCACAAACAGTTCATAAAAAAAAACCGAAAGTACATGATTAATAGTTCCCGATTAGGAACAAAGCCAACAAACTCCAGATGGAAGTAAACAAACCTGTAAATCGCATCATCATTGTAAGAAAGTGGTTATTATATCTTCATACGTAGATGCAATACCTATGTAATGCTTATACCGTACACAAAGGGCTGTGGCCCAGGAACCTACACAACAGAGAACAAAAATAACTAAATTTCCGCGAGTCATCAACCAAGAGGTGCAAATCGTATTCGGTTGTCGGTTGGTGTTCCAGATTAAAAAAAAGCGGCTACTACACGTCTAAATCCGGCCCTGTTGCAGATGCAGCTAAGCGTACATAGGTAGCTTTCCAATTACAGCATTATAGCGCATTATGCGGCATAATGATTAACGTTGAGTGTTCCAACTACAGCAACGCTTCGCACAATTGAGCACTCCCAAAAGTAATGCTTTCGTGTGATGTGTGCAATCGTACCAACTCAGAGACAAAAAATTAACAATGGTTTTTTCTTTAAGTTGGCTTTGATCGAAATGTTTTATTTAAATGTTATCGTTAGTAATATTATTAATTGTTGAAAAATTATTAAAACTTTCGTTTCATCATAGTTTTTTTTTAAATAATCAAAGTTAATTTAAACTGTGTTCAAAATTAAATATAAATATGGATGAAGGTACAAACATTGACTTTTTTTTCAACACTGAACTTAGCGCACTCTGCTGGTGCATTTGAAAACTAATTCACGTTCCAATTAAGCATCAGCATAATTCGGCATTGTGCGGCACTGAGTCGCATTATGCTCTGTAATTGGAAAGCACCTATAGGTTTCTATTAAAATTATAACAACTGCAATTTGCAGCCTTCATGAAACTAGCAAAACAGAACTTCAAATGTCTTAAGAGCTTTAAGTTTTCAATTTGTTTATAAGCTTCCGATTTGGCTTTTTGAAATTTTAATCGTCCTTAGATTAGAAACAACCAACTTAAGTTCTAAAATACCTATTTAATTCAAAGCAAAACCTTCCGTTTTGCAAATTATGCCAGTTGTTGTAAAACTTGTAGGTATTTGATTCTAACCTCAAACTTGTACAAACAAACAAATTAGGAAGGTACCCAGAAAATAGGATCAAAGCCTCCAACTCTCGTCCAAATCGATCTAAACGCAAAACTTTCATAGCTGCCCAATAAATTGGAAAATCTATTAGACGTAGCCTCAATTTTATTACAATCTTCCATTTCTTTACAACGTGATTAGTTTCTCTATGATTGTTTCCAAGACACTTTCTTTTGACAACGGAAATAACTACTTTCAAAAAACGAGGTTCACAGAAAAAGTTTAATTAAAAAATAGCTTCCATACATACCATTATACAAAAAAAAAACTCTTTGTGGTAAATAAAATAAAATAAAACACTGCACTCTCAACGGAAGTATCCAAGCACTGAAAGATGGGAACACGCACAAGTCCTGTACCAAAACTCCATCATCTATTTCGGGATTGCAGACGTGGTATTAAAAATAGATTCCTTTAATAGTGCGCACCGAGAATCTCAACTCATGTTTTCCCGCGTCACATTGGATCGACAAAATTTTTATTAGGTTAATTCTTGCTGCCTTAATTTCCTAAGATTACCAAATAGCATTTTTATGGCGGGTCCCTTTACTGTAGTTTCTCTTTTTAATAACAAATATACACACTTACATGCTTTCACGCCATAAATCCCAAACGCGGTCGACAAAGCATCAAAACTTCAGTTTGAGAGAGAAAAGTATAAACATCGCATCTAAGGCCATACGAGCATCCAATCCAGAAACGATAGAAGACACCCTGCCTGTTGTTAGGCTTTTAATTGTGATTTGCACTGGAAAGATTATATAGTAGCGGGCGCTTACTATGTTTTTCTTTGACTCCTAGTCCAGTATGGGAGGCAATACAAAATAACGCAAATATTTTGTATTGTTCCTCACGGTCATATTAATCATCGTTGCCTAACCCTATATTTGTATAATAATGTATTTTGTCCTGTATAGGGACGAAGAGATTTAGGTACACTACAATGAATCGGCAGTTTTTCCTACCATATCACACCTACTACCTAACTCCCACTACTTCAGGCAATGATTGGTTGGTACATGGTTGGTACGGGGCAAATAATAATACCTACTATTTATTAATAGCAAGAGTATCTTTTCTTTTTCGTTCTACATATTACCTATTCTAAATGAAAAACTACAAAAGCTTTTTGTCCACAGTTAAAAAACTATAGATATTTAACACCTTTATATCACCTGTATTTGCAAATAAATATTTGAATGATAGGTTGATAGACCTCCTTATTATTATTTTATATTCATATCAATTAGTCCTTTACCTGTAAATTCATCTTCTCCCTATTCGAATCAATGTTAAAGAAATGACCTCTTCTGCAAACGAGTAAGTTAACTCAGAGTTTTGAATTTTAATCTGCAGTTTGCACGTTTCACAGGGTCGGACCTCATGTCCTCTGCCGAAGCGTTGCTACTGAAATCATAAACATACTTTATTTTGCTCACGGTGTGGCTCGGACATAACCATAAGGCATAACAGGATTAACAGGGTTAGCTTTTTTCTACAATCTGCATTGAGGATGACTTGCAAAGCCGGCAAGGGCCGGATTTTAGGCAGGGCAGGCGGGGCTTGCGGGCCGGGGCCAGGAAGCAGGGAAATGAGAAAGCAGAGAATTTTCCAAGTAAGCCGGAGCTTAGCTATCCTTTTCAGGTGCTTATGTGGGTACTTCCTCAAAGACAGTAAAGCAGCACAATCAATACTTATGATAAGAATTACTCGATTTAATTATAAGTTACTTCAACAAACTTTAGAAAATTAAGTTATTATAAAAAGTTTTAATTATACTGAAAGTTAGACTATAGGAAGTTAGTCTAAGGCTATAGGATTCGATAATATCAATAGAAACATGTTTATATTGTTATTGGACTCTCTACTTCCTACGTTAACTTTCATCATGAACAAATCCCTGTCTTCTGGTTCATTTCCTACTGTTTGGCGTAAGGCATTTTCCATTCCTCTCCCCAAAATTTCAAACCCTAGCTCTCTCGATCATTTTAGATCTATCTCCATTTTACCTTACCTTTCTAAAATTCTCGAAGCTGCAGTTTATAATCAACTTTCTTCATACGTTTATCGCAACTGCCTTCTATCTAACTTCCAATCTGGGTTCCGCCCTGGGCATAGTACCACTACGGCGCTTATGAAAATTGTTGAGGACATACGCGATGGCATGGAGGAGTCGCGGTTGACTGTTTTAGTACTACTGGATTTTTCAAACGCATTTAATGCAGTTGATCACGATATCCTTCTTGCGCTTCTTGCTCAACTTGGGTGTTCCTCCAATGCGCTGAACTGGTTCGGTTCCTATCTCCGGGGGCGGCAACAAGCCGTTAGAATTGATCAATCGATCTCTGACTGGTCCGACTTATCTGCTGGGGTACCTCAGGGAGGCGTGATCTCTCCTCTCTTTTTCTCCTTATTTATTAACTCCCTTACTTCCGTTCTTTCTACCTCTTATCATCTTTATGCAGACGACCTTCAGCTGTATACGCAAGACACCCTACCAAACCTGGAGAGGGCAGTCTGTTTACTCAACCAAAACCTCTCTCGTATACGTGAGTGGTCTCATAACTTTGGGATTACCATCAACCCCGTCAAATGTCAGGCGATCATTATTGGCAGTTCTCGACAAATTTCACGGCTTCATTTGAACACAGTTCCAGCCATTAAGTTCAACGATGTAGTGATCCCCTATTCTACGAAAGTAAAAAATCTTGGCCTCGTAATTGATAACACACTTAGTTGGGATGGCCAAATAGAGAACATATGTCGCAAGGTAAATGGAACACTTGGTTCGCTTTATCGCCTCAAGAATTTTCTCCCTCCGTGTACTAAAATCTCTCTTGTACAATCCCTTGTTCACCCTCTCTTTGATTATGCTGATGTTTGTTTTACTGATATAAATCAACTATTTCTTACTAAATTGGATCGTCTTCTCAATAACACTATTCGTTTCGTCTTTGGTTTACGTAAATACGACCACATTTCAGAGTTCCGCAATAGACTTAAGTGGCTACCTATTCGGGAGCGTAGGTGCTTAAGGACAGTTCTTACCCTTTTCAATTTACTATACGATCCACGCACCCCTGGATATCTGAAATCTCGGTTTCAGTTCCTGGGGTCTTCCCATGAATTAAATCTCCGTTCCAATGATAATTTAATACTTGAAGTACCTATTCACCATACTGGGTTTGTCTCCAGCTCGTACACCCTTTCTGCCATCCGGCTCTGGAATGCACTTCCTTTACACGTGCGTAATGCCCCAAACAGGAATGCGTTTAGGGCTTTGGCGCGGAAACATTATTTAAATTTATCGCAAAATGCTTGAACTTAAATTAGGATACTATAATCAGACACTGTATATTATTATTAGATATGTATTTATGTATGTATATATTTGTGTGTACCTATTATATATGTTGCTAGAATGTATATTTATGTATGTATGTATAAGTGATTAATGCTTTTTAATGTTTTCTCTGTTCGTTGTCTGCCGTTTTATTTTCTCTGCACCTTCTTTCCGGTTGACTGGTAGAGAATGCCATACTGGCATTAAGTCCGCCATTTGCATTGTAAAGGCAATAAAGATTAAATAAATAAATAAATAAATAAATAGACTGTATTAGCTTAGGAGAGTTTGCTTCCCATGGAAATTATAACAACTAGATCTGACAGCTGACAGTGACAGTTAGATACTTTTGAAATTGACAGATTGACACCCAATTGTTGATTTCCAAAACCTCCAAAACCAATTGAATTGGAATTTAAATTAAAAAAAAGATTGAAAACAGGCACAAAATATAGAAAACTTGTAATACAGTAACAATCATTCGAAGATAATCGGAATTGGCGTACGATTTAATTACACTGACATTTCTAATATCTTAAAATCCGTGCCAGTGCTTTTTTGTAAACAGCTAAATCCAACGACAAAGTACGACAGAATTTAATACTACCAAAGAACAAACCAATCATCTCATACAAAAAATACAATGACTTCTGAAAAGAATGCCGTGATAGGACAGGCACGGGAAGCGTTCCAGATGATGTACCAGATCTCTCAGCTACTGTGCACTGGTTTGGACACAGAAACGTTGACGATATGTATACGGCTCTGCGAGCTTGGAGTAGACCCTGAAGTCTTAGCCCATGTTATAAAAGAAATCAGGAAAATGGGAGAGGGAACAGTGCAGAACAGACCTGCGAATCTACAGCCCTGAACAATACACAAAGTAGTATTATTACAGTGTAAGAACTCAACATAGGAAAGTATAAAGACTGTGCCATTATTGTCAAAATGTTTCTCTTTAAAACTCAGATCAAATTAAAAAGTGCTTTATTAAGTAAAATGGTATGACTTGTTTAAGCTTGCTTTCATATATAAAATTTACTAATTTGTCATGCTATGTACAATTTTGGTGAGTTAAAGAACTGGAACCTTTTTGCTACCACTAATTTCATACTCATTCATAATTTCCATTAAACTTTTTTATGATTTATTTATTATGCTGAATAAATAATTCATCCGGTCATTTGTAAAGCTACAGTGGAAATATGGTTCAATAAATAAAAACTGTTTTCAAATAAATTCTTTTATTTAAATTAGGTCTATTTTTATAAGCATTCATTGAAAATTGTGTTCCAACTTTAAGTGATGCTATCGGAATGCCAGTCTATCAGAAGAGGGGAGAATAAACAACATCAAGACTAAGCAGTGCCTGCTGCCATGTTCACAACAAATGTCACTTCAACCTTATGGAAACAAATAATTCAAGTGAAGTGACAGTTTCACACAATATCCAATAAATACATGAATATAATTCGTTTATAATTACATTAAACATACATGTTCGGAACTTTGGATGAAACAAAACTTTGTGCTTCAATAAACTGAGTGTAATTACTAGCAGTCAGCACGGAACTGAAAATATCACAGATGCAAATAATTCACACTCAACATTAATTTCAGAATGGGTTAACAAATCTTAGTAGGTACAATGAGATGTATCTTTTATTCATACAGTCTTAAGTACTGAAAAGAGAATTTGTCATTACAATAAGTAAAAGTGCAGTGAAATCAAAAACAAGGGTAAATATTGCAAAAGTACACACATATGACAAGCATATTTGTAGTAATTGAATTGTAGTCATGCTTAAAACCCAGTCTTTATAATGTAGATACTGAAAATTATTTTAATGGTTGGATGATAAAATCTTTGAGCAACAAGACTTAAGACTGTAAATGAAGTTATCCTAACTTTAACTACTGAAATGATTGGCTTTGTCCTTGACTCTGTCCTAAAACTGATGGATCTTCAAATATTGGTTGTTGAGGATGAAACTGCTCAGCAGTAAGTCGAGTGAACATGATACCGATGCCTTCAATCAGAGCAAGAAGTATACCTCCCACCAGTGCACTGCCTGCCATTGCTGGTACACCTAAAACAAAATTTGGGATCAATCAAGCATCATCTTTGATATGTAATATTTTTCGTAATGAGTTTGAAGACTATTTTGGGTGCTTCCAAGGACCACTGGTTCAAGAACCACTGCACTAAATGCATTAACGCTTGACAAGTAATTATGCAAGAAATAAATTTTTGTTCATTCTTTTCAATCAATACTTTGTGAATAATTGTTACCTAGTATTCTAGAGATTAATAAATATCACTAACAATTCTAGATTCAATTTTAAAATTTGTTACCTACCCATTATTATTTACAAAACAAAAAACCATGTTTTTTTACATACAATTTACATGTTTTTTTATTATTATTATTTCTGTAAGTTCTGTCAAAACTTATGCTGTTTTGGCATTATTTAAAACTTTTGAATTTAGAATAGAAAAATCAAGAGAGGTTGCATAGCAACACCTACCATTTCTGGCTGCTAGAATGCCTCCTGTGAGTGCTCCACTCATAATAGAGTTCCATGGGTCTTCTTTCTGTCTTAGGTACACCAAAGAGCAGTCGATGGTAGAGAACATGCCTCCCCACACTGCAAAATTGCCTGCCACAATTGGTGATCTCTCTTTTATTGCTGCTAAACTGCCAAGCTAAAATGTAACCATAATTTTCGTACAAAAACGGAGTCCAAAACAATAAAGATAAATAAACCAGATATTGAAAGTTTTTCCCTTTACCATTTTTCTGTTGAAACCTATAGGAGCGTTTCTGAAGCCTTTTATTGAATGAAATATGCCCCCTCCGATAGCGCCCATAATAAAGGCGCCACCAGAATCGTCTAGGATTCTCCAAGGACAGGGCTCTCTCGTGTATTCATCCATGTTTAATATTCAGTATTTACCTACAGTCAATCCAATGAATGAGTTAGATAAGTGCATAACCTAAAAACAAATCGAATCTCTGATGTTAAAAGCAATGAATTACTTACTTGTTAATTGCGTATTAATTGTAATTTTTATATTCACAGACTTGTCCTACGAAATATTAATTTTTTTGTAATTCTAATTATTTTTATTGCACAATGTTCGTTTCATCAGACATAATTTTTCTCAAAGATTTTTTTCACCTTGTCGATATTACTCATAAATTCTAATGAAGCAAAGGAACAGGCGCCTATACTGCCAAAGACAATCATTGCTGTGCAACCAAGAACTTGTGGCACTCGTTGCAGGTGATTATGTTGTGAAATCTCTGAATGTTGAAATGAAGATTACAAAGTAATCTATTAATCCCTTTAATTGACATAATTAAGAAGAAACATATTAACGTGTCGTGTCGTGTCGTGGCACGCCAGACGCACATCAGTTTCATACATTTACAGGTCGCGGCAACTAACTCTAGCGCTGGACAAAACTCGGAGAGGATAACTGCATGTGGCTACGACTGGAGAGACAATCGGCGCACCTCGTTTTCCCCCAAGAAATTTTAATTTTTACTTCTGCGCAATAACGGTCAGCGCTATAGTTTCATGCCACGACTAATACTATGGTTAGAGACATATTTACATGTTGTGTCGTGTCGCCGCTCTAAATAGTATGAAACCGATGCGTCACGATACGCCACGACACGTTAATATCTTTCTGGCTTTACAGCTTCCTTTAAAAATACTAAAATTTTATAGTCATATAAGTTATTTACGGGATTGTTACCATGTACCTTGTTTTTAGCGAGTTTCCGATATTTCGGCACTGTTGCAAGCGCCATGATCACGGAGTAACTCAAAGTGCCTAAATATCGGAAACCCGCTAAAGACAAGGTACATGGTAACAATCCCGTAAATAATTTATATAACTATAATGTTAGTGACCATGAAATTTTTAAAACAATATATACTAAAATTTGTTCCGATTTCGGCCACGCGCCTCTAGATCTTGGTCCCACCACAGGGTCACACACACGACAATGTCGATTCCGGCATGAATCTCTAAGCCTAAAACTAAATTTAAATTCAGTCTATCATTTTTAATCTATATTGATGACCTCCGTGGCCAAGTGGTTTAAACGCCAGGTTTCATGGTGTCGCTGACTCGAGAGGTCCCGGGTTCGAATCCCGGTGGGAGCAGATATTTGTGTGGTGAATAAGAGCATTTGTACTCCAGTCATGGATGTTTAATATGTATTTCTATATAAATATACTTAATAATACCCTAGCATCCCATAACACAAGCCTTACAGTGCTTACTTTGGGGCTAGGCTAATTGGTGTAAGTATTGGAAATATTTATATAAAAAAATTATAAGGATGCACTATGGTCAAATTTAAGTTTAGGTTTAGAGAATCATCACAGAATCGATACCAGTGTATGTCCAGTTTATTATATTGTTCCATTGGTGTCGATTCTGGCGTGATTCTCTAAACTCAAGACTAAATTTAACATTAGTCTCTCCTTTTCATTCTGTATAGGGAATGACAAGGATGCACAGTTGTCAAATTTAAGTTTAGCTTTAGAAAATCCGCGTTCCGCATTTAACCTACGCGACGAGGTTCCGTTTTTTTCGAATTTGATTGCTAGAACAGCCCCTATTTTCCTCAATTATGGTGGTGTATCTTATATATTCTTATGTCCAGAATAAATTTCAAATTAAAATATTTAGTTGCTAATCAAGTGTACGAATGATCTCAAAACGGATTAATGAACTTACATCACTCTTTTCAAAAACTCCAACTATAAAAATATAACTTTAATTTATTTTAGGAGATAATAAAAATTAGAATGTTTTATTCAATGCAACAAAATAAAAATAAGTTGATATATTCGCATTTAAATAGAATCGTTTGTTTTTTTAATTACTTTTAACGACATATAATTAAATTATCATATTATATTTTACATAATTGCATTTAAAATACCTATTATTTATGAATTCATAAATTAAAATTTTGTAAATCCTTACTTTGTTGTGCTCACGTTACCGGGTTTTTAGTTTCCTCATCTGGCGACACTGCTCAGCTGTCAATGTCATGTTCATTTCTCCAGGTTGAGAGTTTTTGGCGGGATTTCATCGAGTGCGGTTGGCGTCTTAATTTAATTATTCTTAAATTTGTTCATAGTGGATATTGTGAAATAAAATTGGTGTGATTTTGTGTTACAACCGTCTGGGCAACTGAAGAATTAGTGGAATCTTTAAAATATACGCTATTCCGGTCAAGTGGACGTGAGAATTTTATTGTAGTATTGACTACCTCACAGAAGCTTATCGAAAAAGCCAACTCGATATATTTCGTGCCAAACACTCCGAGAAGCATTAGAATGCGTCACACCCACATTCTAATGTAAAAAAAAGGAAGATTAATACAAAAATAAGACGATGGCTGCATGGCTATGCCTTTGCCTTTCTCAATAGAGAAGAATAGAACTAAAAAAAAAAAAAGTTTTCCAGGTTGTCGAAAAGAAAATCACAACTACTCAACCAAACAATAAAAATTATAATTTTGCTAGCAATCGTTTTGTGCAATATTTTTTAAATTAAAATGACAATATTCAATATGTATATATTTGATCGCTATGGTACTCTCCTATATTACGGGGAATGGAATAGAACAAAACAAGCTGGAATGTCTAGGGAAGAGGTACAGTTATTTTAATAGAATTACGCCCCATGAGTAACTTGAATTTACATTTACAAGCAAATAAATATTTATCTTTTATCCGCAGGAGGGTAAATTGATGTATGGAATGTTATTTTCTATAAAGTCGTTTGTCGCAAAGATATCTCCATTGGATCCAAAGGATGGTTTTCTCCACTACAGAACATCTAAATACACACTGCACTGTTTAGAGACTCCTTCAGGATTGAAATTCGTCATGAACACTGATAATCAAGCGCAAGGTGTTCGAGATTTACTAAAGAAGATTTATGCTGACATTTATGTGAAATATGCCATCAGAAATCCTTTGTGTGCTATAGGAGAACCAATCAATAGTGAATTGTTCAAAAGTAAATTAGATAGTTTCATCAAACAAACACCAATACATGCAGTGAGAGCTTCCTGATAAGTTTTTTCTGAACGAAGTAGAGAATAAAGTTTAAAGATGATATCTTAATTTAAATATACGCATCAATTTGTCGGAAGTAAATGGATAAGAAACCAAAAAACACATTGTAGCCACATAACTTCTAGTTTCTATAAACCATATTGATTCAAATAAAGATTTTTGTTAATATCATCAAAAAATCAATTTCACTTACAAGTTACTAATATGTTACTTTTACATACTGGTACGATATTAGATGTTCACAAGTTATGATTACCAGAACCATGAACAAACTATGTATGTTGAGGAGAGTTGAACTTTATATGTCACTAAATGTGATAATTGTTTTTTTTTGGATGGAAAAATGACAAGGGTAGTTGTTAAATTAGTAAAATTTTGAAGTCCACAATAAATTGTTGTCAATGTTTGTAATGTAATTGATGACTCATTTTACTTTATCATTGTGTGAGATGATGGCTGATCAATTAATATTGGCAATACGATGCATTCTATTAGGGCTGATAATAATGATACTTTTTCTTGATAGTGTTCTAACCACCATTACTTCTATGTATGTTAAGTATTTTTGCAGATAATAAATTACATGATATTATATAAAATGTATAAATAAATTTAAGATAGCTAAGCTTTAATTTATAAATTTTGTAATATAGCAATTATTGTATGAATATTAAATAGCAGTGGCCCAAAATAGCATTTTATATAAGAATAATATTTCACAAAATATAAGTGGCAATATTGGCTGCTGATTTAAAATAAACATTATTTAGGTCAATAATATTAGTGACTAACTACCTCTTTACTTTAATAATTTGTCGGGAAACCAACTGGATTTTCAAGCCACATACTTCATTAAACGAGACGTGTATTGTTAAGGTTAAGGCTGTCTGTTCGTAGTGTCTTATGCCTTAACGATGGGAGACAATTTTAAATATATGTGTGTGAGATTTTGCCGGGTTTCATGGAGCGCAGTTGTGTCTTATTTTAATTATTCTTTATTGATATTGTGAAATAAAATAAGCGTGATTTTGTGTTACAACTGTCTGCGTAACTGAAGTATTAGTGGAATTTAAAATATATCTTTTGTCAACCCTATTTAATGCAAATAAAGATTATTCTATTCTATTCTATACGCTATTTCGGTCAAGTGGACGTGAGAACTTACTTGTAGTGGTGACCATCTCACAGAAGCTTATCGAAAAGGCCAACTCGATACATTTCAAACATTAGAATGAGTCACACCGACTTCGAATGGGAAAAAAATCTAAAGATTTGGCTGTAAAGGTGTTATTCTCTTTGCCATCCCTGAAAAGGGAGAATCTTAAAATAAATGTTGGCAGACGGGTAACTGACAGTGACATGCACATGACAACCGTTGCGTTGTTTGTATTGGTTTACGTGCGTGCTTTAATTTTTAATAAAATTAAAAAGCAAGTTTAATTGAAAATACGAACTCCGAAGTACCAAAAAAATAATTGTGTGTAGTGTAATAATATTGCTTGTCAATTTTTCTTGTATAATTGATTATAATGGCTGGGGTTTCATATCGGTGTAAGAAAATTAAGCGCTGTAATGAGTGAGACCGACGATACCGATGTTCTTTTACTTATACCCCCTAATTTCTTCCTTGTGAATACCTCCAGCTCCGAGGAATCGCTATTAGATTCATCCCGGACTGTAGTCCATAAGCCATCGTGCACAGCGCAAGTGCTCGGCAAGCTTGTCGATCAAGTCCACTCGCTAGAATCAAGATTGTCTAATTTGGAAGTGAATTCGACAGCTGAGTCCGTATCGTCTTTCAGCACACTTCCAAGACAGAAACGTTCTGATACAACGAACAGCTTCGACAGTCTCAGTGTTGACTGTAAGTATTACACTTTCCCGCGCCGCCGAAGTCGCCGCAGAACTAACAAAAGGGAAAGAAAACGTGACCTTTCGCTGACAAGCCTGGACACGCCTTCAACATCTACCAAAGAAATTCCCCATTTAAAATTAACCCAGGGTTTTGATGTAGCTTCATTTAAAAATTCAGATTTCAATGATAACAGAAGTATGGATGGTGATATAAGCAGCATAGTATCAACACCAAGCAAAAAGAATGATAAATTGCTTCTTCATGAAATAGATGAATTTTTAACTAAAGTTGAAGCTTATGAGAGTCCCGAATCAAAGTTTAGAGATCAAATGACCACTCTGAGCCCTGAAAATGTAATCAAAGCTACAGGTGATTACATATCACACAAATTGGAGCAGAGTAATCTAGATGATGTTAAATTACCAAGTGGAAGAATAGTGTCCAGTAATATTTTGGATAAGTATATTTATTTGGTAAACAATCAGCCTCAAATATCACATCCTGAAAAATCACATCCACCATCAATTTCACAAAAGTCCAATATTGAAGATACCTCTAGTATGAGTTGTTCTGATATAAAAGATCCACCTATATCAAAATGTGATAGTAAGTCCCCAAGTATAAGAAAACTGAATTTCTCTGATACTAAGGATGTGCAACCTACTTCGACCCCAAAAAGATTGCCACCACAGAGGACCAGTAGCTTAGATTCGTTCAGGCCATCCTCTCACAAAATATATGATAGAGCAACTAAAGTCCTGGAACATTACAAGTCACAGAATTACAGTCGTACAGAACCAAACTCAATGATTAATTCAAACTATTTGATATCTCCTAAAAAGGAAGAATTTAAGATGCCACAAATGAGACCTTATAGATATGATAATAAAGAAAGTGCGAGTACTGCTTCAATGCAAAATAAGTTGATAGATTCAATTGATACTGACTTGCTAAGTTTAAGTGACCTTTGGGGAGAAAAGGGGGAGAAACTAGAGCGAGGTGAGAGTTTGAAGTTGGAAGAGGAACGGTTGAAAAGAGAGGTAAGATTAATATCAAGCTACAATTCCCATCCTGGCCTGTCAGGGATTTGTGGGACTATAGTAAGTGGTATGAACTTTTGTGTCTGCAATAGTAGCTTGCCTGTTCCTGTTTGCTATTTGTAAACTTGACATTAGTCTGTCCTACATCCTTATACATAAAGCACAATAAGGACAGATTTTAGTAATTAGCAAATAGCTAATAGCTATTGGTGTATATTGGCGCAAAATGCTTGCATATAATATGTTTTTTCATCTAAGTGAAATGTTTTATGCATTCCATTCAAAATTGAACAATTAGCTGATCAGGAATTTCATCATTATATGTTTCAAGAAATATCTTGTCATTTTAAGATTAGAAAAATGAAACTTATAATGAACAATATGAAGGATTGCAGTCATCTGGCTATCTAAGAAATTTTGATGTCAAGTTTAAAATGGTAATATATATTTCTATAAAAAAATCAATTTTATATTTCTAGCATTGTGAAGCCATGATACAGCAGCTACAAAAGAAGATTCTGGATCAACAAGAGAAACTAGCTGTAGCCTTAAAAGTGGATCGGGCTAAAGACTCGGCCATAGCTAAATTAAAAGAAGCATGGCTAAGGATAACAAGTAGCCTTGACAAGGCAGAGGAGAGGCACCGCACAGCTCTGGAAAAAATGGTTAGGGAGGTGGAGAATTTCAAATCTGGTGCAGATGAAGCTCAAAAGGTACTTTTACCCATTTGATGTTAACATTTAAAAAAACCTTGTCTTGAAATTGTGTTATTATCATTATCTTTATATATATAATTCTTCTGTGTGTGTGTATGTCACTGAACTTCTCTTAAACGACTGGACCGATTTTGATGAAATTTTTTGTGTGTGTTCAAGGGGATCTGAGAATGGTTTAGATTCACAATTTTGTCCGCTGGACAACCCCTATTTTTTTAGGGCGGTACGAAGTTCGCTGGGTCAGCTAGTTATTATGTATAAATTCCCGTGTCACAATGTTAGTTACCATACTCCTCCAAAACGGCTAGACCGATTTTTATGAAATTTTGTATGCATATTCAGTAGGTCTGATCGGCTACTATCTATTTTTCATACCCCTAAGTGATAAGGGTTGTCCACCCCTAACATTTATTTTTTATTTTTCGACTTTTTTTTATTTTTTTATAATGTGGCATTAAAAAATACAGGAAACCCTAAATTTTCACCCCTCTACCGCCAACCTCTAATTTTATGGCGGTACGAAGTTCGCTGGGTCAGCTAGTTTACATATAAAATATAAAAACAGCATGCTGAAGGAACTGAATGAATATGATTATTAATAATTAATAAAATTGTTATGGTAAAAATGTCAATTACTATTTTTAGAAAACTAATCATTTTGAAGCAGAGCTATACAAAGCTTTAGACCTAGCACATGACTATCAGAATAAATGCAAACAGCTAACAGAAGAGAAGAAACAACTGGAAGAGGGAATGGAGAAAGCACTGGCTAACCAGAGAGAAGTAATATCTAACAAAGAAAGAGAAATTGAGATGCTTAAAGAGAACTATAATACAGTAATGAAATTGAACAAGCAATCTACTGATTGTGTCAAAAATTTAGAAGATGCTTTGAACAAGGTATTATTATCATAAATTCACAAATTTGTTCTGTACCTATTGCACTATCTTGTGAATTGCTCTTTTAATAAAGAATAAGTTGCCCTAGTGGCATTGCTATTTAATATTTAATTAGTGTTAATGGTTTATTAGTTGCCCCTTAATAACAATAAATAAATAAAAATATGTTCATTTGAATATTCATTTTTTTATTATTTTATATTCAATGTGTTCTCAACCTAATGAATTTAACATTTTAGGAGAAAACTGAACATGAGCTTACTAACAGTAAGTCCAATGATTTAGGTCGTAAACTAGAGTCGCTGAATGGGGAAGTTTCATTGTTGCTTCAAGAAAGGGACCTCCTGAAAAATAAAGTTAACGAGGAGAGGTCCAGATCTAACATACTTGAGCGGCAGCTGTGCGAGAAACAAAACCAGACTAGTGACCTTTTGAAGAAATGTGTAAGTCACATAACTGTTATGAGCCTATGCACATCTCGTTTTTTATCCTTCCGAGCAATTTGTTGTCGTTTAAATCAAACACGCGCGTTAACATCGCGACTGTATCACTACACACACGCGTTTGCATCGCGTCTGTATCGCTACACAAGCGCTTTAGCATAGCGTCTGTATCGCTACAAACGTGGTGTGCATATGCTCTAAGTTTTATAAGTTCCAAACTTCTTTTTTTATTAAATTCCTCTTTCTTTAGGCCTGATCTTTTTTAATGGAGTTGTGACAATCAAAATCATTAAAGAATAGCATTATTTGACTAGTCTTCTAATGTTCCTACTGCTGGGGCATAGGGCTGCTCTATGGATGCAAAATGAATGGGCCATGATCTATTACGCAGGCACTTTGATGTGTGCCGACGACTGCTGATGCAGGAATAACAGCTTAAAGTGCCTTCCGAAGCACAGAGGAGCTTGATATACTAAGTTTTTTTCTCACTCATTCTATGACCGACCATTGCGAAATTTGCTTAACTCCCACGATCCCAGTCCGAATGAGCTAACCACCTGTACTAGCCAGCTCGTATAAATTTTGATTGTAATAAATTATTTTTGTATGAGTCTGAAACTTTTACCGCAGGATACTTTGGACTATGAAGTGAAAACGCTCCGCAAACAGTTGGAGGTACAGAAGAATGAGCTCAAGGTGCACTACCAGAAACAGCTGGAAGAAGCCGTGCTGGCAAAATTGCAGGAGTTCCAGCAGCAGCTGGACCACGCAGAGAAGGAGCTGGAACACGAAGCCAGAACGAAAGAAGACGCGATCGTTGATAATTTCAATAAACAGATCGCTAGGATTGAAGAGCAGTGAGTATGATGATTGTATAAACGCTACCCGGTAGTTAGTTTTTTGAGAATTCAACAGAAATAGCTACATTAACTTTACACGAAACTTCGCGCGAATACGTAGCCGTAGCATTAGGTTGCTTTCATAAGTTAAATTATTCTTGACAAAATAGATAACATTCTTGTTATATTTTAGACATAAACTGGAAGTGAATGTACTGGAAGAGAAACAGAAGGAAGAGATAAATCTATACAGGCTGCAGCTCGCACAAGTCAACGAGAAAGTTGGACTACTTGAGGTAAGTGTTATCTTTACTGTACTTTAAGATATTCATTTTAAGCATTTAACTGCTGGATATATAAATCTTAGTGAAAATTTTACTAGAATAATTATGAAGGCATTTAAAACAGGACTTTAACACTCAGTCAACTGAAGTGATGTTTGTATTGCTTAAATACTGTACAACAGGCTCAAAATGCGTTTTTTAATACATACTGTTGAAGTCACTCTCTCTCTCTCAAAAATAGAAACATACTTTTATATTAGATATATTAAACCAGTTTAAAAGTATTTTATTTAATGAGTTTTGTGCATGAAAACATAAGATATAAATATATGTATGAGTTGAAGCAGGTCGTAAAAGTGTGAATTAGGGTTGTATGTATTTTTAATGCCACATTATAAAAAAAAAAATATTAAATAATATTTTTTTTATAAATATTAAATAATATTTTTTTTGGGTGGTCAACCCTTATCACTTAGGGGTATGAAAAATAGATAGTAGCCGATTCTCAGACCTACTGAATATGCATATAAAATTTCATAAAAATCAGTCAAGCCATTTCGAAAGAATGGTAACTGACATTGCGACACGAGAATTTTACATAATATAAAATTTCTTGTTTTACCTTTGTAGAACAAGCTGGAATCCTATCGCCGTAGACGCGGTCAAATCGCCAGCCAACTGCACGGCGTTATGGAAGCTCAGTGGAGGCAGGCGTTACTGATACTCACTAACGGACACCACGCCTCTTCACTCGACCTCACCAGGCCGGACAGCGGTAACTATTTCTATATGTAATTGGAAAAAAGAATACATCTAAGAATAAACTTATTGTAAAAAATTATAAAGCCTATAAATTTGACTGCAGTCTCTCCTTTTCATTCCGTATAGAGATGACACTAACTGATACTACTGACAAATGTACAAATAATAGTAGGGCAGCCCAATCGGGGATTTTTAGATTCATTCGAGCGCGCCAGAATTACATATGGGGGGCACCTTTGCACCTTGTGGAATCAACGATATTAAATATCCTAGATACACCACATGCGCTCAAAATGTGTCCCAATAAAGAAGTGCTTGAACGACACTAAAGCACTTCTTGCTTCACAGCCACGCGCGGACCGTTGAAAAGTCAAGTTGCCGCAGAGCATTACACTTAATTTATTTGACTTTGGTTTTGTCCCTATTCGTAGAGAATTTGCCGGCAACGTCGACGCCAGTGGGGCAAGATTACGCGCCGCCTAAACTTCCAGCGTCGATTCCGGCATTGGATCGTCGATCGCGCCCTTCACAATCGCACAATTCTTTCAACTTCGAAGCTCTCAGCGACAACGAACTGCAGCACTACGTCAAACTGGTAAATATACTCATTGATCAATCAAACTATCTCAAGTTACTTTGAGATAATGTATTTAACCGACTTCTAAAAAGGAGGAGGTTCTGTGTTCAACTGTATATTTTTTTATATACAAAAAAAAATACAGTTCACCGATTTCTCCGTCAATTATGGACCGATTACCAAAATTCTTTTTTTATTTGAAAGAGTGCACTTCCGAGGTGGTCCCATTGGGTCCAAGTCAGGATCTGATGGTGGAATCCGGGGAAATCGAGGCAAACCTTCAAATTTCGGGGGTTACTTGGACGATGTTATTTTCGCTAAAATGGATGAAATAAAAAATTACACAAAAAATAAAACCGACTTCAAAATCGGAAATGGAACTAAAAAGTAAAAAATAATATCTGGTTCATGATATTAAATATCCTAGATACAACAACAAGAGCAAAATCTTGGTCGAAACCTGTCCAAAAGGTACATTGGACGATCCACGGAGCACCGTAAGATGATCGCGTTGTCAAAAACAATATAAGACATTATTTAAACATTTAAAAAGATCTTGATTAAAACGCATCCGTCAAAGAGCAATGACAGTTGGAAATGCAAGCTCATAAAATTTTACGGCTTATTGCTATATGCGGAAGAATATAGACCATGTTTCTCTGACTCTTCGCGCAATTTTGAATGCGCTGTTACCAATATAGCAGGTACGGCGTGCGAGGAAAAGAGATGGCTATATAACCGAACATGCATTTAAATATCACAAATATTTTCAGTAAGTCTTAGGGGCTGTTCAAGTATTACGTAAGCACTATAGGGGGGCAGGGGGGTCTTTGCTTTGCTTATTTTTGATGACATGGAGGGGTGAGGGGTAGAGATGGTGATTACGTCAGCATCATCGATTAAGCCTTTTTAAGTACTGCTGCTCATGAAGCTCATGAAAGCTCATGAATGAATAAAAAAAACAGAATACATTAAAGGAAAAATGCATATAGGTACCAATGTTTACGTAAGGATGGGGGGAGGGGTAAGAGCTTTGCTTACTTTTGCTGACGAGGGGGAGGAGGGGGTAAATAATTGTAATAAATCTGCTTACGTAATACTTGAACGGCCCCTTAGAACAAAATTTGCTTCAAATGCGTTAAATTACCAAACATTGACAAGATAGCCGTCGAAAAAACGACACTTTACGTTCTATAACTATCTTCTTCGCATTTTTTCACGGAACTCTGCGGCATCTTGACTTTTCAACTGTCCCCGCGTGACTGAACCAAGAAGTGTTTGAGTGGTGTTCAAGCACTTCTTGATTGGGACACATTTTGAGAGCACGTGGTGTATCTAAGGTATTTAATATTGTTGCTCCAAAGCAAAACACAAGGTACCTACATGGCAGGGGGCGTTCAAGTATAACGTAACGCGATTGGCGGGGGGGGGTTGTAAAACGTTATGATGTGTTACAGGGGCGAGAGGGGGGTTCGATCAACGCGTTAAGTAGCATTGTTTTTTGTTTAAATAAAAAAAAAACTAGGGTATTAAAATCTGTATTGCTTATTAGAAATCGATTTTTTTTAATTATTAATTCCGAACGAATACGTAACGTTAATGGGTGGGCTGCCCCCCCACCCGGACATCGTTACGGCGCGTTACATGGGAGGAGGGGGGGGTCAAAAATATTCAAAATTTGTGTTACGTAATACTTGAACGCCCCCTAGGTAGCAAACCCGTTACAAACAAAAATGATTATACTAAAAAGGGTGTTGTTACGAACAGTTGTTATCGAAGCCCCCGGGCGTCGAAGGCGGTGGGGACTGCGCCCCCGCAGAAGAACCCACCAGTGACAGGCCGCAGCGGAAACGGTCGATCAACACCTCCAAGCCGCCATGGAAGGCCTAACGATAGTTTGCAATCGTCGCTATTGCGGTACTAACTCAATGGCCCTTATGCCCCCTTATTAATAAACGAAGACTACGCTTGGATTAGTTACTCCATGTTTTGTCTCTGTCTATTGAATGACAAATGGCATTTGAGTGTCATGTACAAAAGACGGCGTAACTAGTCTAAGCTTATTCCTTGTTTATTAATAAGGGGGTAAGAGTCAGCGAAAGTCACGGAGTACTAAACGAAATGTAATACTTCTATATATTCAACTTCCGTTGAGACAAAAGGTTAACAAACCATAAAAAGGTGCTCAATAGGTCGCATTTTATATGCGTTTAAAAATCATAATTTATATAAATTAAAAGCGCAAGTGGTTAATATACAACTTTATAGCGTTGTAGATCCTAAACAAAAAAAAAGGAAAAATGATGTTAGGAACCTAAGCATGATTTTCGATTATCTAGACAGTGATACCCCACTCGACTTATTTTTTTTACTTCGTCACAAAATGGCGCCTATTTTTCCCCATTTTTTTTTTACTATCATACTATTTTCTAGTAAAACTTTTCTTTAGGTTTAAACATCTAGCAGTTAAACGCTTAAAAATAAATAAAAACATTATTATCATATCTTTAGTAGCACTCCCATGATTGAGACGAATCGATTGATGTATGAATCTTCAAAAACGGTCCAGGCGTTTGGTCTCTAGTGTGCCACAAAGGAACAAACATACATATATAGACTGTTAAACACCATACCCTGTCTGCGCGTCGCGCTTCGCGCTCTTGCATTGTGCTGTCGGGTACAAAGGGGACACTAGAAACACCTAAAACTGTAGCTATTCCCAAACTTTCAATTAATGTAATATTACTAAAGGAGATTGCTCAAACGCGCAAAAAATATTGACATACACGGTAATTCTTGGCGTAATTTATAATTAAATTTACAGTCATTAGATTTCAACGGACACCTTTGTATAATATATTTACTTTAAAAAGGACTTTTAATTTTACCGGTTTGAAAAACATACGAATCATTTTTAATGTATGGGTGTAGTAACATTCAGGCAAAGACTGATCGAAGTTGTTTATATAACATAAAAACAAATCTATTTTGTAAAGATCAATAAAATAAATCATTTTTTTTATTACACTATACCATAGTGTAATTTATTTAATAAATAATTTTAATTAATATCCACAACTATATTATCGTTTACACACATGCAAATGTGCTCAGACAATTATTATAGATGGTAGGCGACATCATAAAGTCTATTGCCATACAATTTTCGCCAAACACCTCCATAAATACATTATAATCTGTATATATGTTAGACTTTAAGGTATTAAGGTATCTATGGGCCTACGTTGCCTAAATTAATAAATAAATAAAATTATAAGGTGTGATACACTAAAAATCTAAAATATGGTTATATTAAAAACATAACAAAAATAATGAAGCTACTGAATATATGGCTATATAATCTAAATCTCTTAGCTTTCTTTGGTTAACGAGAGTTTAAAAATTCTTTCTAATCTGTGGCTCATTCACAATCATCACACAGTTTCTGTCACAGAGTACCTTATTATAACCAGAAATGCATAGATGACACCTGATTTTTTAAGTTAGTCTTATGCATTAACTTTAAAAACAGGCAACTATCTGTTAATCTACATGCTCTATATATCTGAATCTAATCCATAATTTCGGTACTTGGCTTGATTTCTCTAGTTTACTATATAACTTTTTTGTTTTTTATTATTTTAATATGTTCAGTGTATATGGTTTATAGAAGTTCTCAGGGGTGTCCGTCAATAATATTCGTTTCTACAGTAATTTACATATAATTTCGAATCTAGGAAACAATTTTTCATGATTATTGGTCTTTAGGCCAAACATGTATGGAAGCTGAGCAATCTCCTTTTATTATTAAATTTTAATTATTATTATTAAATTGAATAGTGGTGATAACGCAAATCATTTGTTTCTTTGGTTGTTGTTGTCTGGTTGCACCGGCCATACTACTACTCTCCATAAAAAAGTTTAAGAAACATGGATTTATTATTGTTAACCTTTTATCTCGGAGGAAGTTGAATAGAGGCAATAGAGCTAACCTAAAAGTCGTGTCTCAGTTGTATTTCAATATTGGTGTCGATTCTAGCATGATTCTCTAAACCTAAACTTAAATTTGACAGCAGTATATCCTTGTCATTCTCTTTATAGAATGAAAAGGAGAGACTGATGTTAAATTTAGTTTTAAGTTTAAACTTAAATTTGACAGCAGTATATCCTTGTCATTCTCTTTATAGAATGAAAAGGAGAGACTGATGTTAAATTTAGTTTTAAGTTTAGAGAATCACACCAGAATCAACACCACTATTGATTTTGGACACAGATCCCGTAACTTAAACATAAAATAACAATAAATGCATATAGATAACAAGGTGAGGTTGGTTGGTGTGGCAGTTTATAACTGCTGTACCAGCTATCTTTGCGTTTGGACTTTATCACCACTTAACATCAAGTGTGGTAGAGTCATTTGCCTACCTGGCTATATTAAAAAAAATAACCAACAAATATGTAAGCAAATAAGTTTGTTATTTCGTGTTTTAGTAACAAGAACTGTATTAAAAATCACAACCATTGGAATGTCGTTGATACACGATTATTACTTTTTCTTAGCAGAATACGTATACTGGGAAGGCCTAACGAGCACTTGCAATCATATGTATTGCGATACTAACTCAATGGCGAATAGCCTGCGCCTTGGCTATTCGTGTTCGCTATTTGTCAACTTGACATCAGTATGTTCTTTTCTTAACTTATAAAGCATGTTAAGGACAGAATGTTGTCAAGTTTGCAATACAAATAGCTAAGGGAATAAGACTTAATGTTTTGTACAATTATACCTTAACATTTATTCAGTGTACAATAAAAAGTAGCCAGCAGAGTATTTAAATGGCCATGCAATGACCTGTTCCCACCTTAAATATATTTCATTTTATTAATTTATTATTTAAATAGAATACTCATTTTTTATATTGTAAAAAAGTTCTAGGTGCTAGTTTGCCTTAAATATTGTCCAAAGTGTGTTTTTGTATTGAATGTTTTGTGTATAATATTGTGATGTTACATAATGAAATAAGATTAGACATTCCCTATAGATCGCACTTGATATTTTTTTCATGTTTTGCAATAAATAATTTGGTTTACAATGTTTTTTCTTTTATTCAAAATCAATTCTTTGCCTTGTACCAAATATAGTTTTTCTTTTCTTTCTTTTTTATATTTAGGTATTATTAAATAGTTTATTGGTTTGAATCCTGCTGCTAGAACATATGTGACAATGTAACTTTTCCAAGACATCATTTATTTTCAGGGCTGTTCTAAATTTTAATCTGAGCCACTTCAAGATTTCTCTACTATGAGCATTTACGTGTATGGTCGATGCTTTAACGGCCCTACACAGAGACGTCAATTAATATCTATTTAAGTTATTACTGACTCTTTCTCTGCTATAGCAAGAGTAAGACAACTGACAACAAGACTAAGGCGACTTTAAATAACATTAAAATTTATTTGAAGTCTCCGAGCACGGCTGTCCCATTTGTAGATGCCTCTTACCATTGAAGTATTTTATTAGATACCCGATTTCTCGTAGTCCTACTAGCAGGGCAAATTATTCAACGATAAATTTTCATATTCAATTATGTCAAGTTTGAAGTTAATAGGTGTAAAAATGAAACAAAATAAATCTCAAAATATACTTTATTAGAAAAACGGTAACATCTGAATAGCGGTTAATGCATCCGCGCCCGGACAGCGGAAGACGTAGTTTCGAGTCCTGCCTGAAACCTTGAATTTTTTCTAGTAACATTTTTTAAATCGAGCAGATTAATCAAAGAGCTCAAAATAAAATATTCAATATTTTCACCTATAGGGTCATCGAAGCACGGCACTTATTTTTTTTTAGATCGACTACATATCCGTGACATATCCATATAGCGTTGCCACTTTATACAGGTCGCGGCACGTAACTCTAGCGCTGAACAAAACGCGGAGGGTATAGCTGCGCATGGATACGACTGGAGAGCCAATCGGCGCAACGCATGCCTACCCGCGCACCTCGTTTTAGGGATGTCGAAAGTTGAAAAAAATATCGATACATCGATCTTTTAAAAAATATCAATATCGGCTTCGATATATCGCCAAAAAAACATCGATATATCGGACCAATTTTCCCAAAAATATCGTACAGTAGCTCACGAAATATGACACGCGGAATAATAATGGAACGAAAATTATCGCCCTAAAAATAGACCCTATTTTCGAATGATGACATAGACAATACTAAATACAGCACAGATCATAGATATGTTGAATATCATTAATCTGAGATCCAGTTACGATTTTTCCAGATACGAATTTAGTTAAATCGTGATATGCCGCTAATAATTAAAAAAATATCGTTTTTGATACGAATTTCGATATTGGTTATTTTGTATCGATGTATCGATATATCGAATCAAAATATATCGGCAAAAAATATCGATATATCGAACAAAAAATATCGATACATCGATATATTTTCAACAAGCCTACCTCGTTTCCCCCTAAGACATCTTAATTTTTACTTCTGTGTAATAATGGTCAGCGCTAGAGTTTCGTGCCGCGACTTACGCAGTAGGACTGACCAAGGCGGATAAGGGTTTCCTCGTGGTTCCACTAGTGGGACAAATTATTTGGACTACGAGGAAATGGCGGTGTTTGTGTGTGACAGATAACCATTAACTTCATAAGGCATGATGACAAGGATAATGCTAGTTAGAAGTGATTTCATGATTTTTGTGTTTATCACATTATTTATTTCAATCTGACCACTGTCTGTAACAGTCAGATAAAACCGCCTTTACTTAGTGGAGTGTAACACTGGTATGAATGTTCAGTGTCAAGGTGGAGGCCGTCGAATTTTGCCCGTTCCTCTTGGTACAAGATCTCCCGCGGTAATTTTGCATAACTAAGGAATACTTACGACTTTGATTGGAGCTTGTAACAGCGACGATATCAAAGTTTGAAGTTTGTAAACACAGCCCCTCACGACAACGGCTAGGTTGACGAGACCAACTAGACGAAACTAACAGAGACGCCCTCTAGTTGAGCCGACCCCCTCAGGTTCGAGTGGTCTAGAGGCTCCAGACGGAGAGGAGAATACCTCTAGAGGCACTCGCCAATTCTCGGCTTGAGGTCGCCTAAGGATCTCGCTGTCCCCAAACCTGATGACGCTGTAAAGGTCATCCGCGACGAACAGCATACACACCCAACAGCATTAAGCATGAGAATCGAAGTAAAGACTTGACTTATCGAATAACATTTTATTGATGAAGGTAAATGCGTGTTAAAAATATACATAAAATTCTTTATTATAATACGAACAATAATGGCAACGCGATTTCTATACAATAAACTCTATTTATCTTGATTTCTAAATAAATTTACACTTACTACATACAAGTTATGCTAATCACAATGTCTTCCATTCATTCTACAAGGCAAGAAACTTATACGAAATTAATTTTGAAGGTATTTTACACTTACAGCCTTTTATATAATTATAATAAAATACCTTAGTCGAACGAAATACATTCTCAGTCTGAGATACACAATACATACTAGGATCTTGGTATGCTCAATACTGGGATCCTTATACATAAGCAGAAAGAGTTGCTGACAACAAAAAAATATTGCAATTAGTTTTTTTTTTTAATTTTGATTATAAGATTATAGCTATACTTCTTAAAATAATCTCTTTGAACAATAATAAAAAAAACATAACAGCCATATCATAATCTCTAATATAATCGCCACTAAATTTTATTTATATTATATCACTCGGCGACAAGAAATTTTCATAATATTATTATTTGAATAAAGGTCAACGTTTCAAGTTACAAGAATATTTATATAAAGATTATGTAGTTCATACATAAAAATTTTAATCTGAGGTAAGCATAGTTATTGCTGGCAATAACTATTATATTTCAATAGGAGACATTACCGAAAAATAGCAAGTTTTAGTTTATTAAACAACAGACCAAAAATATCATAGTGATTTTTATATTTACACATTTAATGTATTATGACTACTTTATAACAAAATGATATGTTGGGCCTGATTTCGATGTAATTCTCGAAATGATAAAACCAAGTTTGACAGTAGCACATACATCTTTATCTGCAAAGACTGATGGTGTACTGGTCAGCTTGTTCGGGGTATTTGACAATTGTTTAAAAACGATCTTATGTTATTTATTACGAAAAGTTATTATTTATAACATCCTGTTGTATGTTTCAGTAAAAAAAAAATTAAAACAAAAATAATGCTTACAAATATGCCGCGCTGAATATGTTTCTCTGGTTAGGTAATATGGCGTGTTTGTTTACCCATGTCTGATGTGACACTCATAGAGTATACTAGAGGTGACACTGCTGTCATTTTAACGTCAAACTTCACAACTAATGTCACTTTGACCGGAAGTTTACCTATGTGTGACGTCGTTTAGGCTCCGCCATGCGCCAATACCTGGCGTTCTCGGTCACGTGATAACAGATAAAAAAACACTATTACTTTTCGTGAGTTTTCAATATATTTTTCATTTTAAATATTAAAAACAGCTGTCAATATTCATTCTTAATACAGATGCTAACAATTGGCACTTTTTTATGCTGTCAAATACCCTAATGCCGGTCATGGGCTGGACTACTAAAAATTGTAGTCCAGACCGGTTGCACCGGCAGTCGTTAGCACCCACCAATCCGCAATGGGCCAGCGTATTAGGTCATGGGTCCTTTCTCTCTATGTGCCCCAGCAGTGAGGAAATTAATAGGCTGACGATGAAATTCTTATCATGTTTTATAAAGAACAAAAAAAAAAGGTGAAACTGCTACCAAATTTAGTTTTAAAATTTAGAGAATTATGCTAGATTCAGGTCCGTTGTTGGCCTCGTTTGGACAATACGCATAGCTATTTAGATAAATGATTATTATCACAAGTCAAAGTACGGTATCTATTGTCACGTTTACTACATTTAAATAGAATTACACAGCAGGACGCAGCAGATTATGAAATAAAAGAAAACATGCTTTTCTATGTCTTCTCTTGTGTGAATTTTGGTAGTGTTACATGTTAATTGTTTTTGATTACGGTAAAAGTAAGTACTTTAAGCTCAAAACACATAAGGTTGGGCTCATATATACGGTTTTCTGATCAGCAATTCAGATTCGGAATTTCGTGAACCTAGCCCAGACATTTAGTTTTTTATTAGGTAGTTTCCGAAACAAAGGTTTTAGGTTGTTTTTCCGTTCTGAAAATAATAATAATAGTGTGCGCCTCGTTGAATATTTCGTATGTAAGGACACGCATTCAGATCTCCGAATCGGAATTTCTGATCAGAAAACCGAATGGAGCAACCGTACATATGCGCCCAGCCTAAAAGGGTGCGGGTCTAGACGCACAGTGTTTTAACTAGGGTCTTCATTTTGTGACAGATATTATAAACAATGGAAAATACTGAAAAATTACATTACTGGTACATAGTTTTCGAGAAAAAAAAACAAAGTACCTATTTAGATCTAGGATTAAAAAAAAATTAACTCCTCTATGATTCATATTGTTTTAATTTTATTTAAAGATTAATAAATATAGCTTTGTAACAAACATCTTTTCACAAATTTTGAGCCTTCAAAACAACGCGTACACATGATACGACTGTTTTTCAAATTTTCGTGTTTTATAACGGCATATTCTCGCATGGCGCTCGACCCGCGCCCGCGCCGTGTTGTGTGTTTTGGTCTTAACATTCTTACTCAATATTAAATCTGTGAGTCTGCGGGGGATAACTTTATATAATATGTCAAAATACATATTATGTAAAACGTTAAATCAATCCATACACACACTGCCTTTTACTGCAATCAAAATTCTCTCAATTGCCATTGAATCTCAATTGAAATGTTTATGGGAGTTGTTAGATATCTGCGCACTATATTTCGAAATCTGGCAAATCTTTATTAACAACTTTGTAAGTAATATACCTACTGTGAATTTTTCTCGAAAAATATTGGATCATCAAGCCCGGGATACTCAGATGTTTACAACATTGAACACATTTCAGTCAATCATAATTATAGTATACTCTCAATATGGCCGATCGCCAATAACCCGTTCGCAGTAAAAGATACGACTTTTTAAGCTTAGTTGCCTATACTTCATCCCAGATAATATTAAAAAGAAGTAAAAAAATGGTTCTTTTATAACTGCAACTCATTGTGATAATAAATATTTAAGCACTGTTTCTATTATCACGTAAAAGAAAAGACCAGAACAAAGTCCTTTTTGCGCATTAGACAAAAATATTTTCTTAATATTTACAAATTATTTCTTAATATTTACTAAAAGAAACTTGGAAACAAAGGGTTCAGAATTATAGAAAAGTAAAAAAAAAATATAAAAAACAGCAGAAGCCATATGTACATTTTACCAATCAATAACACTGCCGACTACATTTCCTTCCAATCCTCTCCATCCAATGGTTGTCTGGAAGAAATCGCTTTTGGCGATAAGACCGCCCATTGAAGCCTATGTTTACACACCATGTATTTACCCCATTTCTGTACTGTACTTTGGTGTTTTCAATAAAGAATTATATTTTGTATTGTATTAATAAGAGTAATTTATGTTGGAAATAATAATGAAAAAATAATATTTTTAGAACGTTGTATAATTTGAGCCAGTTCCGATGTTTGTAGAAAGTCACATAAATAGATAATAATATATAAAAAATAAATAACATTACACTTCAGAGTATCTGGTAATACATAATATAGGTAATATCAAATCATATTACAACATTATACATGACACGAAAAGGTTTCGAAACCCTGTTCTTTTGAGTTTCTTTTTTTTTAATTTTATCTGGAATGATATATGTATAGGTATTTATGTTGATAAATTAAAAACAACAAATAAGTTGCAAAAAGAAGATTTCGGAGATTGATTATTGAAACTGGTAGTACTTTCATTATATAGATGAATCAAACATTTATCGATCTATTTTAATGCGTTTTTCCCGCTAAAATAACAATACGTAGAGCAGCCACAAGATTTGTCTAGTGCCTCAGAGTATGGAATTATGTACCATTAAAACGAATTATAACAATAGTGAGATGGCAGGATAAGCAATAATTTAGTATCGAAAGCGTCTAAAGGCTATAGTGGCCGGTTACCATGAGGAGGGACATATGCATTTCGACATACAGATTAGAATTTACCGGTAGAATTTACAAGTGGGGTTACCATTTAGGAATTTTAAGTCCTAACAGAAATCCTGACATTTCGAAATAGGTCCGGACTTTTTAGTCACAAAATGGTACCATTACTCACATAGTTACAATGGTATGGTATTTCAATCAATATGTTCTTTTATTATTATATATTTTGACGACCTCCGTGGTCGAGTGGTTTATACGCCGGGTTTCATGGTGTCGCCTACTCGAGAGGTCCCGGGTTCAAATCCCGGTGGGGGCAGATGTTTGTGTGATGAATACGAGCATTTGTACTCAAGTCATGGATGTTTAATATGTATTTCTATATAAATATACTTATATATGTACAATATATGTATTCTATCCGTTACCCTAGTATCCCATAACACAAGCCTTACAGTGCTTACTTTGGGGCTAGGCTAATTGGTGTGAGTGTTCAAAATATTTATTTATTTATTATTCATATTAAATGTAATTTAAGAAATTCGGACAATTTAAAGATCAGGACGAATGGTAACTCTACTCACAAGGAGGGGAAAAATTAAAACTTAATAAATTCGCAATAATAGATAAATTAATGGACACACTGCATTATCTCACAGTTTAAGCATAGAGCAACACGGCCGACGCGGCCAGGAAGGGGGTTGGCATACACTGCTTTCCCCTCTGTCGCATTGGGCATACAAACGATAAATGTATGCTTGTTGCATGTTTACTCGTGCATAAACAATAACAACAAACCGCCAAGTCATGGTTTGTTGTTATTGTTTATGCACGAGTGATATATTCAAGGTTTTTTTTTGCGCGTGTTCGTTTATCTTTCGACCCACCTAGCATTCTAAGTTTGAACGGCCCCTAGCTAAAAATAAATATTACATAAAGCAAATAGTTATTACTTATACTTCACAAGTGCTTGTAACAGCCTAGACTGAATAAATGACATTTCATTTCATTACAGTTTTGAAACTAATTTTTTACCATCTTTTATTGACAAAAACATGTTTCAACGGTATAGATGCACTGATTTATTTTTTTATGACATTTCGCACCCTTTTTCAGGCCGCGTCGTCAGAATCAAATAATTCTAATATATTTCTAATTATATAATTACGATGAATAATTTTTTTATTTTCTACTCAAACTGTTGCAACTTCTAACACTTTAACCGCCTTATTAATAAACAAGGAATAAGTATAGACTAGTTACGCTGTGTTTTATTCATGTCACCCAAATGCCATCTGTCATTCAATAGACAGAGACAAAACATGGAGTAGCTAATCCAAGTGTAGTCTTCGTTTATTAATCAGGGGATATAGTTTCAAGGGCGGATCCAGCTTTGGCGCCAGGGGGGGCGTCATACAGTCGTGGTCAATTCACAGTATAAATATAATATATAAATATTTCCAACACTCACACCAATTAGCCTAGCCCCAAAGTAAGCACTATAAGGCTTGTGTTATGGGATACTAGGGTAACGGATAGAATACATATACTTTACTTATATAAGTATATTTATATAGAAATACATATTAAACATCCATGACAGGAGTACAAACGCTCGTGTTCATCACACAAACATCTGCCCCCACCGGGATTCGAACCCGGGAGGGACCTCTCGAGTCGGCGTCGCCATGAAACCCGGCGTACAAACCACTCGGCCACGGAGGTCGTCTAACACAGTGGGTACAGATTGTGAAGTGGGTACAGATGGACCCAGTCCAGGGGGGGCGTCATGACCCCCATGACCTCCCCCCCCCCCCTGGAACCGCCCTTGTAAAGTTAATATTTTCCTAGCTAAAAATGGAAGAATTATTTGAATAGTTTTATTTCGGTATGGCTACATCCATCCGTGTTGCTCTACGAGTTCAACCTCTCATCTATATCCAAAGGTAATCTATCCATACAAAACTCACATTGGCCACACATAATAAAATATATGTGGTTTGGTAAGTGATTCACGCTAACGCCGAAGCGGGTAGCGAGCTGTGTTTGGGCTTCGCTTTGTGCACGAACACTTTGATGCATCCGTTGAAGTCGGCGCTGACTAGCACGTGGCCGGTTTGTGAGGATGCCACCATGCCGCCGTCTACGGCCTTCTGTTCGAATAAAATAATAATAATATTATTAATGTGTAACATCTTTCCTCTCTTCGAACAATAGGGTATTTGACAGTATTAAAAAAAAGTACCAATTGTTAGTATCTGTATTTAGAATGAATATGGCAGGGATTTTCACTATTTTTACATAAAAAATATTCATAATTTTACTAAAAACCCACGAAAAAGATAACAGTTTTAATAGTTTTCTTATCTATTCTCACGTGACCCATAACGCTTGGGATTGGCGGAGCCTAAAATGACGTCACACGCAAGTAAACTTCCGGTTAAAGTGATATTACATTGTATCGTTTGACGTTTAAATAACAGTCGTGTGACATCACACACCAGTGAGACGCCATATTGTCTAGAGAAACGTTATCGCGGCAATTTGAAAATGGAGTTTTTGATTTGGTTATTTTTACTGAAATACACAACAGAATGATGAATATGAATTTTGACGAACTCCATAAACATTAGCCAATAACGTGAGATCGTTTTCTAAAACTTGTCAATTACCCTATTGTGGGAGTGATTACGTGAAGTGCAACGGAAGTGTGTAACAGGAAGTTTGGGAAACGCGCGCTATTTGATTTGATTTTAGAACATAATGTTCAAATGGTTTATTCATTTTGTAGTAGGTTTTATTTCTTTTTTTTTTACTAATATAAGGTGAGGTTTCAAATGTTACACATCATACGCGACTACTGTAAGGCTCGCTCGTTTTTTAGTTTGCGAGTCCGAAATGACATTGTCAAATGTGTACAAATTTTTAGTTTTCGTTACGTCCTTTGTGGCGCTAATGTTTAAGTTTTCACACAAAATTTGACAATGACATTTCGGACTCGCAAATGTTACGAATTCGATAATGGTTCGAGCTAAGGGTACCCTTACCAAAGTAAGCAAAAGCCAGAGACGTTATCTCTCTAGGCTTTGCCTGAGCTTTAGTACTACGTTACCAAATTCAAAACGGAAACAGTAAAAATAAAAGAAGCGATTAGACTAAAAAATTTACTACCAACCGTGTGGCAATTTTTTCTAGTAAAAAATTTTTACTAGCAAAATAGCCACACGGTCCAAGAAGCAGACGGGATTCGAACCCGCAACCTTCGCTATCCAGGCGGATGCACTCACCTATTATGCTACCGCGACCTTAATGGCCGCGTCAAATTTCTTCTTGCATTTCATAGGCTGTAAGGCAGTGCCATCTCTTCGCATTGTAGGTAACCCACAATGTCAATTGAAATACTTTTAGAAGTACTTATTAAACATTTGGAAAAAGCAAATAGCAATTGTAGCTTACTATATTTTTAGATAGATTTAAACATCTAGCAGTTAAATGCTGAAAACCTAAAGATATGATATACTATTTAAGGAGCTGGCGAACAAAACGGTATAATTACGCATCTGGTCAAACTACTTTTTTTTTACAATCAGGAGGTTTCGGGCCTGTTGTAAAGGCTAGTTGACCCTTTTTGGAAAAAGGTTTTAAATAAAAGTTTTTTTGGCCGAAAAAAATGTATTGTATTTTTTAAGACCTAGAAAGCTACAAATCTTTAATTTTAAAATAGACGTTTCATGGACATACAAACGCTGACGGCCATTTTAGTCTATACTTTATCTATGCTATGACGTCAACCGGTAGTAAACAAAAACTCGTAAGCACGAAGAAAACAACCTATCTGAGTTCATAATAAAAAAACATGATGTCTAATAAGTACCACGAAAAATGTAGTAATTATCGTTATTGTATTGTATGAGAATGTAAAAACAAATCCTTGAAGATTCCAGGAAAGTTGTGGATTAAAGTGCCGAAAGAAATTAACCTACGCAATACCAGGTTAGAACTTGCTAAAAGGGATCCTGCAACTTTATCGACTCATAGTAAAAAATATTTTTGCGAAGATCACTTTAATGTAAGTACTCATCGAATAATATTTTAAGTCTCTTCATTTATTATCAGTTTAATACAAGTTTTAAGGTTATGTACGAATGACATTTAGTTGTTTACTACCAAAGAGACGTCACAATCATGGCAGATGTGGCAAACAGCGTTTTTAGTGTTTAAAAAGTATAGACTAAAAATTATTTTTTTTAAATTAAATTTCTACAGCAATCTTCTGCTTTTATGAAGTGAAATTGATATATTTAGGTTCCTTAGACCAAAAACTTTAAGAAATAAACTTTTATTTAATACAATTCGACATGAGTCAACTAGCCTTATTTGAATCTTTCAATCAAAACCATCTAAAACAGTGTTAAAATTACTAAATTTATAAATAAAAGACCATGCCAAAACCTCACTAGGTAGATGTGTCATTTAGCTACATATACAGCACCTCATTTTTTATTATTTTTAAATCTACCAAGTAATAGTGTTTTAAAATCAAATCGCTTACCACTTCCTCCTTGTCTTCAGCGTCCCTGTGAGCCATTTTTGCTTCCTCTTCTCTCTCCGTAATCATTCTGATCATATAATCCGGGTTCGGCGCGAACACAGCACACGTGACCAGAGCATTATGGGCCTTAATGCCTTCCCAAAAGTCGTTCCTGTCCCGTCTGACAGACGTGAACTTCGAATAGTCGTGGTAAGTCTTCCATATGTAGATGCATTGGTTTTCCGAGCCGCTGACTATGTACTTTCCGTCGTGGGAAAATGACGCCTTTATTTGGCTCGACACGTTGACATATCCTTTGTATTTACACGATAAGTTCAGATCTCTCAAGTCGTATAGGCGTATCCTGCTGTCGTTTGAAGTGACGAGGATTTTGTCATCATTTGGCATAGGTTCTATACCGCTGATCTTGCGACCTGTTGAATTCTTTCCGCGGGTAGATCGCACATCTATTTGCGTATGGTATTTGAGTTGGTCTGTCGTGTAGAATATGCAGCGGCCATCGTATGTGCCCACTACGGCGAATTTGCCGTTCTGACAGAAGTTTGCGGCGGTTATCAGTTTCGTTTTGCCGTCGACTTCGTTCCAAACGGCCACCTGGAGATTGGACGTGTTTTTGTGATATCGAAGTAGGCATACTTTTCAATAGTTTAACGGTGTTGTGTTCTGGCATGATTATTTAAACCTCAAATTAAATTTGACAACAGTGTATCCTTGTCATTCTCTATACGGAATGAATGGGAGAGACTGATGTTAATTTCAGTTTTCAAGTTTGGAGAATCGTGCCAGAATCGACACCAATATGTCAGTAAGGTTTGTTAGTTTAGTTTCGTCTTCCGACCAAGGAATTGGACAAACCATTGTAATTACCCATAGTGTAAGATTAAAGTTTATAATTGAATCAAACGTTATTTTTTAGCATTCTGTACCCCTAGCACGAATCATTATCGAATTCGAATAGTTTGCAAACCGAAATGTCAATATCAAATTTTGTATGGAAACTTGAACAGCAGCGGCACAAAGTTCTCCTTACGAACTAAAAATCAGTACACATTTGGCAATGACATTTCGGACTCGCAAACGATACGAATTCGATATTGGTTCGTGCTAGGGGTACTGACTTAAATAAGGTATAAAACAAAACTTTATATACAACAAACTTGAGAAAAAAACCATATCATCTGCTAATAGATTAATGTCGTTTATAACCATTCTAAAAGCTTCAAAATTTTTTTACAACAAACTTTAAAGAGAGGTAGGGATTTTCCACTCAAATTGGAACGCTCGTCATACTTATTAATAAAAATAAACCGATGTCTTATTTCAATAAAATATCCTCAATATCTAATATACTTTCCTTCCGTGTGACAAACCCATGGGACGCCCTGTATAGGCAACGGTGCGAGTGATAATGTTTTGTATCTCAAGTGTCTATAAGCTATAGTAGTCGCTTACCGTCAAGCGAGCCAACTAGACTTGCATCAAATATTCGGTTACTATTGTGTATTCGGCCTATTCGGCTGCTTTTATTATATTCGGCCGAATACCGAATATCTACATATTATTCGGCCGAATTCCGAATACTTAAATAATATATTTTGTAATAGAGAAATAATTGGTAAAATGAAAAATTAAAATCGATTGATTATTCATATTTTCATTTCTGTTATATAATCATTTAAGTAGTCATTGGTACATAACACAGGTAAATAATCATCTTCTGTATTGGAAAAATGGAGGATTTTATATATTTGAATTATTGTGGTAATCAAAGTTTAGAAGGGTAAGGTTCTCATTTCTTTTATAATCAGTTATTAAGTAGTCATTGGTATATAAAACAGGTACATAATTCAATCATTTTCTGTATTAAACAAGTTAACAGTTTTTAATTCATTCAGTCATATGATGAATGGTTACATAATAGCAATAACTTAAAGATTACGCGCCGTTTTTGGCCATATCTCAAAAGTTGGTTTTGTCATTTAGCCTCATTTTAGCTTGAGGACGGCAGATTAGAACAAAACAAAGGAGCGCGAAACAATCACGTCTGTACAAGTTTTTGGCGCTAAAATCCAGCCGAATACTTTATGAAATGTCATTTGAATAAATGACATTTCATTTTACTTTATTATGAAATGTCATTTGAATAAATGACATTTCATAATATTCGGCTATTCGGTCAGGGGCCTCGCCGAATATTCGGTATTCGTTGCAAGTCTAATCAAAACTAATGCAATACTCACTTTCTTATCAGGAATATTCCACAGCCTCAGCTTTCCGTCCAGACTTCCGGACAAGAAATACCTGTCGTCCCTCGGATGAAACACTATTGCGGTCACAAAATCAATATGCTGGAAGCAGCACAGACATTCGCCCAGTGAAATGTGCCATAGACGGACAGTTTTATCCATAGAGCTGGACAGAATGAAGTAGTTCTTGGACCAGGAGACGTCTAGTAAATCGGAAGTGTGGCCAGAGTATACGCAGAATGGGGTGGGGCAGAAAGGGGCTGCGGGGCCTAAAGGGGGCTGTTCTGGACTGGGGGGCGGAGCGCCCAAAGAAGCTAGGGATTCCTGTGATGGGGTCGGTGAGCATTTTTGTTCGGCCGCGTATTTCGTCCGCATGTCCTGAGGAGAGATAAATAAATGGATATACTCTTTATTACTCACTTACAAAACAGATAGTTAACTATGGTGGGTAAAAGAGATAAAAGAATAATTTAGTTAAAAAAAAATGTTTTTTCTAACAATTCATCTACGCGGACCAGGCAGCAGACGGGACTCGAACCCGCACCCTTCGCTATCAGGGCGAATGCACTAACCATTATGCTACCGTGGCCCTGATGGCCGTGTCGAATATTCTCTAACCTTTTTTAGGTTGCAAGGCAGCACCATCTCTTCGTAGCATAATGGCCATGGTTCTGTTTATCATAAAACATTTAAGCACTGACTTGCAGACTAAGAAACGGGTTCGGGTCCTGTCTGTTGCTTGGGCCGCGTAGATTTTTTTCTAGTTTTTTTTTTTATTTAAACATCTAGCACTTAGCTGCTTAAAAATAAAAATAGAACTTTAAACTTATTTTTTACAAGCAAGAACAAATTTCAGATATTTCAGATATCCAGCATGAAATTATCCCGATGTGATCCGTGGATCCATAGCTTTATCCATAGATTTATAGAGAAAATAAGTTATCACTTGATCTATCCTGGATTTAGCCAATGTATCTATTAAGAACGTCAAAATTCTAAAGACATTTTTCCCTGAAATATCATAGACTAAACATTATAAGAAATGCTAATAATAATATTAATTTAAAAAAAATCATCAATATCTTTTTTGTATTCACAGCCTAGGTTTTATTGTTTTAAGTACATAAAAGAGATTTTAATAAATAAATCAATGTTTAGTTTCTTTTTATATACAACTCAAAGTAAAAAGTTAGCTAATTACTATTAAAATATAAAATATCATTCTGATAGCTGCAAAAGCAAACTTTTTAAAAATAAAAATATTGTTACTAACATTAATTAGGTATAAAGGGTCTGTGCCCCAGCAGTGGGGACATTAATAGGCTGACGATAAATCAAAATCTGGTACAAAGAACTCAGACTCCAAATTCTTGTTGATTAATATTATATACCTGGAACATATGGTAGGCATCTCTAGTGACCCACACTCTAAGCAGTCGATCTTGCCCCGCGGTGGCCAGCAGTCGGCCGCAAACGCTGAATTTGCAGCACCATACTGCCCCGCTATGAGCCGAGCCCATCTCCTATGTATACAAAGAAAGATAGTCAAGATAAACTTAGATTAAAACAAAAAGGATAGATACGGTACGCTCATTCTCAATATTGTTTATATTGTGTAATTTGTGTAATATAAGTACTTTTATATATGTAGTTATATATATCAATTAAATATTTATTATGTAAATGTACTCTGCAACAGTTATCTAAGATTAGCATAAAGTTTTTAAAATTATACCTAACATTACCTAAGCCTCAAGTCACGTCATAGCCTGTTTTTATGATGTATGTAGTCAGCGGGAGGGTCCTGGTGACCTGTGTCACAGGTTTCACTGAAACCTAATTCAGGCACCAGTCTCTCACAATACTATATATAACATATTGTAAACCACAAGTGGTATACCACAATGAACTTTATATTCATGTGAGAGAAAAATAAATAAATAAATGATTGATTGATTGATTGATTCTAATATTAAATAAAATATGCTCCGACTCAACTACATAAGCAACTCTCACACACGCACACGTCTGTATATAAACATTCATTCGAGCGAGCGAGACAGAACTGCACGCTTCAACGCTGCGCGAGCGAAACGGCGAGTCCGCTTCAGAGTTCGCAGGGCTGAGCTGTATTGTTGTCCTTTTCTTAATAACAAAATGGCGATTACGTAAATAACATTCACGACAAACGGTGATTTTTGAGAAAAAAAAAATGTTTTTACAGTTTAACGAACGAAAAGTGTTGCTGAGACATTTGATTTTGAATTATTTGTATTTTTATAAAAGCATCGAAGGCATTGTTTATCTTTATAACACAGAATATACGCAATATTGTTAAATTGAGTGCACATGCACCACAATATAAGCGGATCACTTTTGAGCCGCGAGTGCCGTATCTTCCCTTTTTGACGTGACAACGTCTTAAATTAGGTTGCGGCTGGGAGTCACTTATGAAAAAGTGTAACGCTCGGTAACGTTACGATGAGTTTAAGTTTACATGTACAATGTTTTAGTAAACAAAATATATTTCTATAGTTAAAATTTGTGCAATTCTTATTTTCATTCAATTCCTTGTTCCTATTGTGCAATTTAATTATATTCATATCAATAAATATTCTACCGAGAAAAAGACGTTGTCACGTAAAATCTTCGCCCGTAAAACCGACTTTACAGGCAACCATTTTTTTTGTTTTAATCTAAGAAGATAAAACATTTTATGGTAAAACTGTACCTGAGCCTGAGAATTGACACTTCATTAGTTTTTGGTGAAAAGCTCTCTGTTAATGAAGTCTCTCTGTAACGTCTCCACATCAGCGCACTGATAGTTTTTGAGAAAAAGAAAATATGGCAGCAAGGCCCCTTTACCCATGCCGCCCTTAAAAAACTTTTTTTATATAAAATTCTGCATGTGGCAAAGCAAACAGTACAACCTTGTCTTCAACAAATGAATGAATGAGACAAATTAAGAAAGCAAACAGTACACTAGAGGAGCTCGATGGCGCAAACGGTTAGCGCGTTCGGCTGCAATGGTTGAAGTTAAGCAACTTTCGCAGTGGTCGGTTATTGGATGGGTGACCAAAAATTTACTACCTCGAGCTCCTCCGTGCTTCGAAAGGCACGTTAAGCCGTTGGTCCCGGCTGCATCTGCAGTCGTTAGCACCCGCCAATACACACTGGGCCAGCATGGTGGGTCATGGCCAATCTCCCTATTACATCCACATGGAAGGCCTGTGCCCCAGCAATAAGGGCATTAATAGGCTAATGATGATGATGATGATGATAAAAGGGTGAAAAAATTACCCTAATATTACTAAGACTCCACTGTCCGTCTATCTGTATGTCACCAGGCTGTATCTCATGAACCGTGATAGTTAAGACAGTCGAAATTTCACATATGATGTATTTCTGTTTCCTTTATTAAAACAGAATAAATAAATGTTTAAGGCCTGTGCCCCAGCAGTGGGGAAATTAATAGGCTGTGATGACATCCACTAGTCTTTTCTTCAAAAAATTAATGAATGTAAAACACTAACCTGTACATGTCTTACGCAGCCATCGAAATCATAAGGCCCCTTATGAGAGTTAGAAGCCTTCAGCTTGATGTTGTGCTCTCCTCTGACGTCATCAGCTATATCAGCCACATCTTCCTTGTGCCGAGCGTGGGACACTTCTTGAGCCAAAGATTTGGCAGCATCCACTGTCTTCTTCACCGTGCTCCCGAAGAACCGCTTTAACCTTGAAGAGTTTTTCAAAGTGAAACTTGATTACAGCGCCTCACGATTTTTCGTCGTTCATCTTCAGAATTTTCATCTTTAGTTTCATAAGAAATTCAGACCTTATCAACAAGCATCCAGGGTTTAGCGGCAGAAAGCTCACCTGCTGCGCCCAGGTTCGATTCCTAAACGATGAAGGACTTAAACTTCACCAATTTTGCTATTGCATTAATTTTCTCACTTCTGAAGCATAAGTTATGCTCTTAAGGCTAGTTAATTTATTCCGAAGCGCGCGCAGGACTTATCCGATTCCGATTCTGGCGTGAGTCTCTAAACTTAAAACTAAATTTAACATCAGTCTCTCCTTTTTATTCTATATAGAGAATGATAAGGATATACTTTCGTCAATATTAAATTTAGATTTAGGGAACCAAGCCAGAATCGACACCAATTTTTGTCTTAAAAAGCGCGCACTGATTCGCGTTGCGGTGGGTACTGACCCTAAGGAACATTAAAATACATAGAAGAGGAAGTTAACTAAAACTTGAGCATTATACCAAGAACTAACGGCCCGCCCTCGCTTCGCTTCGGTGTAGAGCTGAAGTGTAAACTACAGTTTTTGTTCTCAGGCTTGTATTAAACACAATGACATTCATCTATGATTCTTCGTATACCTGCATGCAAAGTCTCAGCCCGATCGGTTTAAAATTGACAAAGTTTCATACAAACTTTCATTCCCTATTTTATCCCCTTGGGGGTAGAATTGATCAAAATCCTTTCTTAGCGGATGCCTACGTCAGAACATCTACCTGCATGCCAAATTTCAGCCCGATCTGTCCAGTGGTTTGGGCTGTGCGTTGATAGATCACTGTGTCAGTCAGTCAGTCACTTTTGAGTTCTATATATATATAAGATTGATTTTTGGTGTATTTGCTGTTTATAAGTTTTCACAGTAAATAGTTATAATTTTTGGTCTAAATAAGCTCTACTCTCACGTTTACTGAATTTCTAACATTGTCTTTGATAGAAGATTTACCTCTATTTTTTATTAATATTCAAACTAATAGTTCTTATATTTTGAAGAAAGTTGCCATTGATACTGCAATTCGAGCTCATAATTTCAGATTATACGGCATACGGAAGGTTTGTCATTACCGTATAATAATACTAACTACCTATAAATTTTGATAAATAAAATTAGGTAATACTAATATGATTTTTATTTAAAAATACGGCAACTCTTCCAAACTTGATAGCAACACTGCTTTATTACCAGTCCTAAGAATGATATCAATCATCTATTTACAATTATCCGTCCATATTTTATGATGGGCAAAAAAGATAATTAAACGTAGTTTTGTAAAAAGACTATTATTTCAAGTTATATATTATTTAGCCAATCAATACAAAATATTTGAAAGCTTACTTTAAACACTCTTTAAAACTCCAAAAAGCTTTTTTATGTTTTATCGCAAATAAAGTAATTAAAGTTAGAAGTACAGTTAAGTTAATTAAAAAACACTCGAAACAAAAATGAAGAACATTATTAAGCAAAAAGAAAACTATTTATAGTCAAAAACGATGTTAGTCGCATTTCAATTTCACCTGCAGTTCATTTCATTTCTCATTTTCTTGTTGATATTGTCTTGAGAATGGGATTTTACCAAATCCATTATTAAAATCCTGTTCAATGGAAAATTAATTAATTATGAATTATAATTAGTAGACAGAGACATTGGTCTCCACTTGCTAAAATTCGGACAAGATATGTCATTAATTATCTTGACAGTGGTGTCTATTCTGGCACGATTCTCTAAATCTATCTAAATTTGACAACAGTGTATCCTTGTCATTCTCTATACAGAATAAAAGGAGAGAATGATGTTAAATTTAGTTTGGAAAATCACGCCAGAATCGACACCATTATTTTATTTACTGTAATCCTAATGATATAAGAAAGAAAACGGTGTCGATGATTTTCTAAACTTAAAACTAAATTTGAAATCAGTCTCTCCTTTTCATTCTGTTTAGAGAATGACAAGGATACATTGGTGTCGATTCTAGCATGATTCTCTAAACCTAAACTTAAACTTGACAGCAGTATATCCTTGTCATTCTCTATACAGAATGAAAAGGAGAGACTGAAGTTAAATTTAGTTTTAAGTTTAGAGAATTACGCCAGAATTGGCACCATTGTTGTCAAATTTAAGTTTAAATTTAGAGAATCATGCCAGAATCGACACCAATATTAAATTGAACACCTAATTTATCCTAACTCAAACCATCTATTCTAATCACGATAACGATGCATCGTAATCGTTGAAAGAAAAAACAAAAATAAAGTTAAACTAATACCTAAATAAATATTTCAATATGAACTTTAACATATTAAAGTCGACCGTGAAATCATATTCATGAAAAATAGTTTAAGACTACATATAGTTAGTGAGGATCCTAGTGGGATCGACACCCTCAGCAGTCGTCAATAAGGCTGCTATAATTGATGTAAAATTCTTACTTTTCCGTTTTCCGTCGTATGGCAGTTGTCTGTCGATCTGCGGTCTCACGTTTCGCCTCTTTGGTCTCGTCTTCGGCGCCGCCAACGCAAACGCTCTCACTCTCTTCATCGGTCTCCCTACATGCAAAAAGTAAATATGTCACAAACCTAGCAAATAAGTAAGGCAAACAATGAGGGTTTTCCGGAATGATAGGCGCCAGATGGCAGCACTGAGACGAAAGGTCTGCTCATCCGTCAAATCACATATATCGTCATAGTCTACGGACCAATTGAAACGTTTGTTCGATTAATTCGCATCAAAAGCTTCATGCATAAGACCTCTTGACACAGTGGCGCCAAATAGTGACGTAAATTTTCCTATTCACCCTCAATGGTTGCTTTCCAATTACAGAGCATAATGCGACTCAGTGCCGCATAATGCTGAATTATGCTGATGCGTAATTGGAACGTGAATTAGTTTTCAAATGCACCAGCAGAGTGAGCTAAGTTCAGTGTTGAAAAAAAAAGTCAATGTTTGTACCTTCATCCATACTTATATTTATTTTTTAACAGTTTGAATGAACTTTGAGTATTTAAAAAAACTATTTAATGAAACGAAAGCTTTAATAATTTTTCAACAATAAATAATATTACTAACGATAACATATAATTAAAACATTTCGATCAATGCCAACTTAAAGAAAAAACACTTGTTAATTTTCTGTCTCTAAGTTGGTACGAATGCACGCATCACACGAAAGCATTACTTTTGAGAGTGCTCAATTGTGCGAAGCGTTGCTGTAGTTGGAACACTCAACGTTAAGCATTATGCCGCATAATGCGCTATAATGCTGTAATTGGAAAGCAACCATTGTCTTCTTTGGTGGCTTGGTGAACACACTGAGGAGGCTGTAAGATTTAAACCAATTGAGATCATATTCCATTCATTTCGAGTACACTTTTGGAGTTTTTTTAAAAAGTAACAAATAGTTTTGGTGCAAATTCGAATTCAAAAAAGGAATTGAATAAAAAAAATATGGTTGCAAATTTCATTGAAGAAACTATAAGAAATACATAACTCGGTAATACATTTTGTGCTTTATGCTTGAGCAAAAAAGCGTTCTAGCACAAAATCTACATCTATAGAGTGGGCGAGAACTGATAGTACAGTCAATCTGTAGGTTGAGTGGTGAAAAAAAAACCTAAAGGGTAAGTCTTGTTTTTTCTGTTGCCAAATGACGTCAGTAAGCCACCTTGGCGATGGGCATGTTCAACTCGTAGGCGTTTATTAAAAAAACTCAAAAAAACCCTCAAAAATTTTTTGAAACGCATTTTTCTTGTTTTGTATACATTTTAGAAACTTTTTTTCGACCATAACTGTAGAGGGCGTTGAGTACTACAATTTATGTCAGTGTTGCAATCTCGTACAACAAAAAATGCGCATTGTAGGTGGTGCTAAAGTCTCAAAAAAAGTGTTTTTTCACTTTTTCACCCTGAAAATATCATTTTAATGGAAAACGTTAAATGGAAAAGTTGTTCCGTACATAATTACCAACAACTTTTGTATAAACAATCTTTTTGTATTACTTACCGTTTTCAAGTTATAAATTGCGCAGGTATGAAAAATCCAATAGAGCGGTTTTGGGCAGTTCAAGTACACATTTGCAGTGCACATTTCAATGTACGTTTTACTATTTTTTATTTTTTTTCATGATTGTAATAATTTACTAATGTACTTTGTGAATAGAACAGGTGGCCGAATTGGCCCACTGTGTTGGCACTCACTGTGTTGTATACGTATGTATTGCACTGTAACTTGAAAACTGTAAGTAATTTAAAAAAAATGTTTATACAAAAGTTGTTGGTAATTATGTACGGAACAACTTTTCCATTTAAAGTTTTCCATTAAAATGATATTTTCAGGGTGAAAAAGTGAAAAAACACTTTTTTTGAGACTTTAGCGCCACCTACATTGCGCATTTTTTGTTATACGAGATTGCAACAATGACATAAATTGTAGTACTCAACGCCCTCTACAATTATGGTCGAAAAAAAGTTTCTAAAATGCATACAAAACAAGAAAAATGCGTTTCAAAAATTTTTTGAGGGTTTTTTTGAGTTTTTTAAAAAACGCCTATGAGTTGAACATGCCCATCGCCAAGGTGGCTTGCTGACGTCATTTGGCAACAGAAAAAACAAGACTTACCTTTAGGTTTTTTTTTCACTGAAACGATTTTTTTTTTCGTAAGATTGACTGTACTATGAAGATAACAGTTTTTTGGGTGATTCTGTAACAGCCCTTATATTTATCACACACAACAAAACTTCCTTCACTTCACAAAATCACAAACAAATTTTGACACAGTCAATATTCAAAAACGCTATGAGGACTTTAAAGACAAAAAACCAACCGACCATCACCAGTTAAAACCAATGAAGCATCACAAACACTCGCAACTCACTGACTTGGCCAATAGTTAATCGAAGTCTAATAAGAGCTTTTACAGGTTTCCGCGCACAAAACACCGACATATCGTTTTGATTCCTTCTTAGATCAGCAGTCACTATAAAAGTGTCACTGTGAAATGTACGTGTAATAATAAAAAAAAAAAATGTGTGCGTGTACTAGTGTACACACGAAGTGAAACTTATTTATGGTCTTATTTTTTTCGAAAAATGATCTACATGCAACTTTCCAGAAATATATATATAGGCGTGCGCTAATATTTTTCAAAAACTCACCCACTAAAGGGGTATAACTACACCTTACCTTAACTTACCTTACCTTACCTTACCTTGTGTCAAACACGAATATTTGCTGTCGATACTTTTTTTTTTTAAAGTTGACAGAAGAAGCAATTGTTCGGATGAGGTAAATAGTGCTCTTTTAAAAAAAAGATGGCGCGTAACCAAAAAACGTTACGCGTAACCGAAAAAAATGTGACGGTAAATTTTTTTCCAACGCCGATAAAGAAGTTTCACTTCAAAAACTATGACGATTATATTTCTCATTAAATAAATCAACTTCGTTTAATGGTATTCAAAGTGACGTGTCACCTAATGTAATTTTAACACCCAAACGGGTGTTATAATAACACTCTTTCGCTTTTTAAATCCCTTCCAGGGCTTATTCATCAGACAGCCAGAATTTTCAATGATTGATGCGTGGTATTAAGAATTAAAAAAAAAACATTGTCATTCACGCGCGTTTCACTACCATAGCGTCGAAACTTTTTATGAATTTTAAGTTAATACAATTTTATAGAGGCTTCTTATCATGGGTGTAGGTACAGTTTTGTATGCAACTGTTACAATTAGGTATTGAAACACTGATATTGGAGTCGCCTTTAAACATCATTATGTTAACGATCTCCGTGGCTCGATTGGAATGTACGTCGGTTTTCAAGGTGTCGCCTACTCAGGGTTCAAATCTAGATGGATCAAATATTTGTCTGATGAATACGATCATTTGTACCGTAATGGATGTTAATGTGTATTTCTAAATAAAAATATATTGGCGTGTAAAAAAAAATACTAGAAAAAAATCCACACGGATCAGGCAGCAGACGGGACTCAAACCCGCACCCTCCGCTATCCGGACGGATACACTGACGATTATGCTACCGCGGCACTGTGGGCCGTGTCGAATTATTTCTAGTATTTCTTTGACCTTGCAGCCTAAGAAATACTAGAAATCTATCAGGTCCGACCGTTACCCTAGTATTGATAACACAAGCCTTACAGTGCTTACTTTGGGGCTAGGCTAATTGGTGTGTGTGTGTGTATATATAAAGAATGTAAAAAGGAAGTAAAACTCTTATTAGATTCACTTTACAAAAACACAATCAACCAAATACTTTTTCACGTCACCGCATTCGCGAAACGACAAAAACGTCACTCCACCACGAAGCTTGAACGCAACAAACGCCAAATTAAACTCAAACCTCCTTATTACGAAACGTGGACTAAACTTAGACTTGGTTTTAACATAATGCTGTCTCTGTCTTCACTTTAGCAAAGAAACATGACAGAGAAAGTGGACCAGAAGTAATCTTAACATAAAACTAACTTTAACAAAAGTCTATCCTTGACAATTTTTTTAACACCTGAAAAGGTTCTACTCCATGAGTACAGTAATAGTAAGGCAAACGATGAGGGTTTTCCGGAATGCAGCGCCAGATGGCAGCACTGAGACGAAAGGTCTGCTCATCTGTCAAATCACGTATGTCGTCATAGTCTACGGTATGGAGGTTAGAGAGAATGAGAACAATTGCTACGTGATAAAGCATTAGCCCGCCTGTCCCTGAAAATTCGTAGAATTTATAGTTCATTTTTCAGCCACCAGCCGCGCTGCCATCGCTAAGTAGTATCTGTGAAGTTAGCTGTTTATGAGTACAAGTAGATGAAGTTAGTTGAATAATGTACATTGGTCATTTCCAATTAGCACACAACAGCCTGCTTTTATTGAGACAACTAAGCGATCGCAGCGCCTCATTTATGTGGTCCATCTTTCTGGGAAACTATTTTCTACAGCGATCGTTCTCCATTTCTCTAACCTCCATGGGTCTACTACAGTGTGACAAAGATCTGATAGCACTTAGATGACATTGACAGGAGGGCGCTGCTGGTGAATAAGTGGTGAAATGAGGATTACTAAATAAGTAAAATCTCCTCACTAAAGGGAACTTTATAATTTATAATAGCTCGGAAAGAGTAATAGGAAATAAAGAAGGGTTATATTATTTAAACGCTTTTCTCTTTAAATAGAAGGCTTTTATTTATACCTTCATTAAAATTAGTTCCGATTTCAGCCACGCGCCGCAAGTCGCAATGATGTCGATTCTGGCATTATTTTCTTAACAGAAACTTAAATCTGACAATAGTTTATCCTTGTCATCCTCTATGAGTCAGTCGAGAGTGAAAAGGTGAGACTGGTGTTAAATTCAGTTTTGAGTTCAGAGAATCATGCCAGAATCGACCACACTGTACTGTCAAAAATAGTTTTAGACTTAGATAATCGTTCCAGAACCAGGCGCAGTATAATTTAAGAACGCGTTAAAATTTAGTCAACGTTTTGCAATAAGTTAGTTTTCGTATTCGTATAGAACCTATTCGGCACAGTGATGGAAGAACGGGCTTTCCTTAATGGCGACGGGGTCTCGCGCAGTAAACTCACTGCGGACACGAGACGAGCCACGGACACACGCTTGCGCCAGTGTGCGTGCAGCTTAGGAGATTCCGGACTGTAATTATTTTAACCATAGAGGTATACGAATAGAGTGGGGAAGGCGGCTCTAAAAGTGTCCGTCTAGTAGAAAGAGAAAGAAGATGAGAGACCGCTAGCTATCTCTCTCTCTTGTGACGCATGACATCCAATGGCATCAGATCGAAATAGTAAGATGCTTACGGTTGCCAATGCGCATGCGCGATTAGAGAGAGATAGCTTGCGGTCTCTCATCTTCTTTCTCTTTCCACTTCCACTTGTAGTAGTCTATATCTCCCCTACTCGATTCTTATACCTCTATGATTATAACCCCCTCAGGTTCGAGTAGTCTAGAGTCTCCAGACGCAGAAGAGTCTCCCCCCGTGGGGAGATGCCATCCGCCTGGAATACCTCTAGAGGCACTCGCCAATTCTCGGCTTGAGATCCCCTTAGGATCTCGCCGTCCCCAAACCCGGTGACGCTATAAAGGTCATCTGTGACCAACAGCATACGCACTCAAAAATTATATATAATTATTACAGTCGTTACATTTTCTTTATTTAATGTATTTATTAATTTCTCCGAACTAATCGCTATCATTACGAGGTCGTCCTAATTGACCAAGTCGACATATGTCACTGATATGTCATAAAATTATAGGCATTTTGTTAAAATTATCCGTATCTTACTTCAACGACCATTATGTTGTGAAACAAGGGTAATCTTTGACATGAGATCGGGGCTGTGTCGGATTTGCGTTACAATTGTAGTGTTTTCGTTGTTAGTTAAAAAGCACTTCGCGAAAGGTTGAGGACTAAATTTCTCCTTTGATATTACCGGTGTTTCGTCTCAAGAAAAAATCTGTATACGCAAAACCTTACTTACTGCTGCGGCGCAACGATCCAAAGTGGATCTTGGCCTCCGACACAAGATGATGCCATGCTCTGCGATGAGACCTGAGTGCGCCTTGGATACGGGTGTCGATCTCCTCTTCTCTTCTGTTGGTGTCAGTTACCTTACAGCCCAGATATTTAAGTTTACTGACGCCCTTATAGGTGGTTCCTTTCAGTCAGATCTTGCCGTTTCTCTCTCGTGTTTTTGTATATTGCCACGTGAAAGTACTCAGTCTTTTCGTGGCTTATTCTCAGACCAACCTTCCCACCTTCTTCCTCTAGAGTATCCGCCATCTTGCGGACTTCTTCGCAAAACCAGTATGTAACATCTAATTAATGAAATAGGTGCAGTAAATAGATCACTCCACAACAAACTGTTGGCTTACATTATGCCTGTGACTTATGTCGACTTGGTAATAAAGGGCCCTGGTGTAACCTATTGCCATTTGTTGAGCTCAATGGCGTAAGTAGTTAGCGCATTCGGTCTGCAATCGTGGAAGTTAAGTAACTTTTAGATTTGGTGGTCATCGGATGGGTGACCAAAAATTTATTTTATCAAGTTCCTCCGTGCTTAGGATGGCACGTTAAGCCGTTAGTACCGGTTGCAACTACATTTGTTATTACCAATTTTCGGCATTTATTGTAAAACTACAAGACTGTCTTGCGATTGACTTAAAAAATGGATTTGAAAAGAGTCCTTCTGACTCGAACTATGGTATAAACTCACCATTTGTGACTGGAACTACGTTGAAAATACGCAATTCACATCACTTTGAAAAGAGTTAAGATAAAATATAACAGGTTTTCATTACACGTTGCATTATAAATATAACATTTAAGCGGAGACGTAACAGCTATGCATCAGTCGGCCCGAGACTACGACGGATGTAACCTGGAAGTCTACTCTAATTCAAAGAATAACGAAATTTCGATCGAAACTTAGCACGTTTCTAAATATTTTTCTTATTCGTTTCTAATTATATTAATATTCATTCGTACGTAAATAGATCGAGGTTTATATTCTCTAAGCCTACTCAATTAAAAAATTGAATTTGATACTTTATCGTTCAAATCAAGTATAAACCTTAAGTTGACGAAATTAAAGGACATGATAAAGTTTTGTATGGAAGACTGCCCTGGCAATGTAAAAAAAAATTGTTCTTAGTAATATTTAATGGTAAATGGCTGAATATTCATAATTTCTATGAAAAAAACTCGGGAACTTTTAATAAAGTCACAATCTTGAAAATTATGAGAACTCCTACTATGTCGTTAACTTACTATAGTTGATAAAAGGTGTTTCCAATTATTTACAGAGTCATTATTTTCGCATTTTCTTAGAATCTTTCTTCCCATTTCTCTGATTAACTCTCCACAAAAAGTTTTTTAAAGCAAAAATAAATACAATAATTTGTTATCATCGGCCTGACAGGAAATCTGTGAAGTTTTATTTTGTCCATTTGAAAAAATTAAAAGGATTAATTATCATACAGCCTTGTCTCAAGCCTGAATCATAATCAGAATAATAAAATCTATTATTTTAGGCCTTCAGTGATTTATTATAATTAAAATTAGGGCCAAATATGTCATAGTTTGAAGGAGTTTAGAAATAATATTGTTTATTTCGATATACTTACAAAAATACTTTTTGTGTAGATTTATTGTTCATTTATTTAGTAAAACGAAACATTTTGCTTTTTAAACAAACATGCAAGTCAATTTTTATACTTTTAAATATTTGATTATTTCACGAAAGTTGTATGAGAATAATAAACACGTAATAATTAATAAAAAAATATTGTAAAGTTACGGGCTAGTGCGAAATATTTATACACGTTAAGGGCAGTTTCTTAGCCATGTCCTTTCGTTTGAACTTCGTTACCGAAAGTTCGTTTCGGAGAAAGAGAGTAGATTGCCTGGTCGAAACATCAGGATAAAGAAGATACGAAAATGTTAACTTGTGAAATGTTATATTTATAAAGTTTTCATTATTACAATATTGGTGGACAAAATATGAAATTTTTACCGAGAAAATATGAAATACAATTGAATATTACACTTATAATAAATAACTCACCTGGCGTGGTCCATATTGTTGGCGATGTACTCTGAAGTGAGCCGCATGATGTGCAGGCTGAGTGGGTTTATACATTGCGGCAGTTTGTGCTCAGCCACGCTTAGGGGGACGCGTTCACCTGTGTATTTCCCAATAAAATATTTATAATAAAATGGTAGGAAAGTCAAAATTGTACATTGAATATTTTTTTAAAAGAATTCTTGGGGTGTAATCTACAATCGATACCAAAGCCAAAAATATAGTTTTTAGAATTTTTGCCTGTATGGATGTCCGGGATAAACTTAAAAAGTACTGCATGGAAATCCAATATTTTTATTAAGAAGTTGGGTTAACATATAGGCTACATAAATTATCATGCTATCACCTACGGGGAACGAGCAGTGAACCCCTGTGGGGTCAAAAAGTATGTGCAAATAACTAACTCCACTAAAGCTCCTTGAGGAGCTCGATGGCGCAGGTGGTTAACGTTGTTCGGCTGCGATCGTTGGAAGTTAAGCAACTATCGCAGTGGTCAGTCATTGGATGGGTGACCAAAAATCTACTATCTTGAGTTCCTCCGTGCTTCGGAAGGCACGTTAATCCGTTGGTTACGGCTGCATCTGCAGTCGTTAGCACCCACCCAATCAGCTCTGGACCCGCGTTTTGGGTCATGGCCCAATCTCCCTATTCCATCCATAGGAAAGGCGTGTGCCCCAGCAGTGGGGACATTAATAGGCTGATTATGAACTTCTGATTCTTGTTCAAAAATTAACTAATTTATAAACAACGATTATCAAAACCCTAGATACAACATCACGAACAACCGAAATCGTGCAAAAGGAACAATGAAAGATCCACTGAAAGCCGTGAGATGATCTGGTAGCCAAAAACAAAATAAAACATTATTTAAACATTTAATTTCACCATTAATGCATGGTACATAAGGTCTTAATTTAAACACACACGTCAATGAGTTATGAAAGTACGAAATGTAATTACGACTTTAAGCTACTATAGAAGGAATAGATAGGCGTAAGAATATTATTATTTCTATGACTTTATATCGTAATTCTGAATGAGCTATTAGCAATATAAGAGAGACGGAGTGCGATCGTAAGAGACGTCTACATACATAACCGACCATGCATTATTTTATACAAAATTTGCTTCAAAAAAGCAGAAATTAATTAGATACCTGTTGAAAAAACAACACTTAACCTTACAAAAAATGCGAATAAACACTTATAGTACGCAACAATAAGTATTTTTTCGCATTTTTTATGAAGTTCTGCGGCATGTTGACTTTTCAACGGTCCGCGCGTGACTGTGAACAAAAAGTGCTTAAACTCCTCAAGCACTTCTTGCAAGCAGCTGTTTTTGACAGACGATTTGTCAGAGAAAAGCTATCGTTTTTTTTTCAATCGCTCGGTTTCAACGGATTATCGTACATTTTGTAATAAATTTTAGCACTGAATTGGAGAAATGCTGTTTGACGATAGCGATAGAGATTTGGAGATATTAATTTATGAAGGATAGGGCATAGCGTAGAGATTCATTTTATGCAAAATTATAAAGGATTTGTGTAAATTATGTTTAAGATTAATTATTTGTTTATACAATTACATGACAAGTGCCCATGGTACCGCCCATAAATATATCACATATGTATGATCTCTAGAACGTTGTAGAGGAATGGATTAATCTGATTACACTCATTAAGTTACTCATTACTACATTAGTTATTAGTTTTTTTTTCTTTCTTCACATAATATAAACATCTTCATCATCAATTTTCACTTAAAAGTGACGTCACGAGCCCCTACTCCCAAACTTTGACGCGCTATAACTTTGTCATTTTTTGGTTGATGATCCAAAGAAAAAATACGTGTCCATTATTTTTTGATCATTTAACTGATGGACTTAATAGAATTTCGTTAACTGTACCCCGTCATCACCCCTATTCTAAGTTGTCTTAATCACCCCATTTTCAAACAGCTTACTCTTTATGTTTTTATTTTATTTTTAAGCATATAACTGCTAGATGTTTAAATCTAAAGAAAAGTTTACTAGAAAAATGTCCACGCGGACCAGGCAGCGGACGGGACTCGAACCCGCACCCTTCGCAATCCGGGCGAATGCACTGACCATTATGCTACCACGGCCCTATTCGCGGCGTCGAAATTTTCCTAGCCTTAAGCTGCAAGGCAGCGCCATCATGGCGCATTGTAGGTAACCCACAATGTCAAATGAATACTTTTTCAAGTATTAAACATTTGAAAGAAGCAATAGCAATTATAGTTATATTGTGGGTTACCTACAATGCGAAGAGATGGCGCTGCCTTCCAGCAGGAAAATTTCGACGCGGCTAATAGGGCTGTGGTAGCATAATGGTCAGTGCATTCGCCCGGATTGCAAAGGGTGCGGGTTCGAGTCCCGTCCGCTGCCTGGTCCGCGTGGATTTTTTTTCTAGTAAACTTTTCTTTAGCTTAATCTTTTCTTGAACTTACCGGTGTCCAGGTTGAGTACAGTGACTTGTTCCAGTATCTCAATGTCTGTTAGCCGATGACCGGAAGTGGTTCGTGTTCTGAGTGCTAATCCTAATTGTTGTTCGTCGCCGGCGGATTTCCGGCGAGCTCCCGAAGTTCCTACGCCACCCCCGCATTCGGAATTACTGCGTCTGTATTACAGTGGATTTCACTTATTACGATCTTGTTTGTAGCGACCATTTACCCATAGCGATGTTAAATCTAAGTCCCTTGAATTTAAAGCATACTTTAGTACAAAATTAATGTGGCTATAGCGACTTTGGATGTAACGCCGAGAACAAATTCCTAGAAACCCCGTGCAGATATTGCGACCGGGTTGGGCCCCCAAAGGCATATTTTTTTTCACAAAAAATTCTTATATTTTGTTTACATCCACACAGATGGCCAGAAAGTGTTGTTACAAAGTGATATTCTAAGTAGCATCTGGGTTTGGTAAACTTTTGAATAAGTATGGCTGATAGACGCACATTCACTGATAAAGAAAGGGCGGAAATCATCTATAAATTAATAAAATCTATACAGTCTGCATCATTTTACCTTTGCCTGTAACGACTTCCGGATATAACGACGAAAATAGAGTGGTCTTTTCATCGTCGTTATACCCGAAATCACTGCTGGGACACAGGCCTTCTCTATGGATGGAATAGGGAGATTGGGCCATGAACCGCCACACGGGTCCAGTGCGGATTAGTGGGTGCTAACGATGCAGATGCAGCAGGGACCAACAGCTTTACGTGTCTTCCGAAGCACGTGCGGCCTGCGATCGTGAAAGTTAAGAAACTTTCGCAATGCTCGGTCATTGGATGGGTGACCAAAAATTAAATATTTCGAATTCCACCGTGCTTCGGATGGCACGTTAAGCCCAACGGGTTCATTTAAAAGTGGCATTCGATCAAGTGGGCGGGGCTAAGAAACTGCGATCAACACGCCGACCATGCGATTGGTCGAGATTTCCGTTTAACATTATGTTACACATGAATGAATAACCAAATTCATTTGCAGATATTTGAATTATCATAGTATTTGTCTGTTTTGTCTGTGTACATGTCGCGTTAGTATAGGAGGGCTTTGTTAGAGAGTAATGCAGCAATATCATTTCTAATTCGTTGGCTCTATGCATATATTTATAGAGTTAATACTTATGACATGTTATATGTATATATAATAAATTACCCGACAATATAAAATTAAAAACTGGAATAATGTTTAAAAGTAAGTTGACCAAATGGTTACAAGCAAAATATTATTATAGTATGAAGGAATATATGACAAATGATAAAATAGTTGACTGCAATATTTTATTTTTTGACGACCTCCGTGGCCGAGTGGTTTGTACGCCGGTTTTCATGGTGACGCCGACTCGAGAGGTCCCGGTCCCGGGTTCGAATCCCGGTGGAGGCAGATGTTTGTGTGATGACTACGAGCATTTGTACTCCAGTCATGGATGTTTAATATGTATTTCTATATAAATATACTTATATATGTATAGTATATGTATTCTATCCGTTACCCTACCATCCCATAACACAAGCCTTACAGTGCTTACTTTGGGGCTAGGCTAATTGGTGTGAGTTATGTAAATATTTATTTATTATTCATTTGCACACCTGCTTGCAGGTAGAATACATGTACTTTTATAAAACGTATCAGCTTGTGAACTGTTTTCTGGCAAATAAATTATTATTATTATATTACCTTGTGGCATGGTTGAGACTACCGTGTGTAGGGGGCGGATGTGGAGTGCGACCCTCACTGTGCGTGCGGCGATCCAAATCTCCCGCGCGGACTGTACATTCGCCTGTTAAATATATTTTACAAATAATATACACGTATATCATTGGCACATAAAATCAAGTAGACTTACGATAGTAAAGAACGAAATAGCGCTTAAAAAGCTTAGATTAAAACAAAAAGGAAAGATACGGCATTCGCTGCCTAAAGTGATCCGCTTCAATTGTGATGCATGACCACAATTCGCTTTAGTCACAATTGGACATTCAAACACACTGCATGTGCACTCAATATAACAATATTGCATATGTTCTGTGTTATAAAAATAAAACATGCCTTCGATGCTTTTATAAAGAACATCAAATAACAAATACGTCGGCAAAACTTTTCAATCGTAAAACTGAATATTTTTTTCAAAAGTCGCGGTATGTCTTGAATATTATTAACGTAATCGCCATTCTGTTATCAAAATAAGGACAACAATACATCTCAGCCGTGCGGACTCTGAAGCGGACTCGCCGTTTCGCTCGCGCTGCGTTGAAGCGTGCAGTTCTGTCTCGCTCGCTCGATTGAATGTTTATATACAGACGTGTGCTTGTGTGAGAGTTGCTTATGTAGTTGAGTCGGAGCATATTTTATTTGATGCTAGTATGAGCGCACTGTATCTTCCCTTTTTGTTTTAATCTAACTTAAAAAGTGTCGGAAGCTAAATTACGCACGCGCGTCTATCTATTGTGCATAATTTTCAAGTAGTCGTGATTCGACCGCGCTTCAATTACAACGTCACGCAGTGACAAAGCATTCGGTAAAAAACTGTTTCTCAGATCCACACTTAGAAAACACGAAGAAACGTATTTAAGGCAAATATCCCTTTAGACTTACTAAAATTCTAAAATTGCGCAAACATACTGGCGTTTTCTATCGTATTGCTAATTAATTACATTTTATTAGCTACAACAAAATACCTCTCCTCGTGTGCGCCCCTTGCGTAACGTGATCGTCACCGTCATTGAACTCTTAATTTAATTCTTTCTTTCTCGTATGCTATTGACATTAAACCTGAATTAGTTAGCTCCACCGAATAATACTAAATTATGCATTCTCCCCCAGGTACGCGGAAGCCGGACTGACTCCAGCAGGCCACGTGTCGTCATCATCCGGCGCCTCGTCGGGCTCGCACCCCGCCTCGCCGCTGCCTCGCTCGCTGTTCACGCACGAACCCTTGTACCAATTCTACAATGCCTGGACATAACGTGACTCTTGAACGCTAGTTGATGATCTGTCACTCGATATAAAATACAGTTTATAAACGTCTGTTACCTCTGATAGCCTCCTTGATGTCCATCGCTGATTCGGCAGGCATGTTGGGTTTACTCTGCCTCACTGAAGCCGTCGTACTGCTTCTAGAGGAATCGCTGGTCCTCTCGCTAGAACGAGACTCGTGAACGCTAGTCGATGACATGTCACTCGCTGTAACAACAGAAAATATGTTGCGTTTATGTAACCTACAACCACGGAGCTAATACAAAGAGGAGATGTTGTATAGTTTTAATAAATTAGGTGAAGCACATAATAGAGCGCGGCAGAATAACTTAAGTTAGGCAACCTTGCACCTTGTGAAGTACTCTCACCATAACCCCTTTATCTGTCTTACACAGAATGTCTAGTGTACCAAAAAAAATCAACATGGCCATGACTTTTGGCCGCGTCCAAATCATGAACCTTTTGAAAAAAAGCTACTGGAGGTTTTTCCAGCATACATTTTATCTAAAAAAATTCAACACGGCCATGACTTTTGGCCGCGTCCAAATCGTTAACCTTTTGAAAAGAAGCTACTGGAGGTTTTATCTAGCATACATTTTATCTGAATAGGCAAACCTATGTGCACATGCCTAAACAAAAAAGTGATAGATGACAACTGACCGTATTTGTTCTGTTCCAGTTCCAGCGAGTCCTGGAACTCTCTTGTAAGGGATTCTATAGTGCTGGCGGGGCTCGGCAACGCCATCGTCTGGTTGGCGGAAGAAGGCGGCGGTGCCTGGCGAAAAAAACCATACTAATATAAAAAAAATGACATGACACCCCCCCCCCCCTTCCAAGGTCAAATTGAAAAAACTTGTGTGAAAAAGTGTCTTGTGGAATAATGTTTATTTTTTTCCAGATACCTATTTTTTATTAGTGTAGTGAGTGACCCCCTCCAAAATTTCAGGCTGCGACCGCACCTGACGTCATAACATCTACCTGCATGCCAAATTCCAGCCCGATCCGTCCAGTGGTTTTGGCTGTGTGTGATAGATCACTATGTCAGTCAGTCACCTTTGAGTTTTATATATACAGATTTAAGAAAAAACAATGACGAATTTTCAAAAAAAAAGTCAAACCCATAATATTAATACAAGATTAAATAACAAGCTTGCCGTTCCATGGTACAGACACCAAAAATCAAGAGGTTCATTTCTGGATTGTAGTATTGCATTAATCAATAAAGTTCCCCAAGATCTGATTGAGCTTCCACTGACCAAATTTTTCATAACAGTAATATGGTACCTATCTAATGTCGCTTCTTATATATTAAATATAAAATTACCTTTAACATTTCTTGTAACTATATATATCTATATTTTAACCCCCTTATTAATAAACGAAGACTACGCTTGGATTAGTTACTCCATGTTTTGTCTCTGTCTATTGAATGACAAATGGCATTTGAGTGACATGTACAAAACACGGCGTAACTAGTCTAAGCTTATTCTTTGTTTATTAATAAGGGGGTAAATGATGTAATGGAAGGTGACTTCAGAAGTATCTCTGAAGTCACACACACACACGCAATGCCCATCATGAGGGTGGCACAGCAAGAAAGGTGCTATAATGTAATATATGAATACTAGCGGTCAATCGCGATTTCATCCGCGTTAACTTATTTTTTTTTTCAGAATCCCACAGGAACCTGTCATTTTTCCGGGATAAAAAGGATCCTATGTCTCAATCCAGGTCATAAACTATTTCATCCAAATACGTTTTGTAGTTGTTGTGTGATTGAGTAACAAACACACAAACTTTCACATTTATAATATTGTTCGAATCACTCATGAACTTGACATTTCAACACCACAGTAACCTAAAAAATCATTACCTTATCACTAGTTATATGCGGCATAATTAACTTTAACGTTAGTTGTTTAATCACACTGCATTGTAAGTTATAAGCAATAGCATTACGATAATACTATTGATATTTTCATGATAAAATACCAACTTTGAAAAATAAAATATTTTGAATACTGAGAAAGTAGATACTTAACTGTTTAATATTATTGTTAATAAAATTAGTTTGCCAATAATAGGTTTGGTACGTAAGGTGTTCTCTGAACTTACGACCATATTTGGCAGTGTTCTCCCCTTTTAAATAATTTTAGAGCCTAATAGACTGTTGTGGTTGTTCTGTGATTGGGCAAATATTTGAGTTGTGTAGTAAATTCCGTATGTAGAAAATGTAAAAAAAACTGTTTACTATTTAACGCATGATGAGGCCATCTTTAATTACAGTTATATTATATCCTAATACTTAAGCATATGTGTAAGTTTGTTTGTATTAATATAGCTGTGTTGATGGTCCACAAATAAACAAATAAAAATAAAATAAGCAATGTCTGCATATTCATAATTTTCCAAACCGAGTTACGACTAATATACAATACAATACACAATTCTTTATTGAAAACACCACAGTACAGTACATAAATGGGGTAAATACATTATATGTAAGCATAGTGATTCAATGGGCGTTCTTATCGCTATGATAATACTAGCTGTGCCCCGCAATGTTACCCGCCGTTTATTAGGAATATTTTCCCGCAGTAAAACGTAGCCTATGTGTTAATCCAGGGTGTCAGCTAACTAATAAATAACATACCAAATTTCATTAAAATCGCTCCAGCCGTTTAGACGCCAAGAAGTAATAAACATACACACTCACAAACTTTCGCTTTTATAATATTAGTGAGAAGTGTGATACACTACCAATAAGTACCTAAATTTTAATCAGTAATCAAAACACAAAAAACCGCGCTAAACTTATTATGTTACGTTTATTTTAAAAAATACTAGACACTTGTACGCATCGCTCGGCATTTTACGAAATACTACAATAAGCGCTATATGGTTATATGACATCAGCGTCGTTGTACAATCGCGATGATTCACCGTATGTTATGAATGTGATTCGAAATTGTTTTCCTTAACACGTCTTTATTAAGTAACGATATCGCTTTTTGTTTTGCGGTTTGAATATCTTAAAGTCGTTACGACTTAAAAAAAATACGTGTGGCACTCGGGGACTGCCGCGGTAAAGCTATTGTATAGAATTATTTATCAACTTATTTATGCAATTATAATTATTTATTTATTTTATTTATGCATGTATTTTTATATATGTATTTTTTTTTCTTTGATATTAATAGATGGCGAGGCAAGCCTTATGATATTTTATTGGGCAAGCACAGCGAACAACAGCATTGCCCGGCGCCAAAAAACTTCCACAAGCTCCACAGTTTACCATCTTTAGTTCAAAAATTAAAATAATAACTATAAAGTCTAAATAAAAGGGAGACAAATAAAAATAAGAACAGGTGCTGGGGTCTAAAACAAATATATAAAAAAAAAATAAAAAAAAATAATAAACGTAAAAAATACGAGTGCGGGATTTGAACCGACGACCGCGGTGATGCGTCGAACGATGGTCCCGTGGCAAAAATTTAACAGTTTCGATCGATACTGGATAGGCGAAAATTGTGTATATATGCACTGTTGTCAGGTTGTTTTCGTTACGGAATTTCTGAATTCGGTCGCCGCGCTCAAAGCCCGCGATAAAATCTATGCAATAGCTTAATATATTTGTATCTTAGGTTTTCACGCACATCACTCATTAAATAAAACAAGTTTCAACGGTATCGCTGCACTGATTTTATTTATAAATTGACGTTTCGCATCCTTTTAGATGATTTTATTAATAAAATCATTATTCAGACGACGCATCCTGTACAGGATGCGAAACGTCAATAAATAAATAAAATCAGTGCAACTATAATGTTGAAACTCGTTTTATTTGATAAAACTAGTTTTAACGGGTTAATGCACGAACTTTATTTATTCATTGACATTTCGCAGCCTTTTCAGGTCTGCATCGTCAGAATAATGATTTTTTATTTAATTTGTCGAGCTACCTTCGAAAGACTTTTATTGAGCGTTCGGTTATTTCATTGGAAGATTTATAAAACTTTATTGTCTATGTATGAATTTATTACTTAATTTAGTTAATAAAGTACTTTATTTAAAATTCTTTTTTGGAATTTGTGTTTATTTATTTGACCCCAACTACCGTAAACTACCACCGGTTCCAAAATTGGGAGACCTTTCTGAGAAGAACCGGCGAAACAAACTCAGAGAGGCTCTCTTCTTCTAAACATCTTCCAATGAAATAACCGAACGCTCATTAAAAGACTTTCGAAGGTAGCTCTTTTAATGAGCTGCGTAGAAACCGCAAAAACAAATTTGTTTTATTTAACTTAAAAAGAGTCAGAAATGAACTATAAAACAAAGAATATGGGAGACTGTAGCAAATATGCATTACTAGCTGCCACCCGCGCAATCGTACGCGTTGCCTTAAGTTTTTAAAAATCCCACAGGAGCCTACTGTTTTCCGGGATATAAAGTATAATAATAAATATTTCCAACACTCACACTAATAAGCCTAGCTTAATAAGCCCAAAGTAAGTATGCAAGCTTGTGTTATGGGATACTAGAGTAACGGATAGAATACGTATACTGATACATTTATAAGTACACTAGCTGACCCAGCGAACTTCGTACCGCCCTAAAAAAATAGGGGTTGTCCAGCGGACAAAATTGTGAATCTAAACCATTCTCAGATCCCCTTGAACACACACAAAAAATTTCATCAAAATGGGTCCAGTCGTTTAAGAGAAGTTCAGTGACATACACACTCACAGAAGAATTATATATATAAAGATTTATATAGGAATACATATTGAACATCCATGACTGGAGTACAAATGCTCGTATTCATCACACAAATATCTGCTCCCAGCGGGACTAGAACCCGGGACCTCCGAGTAGGCAACACCTTGAAACCCGGCGTACAAACCACTCGGCCACGGAGGTCGTCGTATCATATGTCTCAATCCAGGGCATAAACTATATATAGTTTTAGTACGCACATATATGTACGTACTAAATTTCATTCATCCTTTCAGTAATTTTTGCGTCATACGTATCAAATTTCATTCAAATCCTTTCAGTAGTTTTTGCGTCAGACGTATCAAATTTCATTCAAATCCTTTCAGTAGTTTTTGCGTCATACGTATCAAATTTCATTCAAATCCTTTCAGTAGTTTTTGCGTCAAACGTATCAAATTTCATTCAAATCCTTTCAAGAGTTTTTGCGTCATACGTATCAAATTTCATTCAAATCCTTTCAGTAGTTTTTGCGTCATACGTATCAAATTTCATTCAAATCCTTTCAGTAGTTTTTACGTCATCAAGTAACAAACATACACTCTAAGGCCCATATTTCAGAATGACAACTAAGTGTTGATCTTTACTTGAGTACAGTTAAAAGGGATATCGCTATGTGCTATATATAGCGACATCCCTTTCTAACTATGCTCAAGACTAGATCAATCAATGAGAATCTTTCTATAATAGGGGCCTAAATCTTTCTAAGGATTATTATTATTATTTTGTAGGGTTGTGAACTTGCAGTGAGGTTTCGGGGCTCCACGAGTAGGGAATAGGGTCAGGTAGGCAAAGCGCCAGTGATATAGCAAACGTCTATATCTCAGATGGGTATATGCTCGTTCCCCGCAGTTATAACATAAAAAAAGGTTCCAGTGCGAGTTTGACTCGACCGCGGATTCGTGCGCTAAGAAAAAAGATTTTACCAAACTCACGCGGTAAAATAGAGGTCCAAGGTTTGTATTAAGCATCAATATCGCGAGGTTAAAACCCTTTGACTAAATAAGCGTTTCTGGGTTTTTCAAATATCAACCTTTTAAGAGGAACAAAGGTGTACAAAGTCTTAAAAACAATATTTTAGTTTTTTTTATTTTTGAAACTAAAGTCAAAGGGAAAGAAGTCCACGGTATAAGCTAGTAAAGATGATATAATTACCTCCACTAGTAACGAGTCCAGTTGCGGCTTCTCTACAGTGAGAGGGCGTCGCGGCACGTATCTGTAGTCGTCGGTGTCCGTCGTGCAGATACTAAGATTGTCGCCGTCTGTAGTCGATAGAGATTGTGATCCGTGTAGTTTGTCTGGGAGTACAGAAATAAAAGCTTCTTATTTATTTGTCAAGCATTGGCTCAAGACGTAGTCTAGTAGAAAGAGAAAGAAGATGAGAGACCGCTAGCTATCTCTCTCTCTTGTGACGCATGCGCAGTCATCTGTCCAATAGTTGGTTCAAGCATCACATCGAAATAGTAAGATGCTTACGGTTGCCAATGCGCATGGGCGATTAGAGGCGAGACGCTCGCTGTTAATAAATCACGTGAAGTGTAGTCGGCCACAATAATTTTATAGCGAAGTAAATTTCTCGGTAAACCAATTTACCGATATTACGAATAGGCTATTTGACAGTATATGTTTATGAATCTATAAATGATAAAAAAATTGTTAATAATAAATTAGTATTTAACTTCATTTAATTTAATTTTACTTAATTATATGATTTGATTTAATTTAACTTGTTATGATATGATATAATTTAACTTAATTTTTTAATTTGTTAAATTTGATTGGTTTTTTAAATTTGGTTGGACTTTTGGTTTGGTTTGATTTAATTTGAAATAACCTACAACATTTTTGCGCCGCTTGTTGCAATACCCCAACGGGGTCATGTACCCTTCACTATTAACTATGTAAGAGCTTATAATAAATAATGTACATGTGCAATTTGAAATAAATAAATAAAAAGTATGAAATAGTAAAGTACCAAAAATAAGTTTACAGTATCATCGTTGTTACCTCAAGGTGGCGCCACCCAGACTGGCATGGAGATTATGACGACTGGTTGTGGACTTGGTTTATCACATTCCTCCAAGTTACGACGAAGTTTTGGGAGTAGTCATCCATTAATGCAATTCAAAACTTTCTGAACTAAATCCATTTTTTCTAGTTAAAAAACGGGGGCGTTTTTAAAATAAACATTTATAATCTTAAAGTTAAAGAATCGTTAAGAGCTAAGTTTAAAGAATTTGTAATAATGACGGTCGCATCCTAATACATATACGAAAATGTATTACTTGTAAGAAAAATATTAATTTGTTTCTTAAAAACAGTGATGTTCACACACTTAATACAAGAAACAAAAATAAACTAACTTTACCTGTTACTAGGCTTCACAAAATTTATAATTCATTTAAAGGTCTTTGTGTTCGCTTATACAATAAAGTCCCAAGCAATATCCAAGAGTTAACCATAAATAAATTTAAAGATAGTATAAAAAAAGCACTTATTGAAAAAGCTTATTAAAGTGTCTGATTATATTACAGACAAAAATGCTTGGGTTTGAACTGTTCCAATCATTCCAACAGGTTTTCTATATTAAATAAATCATAATTGTATTGACGTTGTAACAACATAATGATTTGTAAATGACTATGATAATGATTTGTAAATGCCGACATGAGACTTTTAATGTTGTGGAGTTTTTTTCGCTTGTTTTCCCCCGCAGCTAAATAATATGTCCATAACGAGTGGTAGAGAAAAAAAAGTTTGGACGATTCAAAAGAGTTGTACTATACATCCAATTTGAATAAAGATATATTGATTTCTGATAACGAAGAGCGATAACGATGCCAGGTTTATTAGATGCGCGCATCCGATGCGACTGAGTACCGTTATCGGATGCCGGTGCCATCTAGTTTTTGTCAACGTTACTATAGCTACAGTGTCACAAACTTATCTGTGCCAATGTAGATGTCGCTAGCGGTGAACAAATCACACTAATATTATAAAAGCGAAAGATTGTGAGTGTGTCTGTTTGTTACTTCTTCACGACTTAAAGGCTGGAGGGATTTTAAAAAAAAATTGGTATGAAGTTAAGTGACACCCTGGATTAACACATAGGCTACGTTATTCTGCGGGAAAATATCCCTAATAAATCGCGGGTAACACAGCGGGGCACAGCAAGTATGTCATTAAAAAAATCAACAGGCTATGGACAAACTGTAGTTCAAATTTATGCCACCGGCACAGAAAAGTTTTTTACACTGGTCTGCGTTCAAAATCCTTAATATACATATATCTTTATATATATAATTCTTCTGTGAGTGTGTATGTCACTGAACTTCTCTTAAACGACTGGACCGATTTTGATGAAATTTTTTGTGTGTGTTCAAGGGGATCTGAGAATGGTTTAGATTCACAATTTTGTCCGCTGGACAACCCCTATTTTTTTAGGGCGGTACGAAGTTCGCTGGGTCAGCTAGTATATATATATATTTGGAGAATTTGTTTCCACTAACTTCGTTTCTTTCTCCTAGGCGGCGCCACTGGGCCGGAAACACTGGCAGGGCGCGGTTCCCCCGACATCGACATTATGGCGGCGCTCGAGTGACGACTTTGCTTCAAACTGTTGGCTTTCGTGCTCGCTATAACGTCCGGTTCCGCCATCGCTAATACTACGAAAAATATCATCATTAATGTTATTTCACCATCATCATCAGCCTATTAATGTCCCCACTGCTGGGGCACAGGCCTTCCCTATGGGTGGAATAGGGAGATTAGGCCATAACCCACCACGCGAGCCCAGTGCGGATTGGCGGGTACTAAGGACTGCAGATGCAGCCAGGACCAACGGTTTAACTGGCCTTCCGGACCACGGAGGAACTCGAGATAGAATTATGACGCAATGAGGGCTACCGTTTTCTGCCTCACCAGATGGCGCCACTGTTGAGTGAGGTCCTAAATTGTAACTTTTAAAGTTTATTAATACGCACATGAAATCAAAGGTTACATTTAGATCGTATTTTAACACAAAAGAACCATATCCTAAACATAACAGGCCATGCCACAGTGACGCGCAGTTCCGTTTTATTCGGAAAAAATGGGAACATAATCATTTTTATAAGCTCAAATTTTTAATAACTGACATTCATTGCCACATAACTCATATTTGCCATAATTAAGCCGAATTGTTACCAATTATTCACAACATTATTTTAATTAGAAATAAACCCGCGTAGTCAACCAACAAGCAATAACATTGACATTTCGGAGACCTCACGCTACACTAGCGCCTCTAGCGGCGGATTCATACGCGATAGCCCTCGTTAAATTAGGTCGTTAGCCTGTATTCGGGTGCACGAAAGACTACTCGAATTCTGGCAATCGAAGCAATATTTACACTGGACTACTGTCTAGAAGACGATGTCGGAAAACAAAGGAAATCTAGCCGAATGCTCGACTCCGTTCATTTACACTTATTCGTTTACCCGAATTCCATTGGCATGTTTTCCATTGCAATGTAATCACGCCATTACTAACATAGAATTAAGTGTTTGAACACTAACACATGGATTTTATTGTTTGAACAATAAAACTGTCAAAATTGTCGGTCAAATTTGTAATACAAAAAAACTTTCACTCTATTGAAATGGCATAAGAATGAAAACAGCGTGGCAAAGAGTTTTACCTATTTCGAAAAAGTTTAGTCCCGAAATTATCTACTTCACGTTGTCGGTAGCGATGCGCGACTTCGAATAATACTAATCATTCGACTCCACGAATCATTCGACCAAGTCGACTGCGCTTTATACCATTCGATTGGAGTCGAAGGTATCGGGCGGCGACTAACCGACTCTCGGCTGACGTACGTGACGAAGACGAACAAACGGGGTCGACTCGGGCTTGGTCGGGCGAACTCGTCGAGTGAAAGAGATGAGAAGAGTTAATAGGGTACTACTTTCAATTGTTTTTTAATGATTAGATCGATATATGAACTCTTTATATTAAAAATATATATATGAATCAAGTAATAATAAATAAATTCACTGGTAAATATAGTTTTTACTGAAAAAAAAATTAATTTAAATAACATATACAAGTCTATCGTAGCTGGTGTCAAGTACGAACGTACGGAAACTAACTGAACTAAGGCAAATGATGATTGTCGGTATTACTTTCATACCTGTTTGGTTTCTACTTTCTGTAGTCAGAGGGTCATCAGATGTCGTTGAAGGTTCTCTCGACGACAACGACGGAGCAGGCACAGCCTCACGAATATTTGCTGACAAAATAATAAATAAATTAACAAAATCATTTAATTATATATTGGAGGGAATTAGAGCAAGTTCAAAGTCATAACTAAGCTTAACAAAGGGCGAAGATTAAATAAAATAGAAAAAATATGCCTAAATTAGTCTCATTATAAATATAATGAAGGATAAAATATATAGAAAATAGAAAAGTATATAAGGAAAACTCTATTTTATGTTAACTTTTATGTAAGCTAAAAATAAATCAAAGTCAGATGCGATTAGTACACCTTGTAAAATCTGTAATTATTATGTGACATGATAGCCAATTTAACATTAATAGTACAATATCACAGAATGGTTCCAATTTGGTCAATAAATTTAGAACTTTATGTCCAAAATAAGGTCTGAAAATCTATTGATAGAATTTTTCACTTTAAAAGATTAGAAGACATTAAGATGATTTTTACAAATTTGCAAATTTAATGTCTTCTTTCCTTTTGGCCTAAAAGGGAAAGCTAGCTAATTGTCGAAGCTTAATATGTATGGATGCCATAGCTACTTTAGAAGCATAAATTATATAGGACCTCATTTAACCAATCAAAGTGTTTAATTACAATTGTTTCACTTACAATGGGAGTCGGAAGCACCGCTGAGTATTCTGCCGATCCTGCCCAGCGACGTCATACTCTGCAGGCTCATTGTGTCGTGTGCTATTATTCTAGAACAATGAAACATCAAAACGAATTATGATTTGCTTTTGTTAGTAAGCAAAGAAATATTTTAAGAGTTTCTATAAAAAACGTTAAAAAAACGTAAAATTTTGTGTATGTATTTGAATAAATTAACGCAGTCAATCAGTCTATCCATAATATATAAAGATTTGTGATCAGGTCAATTTCTTGAATTGTAACAAGTCGTTTATTTACTTTATTGTGATTGTTGTGTTTGCTTATAATTGGTCTGCATATAAGAAAATTGTATTGTATCAGATTCAATCATTAATCTATATATATAAAACTCAAAGGTGACTGACTGACTGACATAGTGATCTATCAACGCACAGCCCAAACCACTGGACGGATCGGGCTGAAATTTGGCATGCAGGTAGATGTTATGACCTAGGCATCCGTTAAGAAAGGATTTTGATAAATTCTAACCCCAAGGGGATAAAATAGGGAATGAAAGTTGGCATGAAACTTTGTCAATGTTAAACCGATCGGGCTGAGACTTTGCAGGCAGGTATAAGAAGAATCATAGATGAATGTCATTGTTTATAATACAAGCCTGAGAAGAAAAACTGTAGTCTACACTTCAGCTCTACACCGAAGCGAAGCGAGGGCGGGCCGCTAGTGTATGAATATTTGTGACTGTTAGCATACCTAAATTAATAAATAAAAACGTACATTTTAGTTTACATTTCTGAGAACCTAAACAGACACTACTATTTGTATTATAAAATAGTGTGTACGCAACATTTAATAAAAATTAAGAACCAGACGCTCAGTCACGAATTTTAACAGCGATTACGGAATCGCATGGTCATCGTGAAATTAAGTATGGAATAAGCTAGTTCTTTTGTTACGTCCGGTAGGGGTGCTCATTAGTTTTCATAGAAACTTTGACGATACGATAAGATTACGGAGCTCCCAAAATTCGTGATTGGGCCTAACGTATTTGTTTTTATTGCTTGTTTCCATACTATCACTTGCTACATAGAAAGTTACAAAGTAGTTTTGAGAATAAAAAAAACGAGTGTGTTATGACCACACGACTGAACTGAAACTTCTTTAGCTCCACCTGTGTGTATATATTTATATATATTGCACCTCCGGTGCGACACTGTTGCATAAGTGTATGCAAAAAAATTTTTTTTCAGGATGAGCTTTTAAAACTTTAACATCCCAAAACATACAATATTTAAAGATTTTTACGTAATGAAAAGCTTATACAGCTTAGCTATTCATCTAAAAAAAATAAAAAAAAAAAACTTTAAATATTGTATGTTTTGGGATGTTAAAGTTTTAAACGCTTCTCATGAAAAAATGTTTTTTTTGCATAAGTGACAGTGTCGCACCGGAGGTGCGATATGTGTATGCACAATACATACATATATGTACATATTTCATTTACTAACTATAAGAGAAAAAGAGTAAGAAAATGTGCGCGCGCACTGCTTTCTCTTGCTTATATCGCCCACACAACTCCGCTTCGCCCGAAAACACTTTTCGTAACGCGTAACGCATACGCCAGCTTGCCCCCCAAGTCAAGCGTGCGTAAAGAAGTTTCACTTCCAAAACGGACAAGTCAAGGTTCCGTATAAAATGGTGGTATAAGTCGCGGCACGTAACTCTAGCGTTGAACAAAACGCTGGGGGCATAGCTGCGCATGGGTACGACTGGAGAGCCAATCGGCGCAACGCAGGCCCACCCGCGCACCTCTATTTCCCCGCAAGACATCTTAATTTTTACTTCTGCGCAATAACAGTCAGCGCTAGATCGAGCCGTAACTTTTAATATTGTAGGTATGCAACATAAACGGCTGTATCTTTGTTTCACGTTTACTCAGAAATTTGATTTTTTCACAGCTTCAAGGGAGCGTAGACTTGAGTATAAGGTTTTCAACTTGATACCTTTACGCGATCCCAAGATAAAGGGTTTTTTTTTGTTGATGTTCTCCCGTTTTAGGGAAGGCAAAGGGAACAATGCCCATACAGCCTGGTCTTTAATTAAATTACGCAGACGGTTGTTACACAAAACCGCACCAATTTTATGTCACAATATCCACTATGAACAAATTTAAGAATAATTAAAATAAGACGCCAACCGCACTCGATGAAATCCCGCCAAAAACTCCCGAGATAAAGGGTCTCGAGTAGTGTTGCCAGGTGTCCCGATTTCCAGAGGTCTGGGGACGCGTCCCGATTTGCACCTCATCGGGACGCTAAATGTCCCGATTAATCAAAAAAAAAATTTTGGTAATTAATATAATACTATACTAGCACTAGTAGTTTAAAACGCAATAAATTAAACCCAGACTTACAACCTTTTGTTTACTGTCCAGATCTGCAACCCTAAATCCCGATATTTTTGAGCTCTTGTACCGATTTAAAACAAATCGGACCTGGCAACACTAGTCTTGAGAGACAGACGGACGGACAAATGGATAACTATGTGATCCTGTCTATTAGGGTTCCGTTTTTTTCTTTCTAAGATTAGGAACCAGATAACAAGCTATTTATCATTTTAATTCAAAATAGAAGAATAAGAAGAAATACTGTAATGAAGCCCAGTATAATCGCCGCCATGCTGCAAGAATGTTATCTTCAAAATAATTTAAGAGATAGTTATTAGATCTTTTCTGATTCTTCCTGTTCTGATTTCTTTGGGAAAAAATCTTAAATAAATCTTACCACTGCCCAATTTTTAATAAAACTCTAACTACAGAACCGGCTGTATTTATCTTGTTTCTATAGTCAAAATTACTTGGTTGCAAAAACGCGGTGAAGTCCCTCAACGGGGATCTCGCGGTTCCGCACTTAACATTGTAGAGGGTATTCGCAGGGTTTTTAAGCGGATGTTGGTGTCGATTCTGGCATGATTCTGTAAACCTAAAATTAAATTTGACAACAGTGTATCCTTGTCATTATCTATACAGAATGAAAAGAAGAGACTGATGTTAAATTTAGTTTTAAATTTAGATAATCATGCCAGAATCGACACCAACATGCCGTAAGTGCTAACGTTAACGGCTTCTCCGATTCGCATCCGTGAGACTTGCGCCAACGTCTGTGTAATCAATGTTTTGCCTGCTTAATAAAAACAGGGTCAAACTTACTTAAAAGGATGCTCAAGCGTGGACGTGTGGTGGTCGAGCGAGCCGGCCGCGTCTGGTGTCCCTTCGTCGTCTTCCTCCGTTTGCATACACCGACGCAGCTCTTGAAACCGGCGCCTGCCTTGCACCACCTGCACACAGAAATGACCCATAACACTGAGACTATAAGGGTTAAAACCCTAGAAAAGTTTGTAACCAATCCCTGCACAACCTGCACACAGAAATGACCCTTAACACTCAGGCTAAAACGGTTACTCTGAGAAACTTCCTAACAAATGGCCCAATTAGTAAAGTATGTTTACAAACAAGTTAAAACTGGAGTAATTGAATAATCTTTTTTCTCTTATTTATTTACTGGCAACCGCCAGTGCTTTCTTTTGCGTTTACTTTTGAACCACCATTTTACCGCTTCAAAGGGTGAGTTTTGGAAAATCCTTTCTTAAAGCATGCCCACATCTTAATAAATATATGTGTGCCTAATTTTAGCACAATCCGTTCCATAGTTTGAGCTGTGCGTAGATAGATCAGCCAGTAACAGTTGCCTTTTAAATATACAGATGATAGGTCAGCTTACATTTTCACACCATAATTAACAATCTCTAAATTTAATATAATCCAGAATAATTTTCAACATAGTGCAAAAACAATTACAGGCAAATTCAACATAAAAAAAATATAAAAGTAACCTAAAGTAACCAATTTCAAATCAAGCTTTTAATTATTGAGAAAGTTCTCATTAAAAAATGATCTGTCCACTAATACATTACATGACTTGAGCACTTGGTCTGTATATCACTTACTTTTAAAATACTCATTAGTCAACTATATAGCACAATATTTGCTACCTACTTTTCTTTCTTTAATGTAAAATATAAAAATATGAATATGTAATTTACTAATAAACAACACAATTTATAAGTCACACATTGAAGTTATTTCTTGGTACTTGAAGTAAAAGGCAAAATAATATTCAACAATTTTGTTGAAACATGTGTTCTGGTTAAACACTATGTTGATAATAATAACATGTTCTACTGAACACTTACCAAAGATAGCACAGTTTACATATGCACATATATAATGAAGTTTTTTCTTTGTTACTATTTTCCAGTGAAGTGGAAAATGGCATGTTCATTAGACTGTGAATTACAAAATAAAACAGACAACACACACTTGTTCTGATTATTAGAGCCTCATTTGTGTTATTTGTGATTGATATTACAAAACAAAAATTTATGAATGCAACTTTTTCTTATATTTAAGCATGTAGCAACTGAGGTGAATGTTTCCACATTTTCTTAAAAAAAATAAGGTAAAAAATAAAAATATAATCAAATAATTGTATTTTTCAAACTAACAGACAACATATTTGGAACATTGATTTATGGTCTAAAAGTTGTAAATCAAAATTTTTGTGTAACAAGAAAAATACTAATTCTTTACTATGTCATATTTATATCATCCACAATACAAGTGTTTCTAAGTTTCATACTTATTCATATTGACACGTTTTAGTTGTAACAAGTTTTACTTTTATTTTAATAGTTCACTTAAGAATAATATCAGACCAGCCCAATTTTTTATGTATGTAGCAATAATTATATGTGTATCAGTATTATATATTCTATCATTTACCCAAGTATCCTATAACACAAGCCTTACAGTGCTTACTTTAGGGCTTGTCTAATTGGTCAGTTAGAAATATTTATTTATTAACTAGTGGCCACCTGCAACTCTGTCTGTGTTAACTTTATTATTTTGAGAATCCCACAGGAACCTAAAATGTTTCCAAGATAAAAAGTATCCTATGTCTCAATGCAGATCATCAACTATAGGCATATCAAATTTCATCCATTTCTGTACAGTAGTTTTTGTGTGATTGAGTAACAAACATACAAAGTTTCACTTTTATAATATTAGGAGAATCTTTTGTTTGTTAGGTACCTACATTTTTGACAGTAGTCCTGTTAACCTCAGCAGGAGTTATGTCTGTAGTGGGAGCACTGACACTGGTGGTGGGGAGCTCGCCATGCTTCGAACCATCCTTCTCAGAAGAGTCTGTCTCTGTCACACCAATGTTTTTACATATTGACGATCTCCTGCAAAGACATAACTATGTTAAGATGTGCCTGGACACTCATGTATTCCGAAAGTAATAACATTGTTTTTGTATCATTTTATAATAAGTTATTGCAATTTTTATCACAGCAAAAACAGTTGATAATGAAATATTAATATATAATAACATTATGTGATTAAGATTCAAACCAGATACAGTATTTGTATATTATTGGAATCTCTATAATTGTCTTTGGACCATATTAATGGCAACAATATGGGGACACTCCCAGTATAAAGCAAGGTCATCATTAAACACCAATCAAACTATTCATGTACCATGCTAATTGTCTCGCATGATTGAAGATGAACGTTTTGTCTGCAACAATCTGTCACCACCGCCAAGGACAAACATAAAATACCAATTGAAAAACTGTAGGTATTTGCATTTCTCAGCCTGTTGCATCTTAGTCAAATAGAAAAACGAAAACAATATCCAGTGGTGCGATGATTGGTAATCTCGAACGTTCCAATGGGAAATGCCTGAAGATACTAATTCAATAAATAAACTGAAGCAAACCAAAGTGTAAACATGATCTCACTTGGAACCCTTGATCGGTGTAAATTCTTCAGCATCATAAAATTCTTCGGAATCGCTACTCTCGCCCATTGTTTGTCAATAAACGTATAGCGACACCACTGTTCACAATATATTGTGATAAAATTACATTATAACTTATATTAAATTTAATCAGAGAAAGATTTTAATTCCAACTCGATTTCACAGCCAGCAAGCCGTCACCTGACATTGACGTTTACTGACAGTGTTACTAACACCCAGAAAATTTACCCGTACAGTTCTTTATCTCAAGTTCTTCTGAGTCGTAAGTCATACTAGATGCAATAAAGATAACATAGTTTTTTTCTAAATATGCCAAAATAATCTTCTAAAACTTTCAAGAACAAAAGTACTTTTACTTTAATATTTAAAAATGGCTGAGACTATTAAGTTTAAGGTATACATATTCGCAGGACATTATTTAAAAACGTGGGCGGTCCGTGAACTTGCAATTACGTCACATATTGGGACACAGCTGTGCGAGTGAGCCCATTAAGCCTAATTCTTCAACGATCGCTCACGTTTATGCTTTTTCGTGATGTTCTTGACAATCATTTTGTAAGGAGTTGTTATAAATGGTAAAGAAATACGTACTTTGCTGTGTTCCCAACATCTTGAGTCCCAACTAAAAATACTTAAAACACATAACATAATGCCTACGTATCGTTGTCTAATACCTAGTTGCACATATTTTTAGAAGTTACCTTTGAATCTAGCTTTGACAAAAATAACTTTTTTTTGTATTTAACCATTATTCGTTCATTGTATAAGAAATAAATTAGGACTTTTCCACAAAATATGAACGTATAGATAGTCACCCAAGAAGTAAATAGATTAGTGTAAGTAAGGAGATACATAAATATGGAAAAACCAACATTGTGACAAAAATCTCAAACTTGCCTGCATGTATATCGGAAACTGACAAATTTCCTTTGCTGATTTGAAGCTTTATGCTGCTTGACATAAGATTCGCAATCTATTGAAAAAAAATTTTTTTTTGGTAATTTATTCGTGGCTATCAATTATAATTTCGTATTTCACAAAGACTTGTCTAGCTTCGAAAGCCATACCAACAAGCATCACGAATAAAATTAGTCGACGAAAATGAGTCGTAAAGGTACATTAAATTTTATATCATTACAAATTGGTTTATTTAGGGAGGTGAATGGAAGAGATCGCTTTTAGCCATAAGACTGTCTTTACCCACGATAGTTTACTATATGTTTTTTAAGCCTTTTAATTGTGAATGTGTGAGTAATAAAGAGTATATCTATCTATCTTTTTACATTAACTTGGAAGTTAGATTTTTTTCACAGCTGCAAGAGACCGCATTCTACATATTCCCGAGATAAAGGGCCTAGACCAGAGATGAGCAAACTACGGCCCGCGGACCATTTCCCGTCCTCGAATGGATGAAATCCGGCCCGCAACCATCAAACATAAATCAAAGTTTCTCTTCAAAAAGTTTTTTTTTTTCAAATGTTCTCATATTTTCTCTTCGCTGCCAAACCTGGCACCTAACTATTTACTTCACAGCAAACTCAGTGGCGTGTTTGGGGTGCAAATCGTAAGTGGCCTGAGAAAAACTTGGGCCTCCATAGATTCCGATACTAAATATTAGAACAATAAAGAAAAAGTTCGCCCATCCCTTGTCTAGACAGGCAGACGGAAAACGAAGTAATCTTATATTTTATGGGTTTCGTTTTTTCTTTTAAGGCATGAAACCCTAAAAGTGGATGAAATTGGATTCAAAGAGTAGTTTTAGACGATAAATGTTGTTAAAAGTTTTAACAAAAGACTAGACTAGATAAATAATATATTCGGTATTTAACCCTCGTAAAACTTTTTAATTAACCCCAAAAATACAATTTCACAAATTATTACCCTAAATTTGGGAGAAATGCAATAGCTGACTTGGTAACACTATTTACGCCTTTTTTTGTCTTCTCTATGGAAAGCAAAGGATACTTAAATTATTCATTTTGTTAACGGCATCCGTTTCTGATGAAGTGCTTAATGCTAAATCGTGCCAAGAGATGGCACGCCTATTGTAAAGATTTTCTAAGTACACATTTGATCATAAAGTTTCTAATATTTAATGTACGATAGGAGTATACGACACGGAAATAGTTTACAAAAACGTTTACTCAGCGAGCCTTTACAGATAAACCATATAAATTATCATGTTGGAAGTTGGAGGTATTGGACTTACCATAATAACCAGGAAAAGTAGTAAAGGACAATGGGCAAAACACACCCAGCTCCGCCAATGTAATTACTATGAATCGATAGATCTTTTTTTTATTATGACACCGTAAAAAAATATCCTAGTCAAAAAATATGACACATGGGCATATTTTAGTAGCAAAATAAATATTTTTTTAGTAGCTTCATTTTATATTATTAGTAACAATAATAATATGCCATATCATATACAACCAGATACGACAAAGCCTGCCGACCATCCTGCGCTTGCACTTACTGAGACACCTCAAAACGGTTTACGGGGGTTGAAGGACTTGCAGTTGCAAATAGTCGACTCGTCTTACTTCGTTGTGATTGTTCTCTCCCTGTCACTTGATTGATTTTTATCTAACAACGTTTTGACATTAGAACACGATTATCGGTTTTGTCAATTAGTATGAATGAACTGGAATCATGTTTCGTGGAATCGTGGACAAGTTTGCGTGATTTGTGGTCGCTCTGTTTTACATAGAAATAACGAACTATAACGAACGAAGACTATAACGAACAGAAGGTTTGAAAAAACCCCAACCCATGCGGGGAGTTTTGGATTTACTCTAGCGCGGCCATAAGGGGGCACCCTTGCACCTTGTGAAGTACTCCCCTGAGCCCCCTATGTAGGGTCGAACTAACTAACTACATTAATTCCCTTGTTTCATTAATGTTCGTTCGTTGTAATACTTGTATCTATTTATGCGAATTTGATGCGCTTTGGCACAGATGATCATGATTACAATACCTTTCAAACCAATGTAAGCCGTGGCGGACGTGGGTGCAGCGTCCATAAAGAGTTCGTAAAAAAGCGTTCGGTCTGTATCGTAGAGGTTAAGCAACATTCATAATGACTGTTCATTGAATAGGTGACCACAAAGTTAATATCTCGTGTTCCTCCTTGCTTCGGAAGGCTAACGTGCCTTCTGAAGCAAGGAGGAGCCTTGATTTCGGCTGTATCTGCAGTTGTTAGCATATACCATTCCACACTGGGCCCGCAGTCATTGTGACCAAAATTTACTATCTCGAGCTCCTCCCTGCTTCGGAAGGCACGTTAAGCCGTTGGTCTCTGCTGCATCTGCAGTCGTTAGCATCCATCAAATCCGCACTGGGCCCGCGTGATGGGCCATGGCCAAATCACCCTATTCCATCCATAGAGAAGACCTGTACCCGTGCTCCAGCATTGGGACAATGAAAAGCTATTGATGATAATTAAAGTTTCTTACTTTCTAATTAAACGTTTTTAAAGATAGAAAAACTAAATCCTAGTTAAATCGGTGAATTCAGTTAAAATAAAAATTAAATGGATACATCATCATCAGCCTATTAATGTGCCCACTTTAGGGGATAGGCTTTCCCTATGGATGGAATAGGGAGAGTGGGTCATGATCCACCACGAGGGCCCAGTTCGGATTTGGTGGGTGCAAACGTTTGCAGACTGATGCAGCCGGGACTTACGGCTTAGCGTACGTGGAAGCTCGAGATAGTAAATTTTTGGTCACCCATCCAATATGATTGACCACTACGAAAGTTACTTAATTTCAACGATCACAGCTGAACGCGCTAACCATTTGTGCCATCGAGCTTCCTAAATGGTTAACGGCTTGAAAATTATTTCTTTATAAGTCTTTTTAAACTGTTTTTCTGGTGAAGTGGGGTGGTGGAGTGGGGTAAGCGAAGCAATTTACCCCATTCGAATATTAAGTTCAGTAGGTGGAGTCCAGTACAAGCTGCCGCTCCAACCAGTTATATAAGTTCGTTCTCCTTAACCTTGCCGGTCTTACCCCACGGAGCATTAGAACCAGGAGATGGGTGCTGAAGGTCCTCCAAAAATCCGGTGATTAAATTTTTCTTTATTAATGAACCTGCATAAAAAAAACTTAATACACTAAACGAAAGTAGTACTAAACGAAATTTTAATACAAATTGAAAAAGAAATAGGACAAATATATTGTAAAAGAAAGAAGATAAAATTTTATCAGATTTTGATACAGGCCAATATACCTATATGATTAAGTGAGAGTAACTTAAAGATTTCAAGTTCATAACATGAAATTTCTCATACGGGAAAACCCATTGATAATTAAGCCACTCTAATCGTCATGAGCAATGGCCAGGCCAACTCATCCACTGCCCACTGGCCTATAAGTGACGTAGCATGACTTGGCGTTTCCGTCAATATGAGAAGTTGCGTGATATAGAAATCTTTTTACTAATCTCAAAACATTGTCATGTAGCAGATATGATTCATCGTGGGCAAGGTCTTAAAGCGGAACTTCAGCAAGTTTCACAAGACACACACCAAACTTCTACAAACCTCTCTTGTATGTAAAAATATATAAATCTGTATTTAATCCATCTTTTTACAGTTCCGTACCGCAAAAGGAAAAAGTCGGAGCTCTTATAATATCGCTTTCCTTTCCATCTATCCGTCCGTTCGCCTGTGTGTCTGTCGGGCGCGCGTGGAGGTATTAAGTTGAAATTAAACTAAGGTCTACGGTCCCTCGAAGCTGTTTAAGGAATCAAACTTTGTACGCAACTCGCGGTACTCAATTCCGACTCTTTATGACCGTGTCACCCGCTAATCCGCACTGGGCCCGCGTGGTGGGTCATGGCCCAATCTCCCTATTCCATCTATAGGGAAGGCCTGTGCCCCAGCAGTGGGGACATTAATAGGCTGATGATGATGATGATGACCGTTTTATTACCCGATTGCGTACGTAGCAGCAGTAGCAGCAGCGCGAAGTGCAACGCGCAGTGATAGAGAGGTATTGATGCCGATTCTAACATGATTCTCTAAACTTAAAACTAAATTTAACATAAACCTCTCCTTTTCATTCTGTATAAAGAATGACAAGGATGCACTGTTGTCAAATTTAAGTTAAGATTTTGTCCGAATCATGGCAAAATCGACACCATTGTTTATCTGCTAAACGGTGTCACATACATCAGATAAATTAAATTTTAGTAAAGAGCATTGTATGTAAATGTATTTTTATCATCAACTAGCAAACCCAGCGAACTCCGTTTCGCCACCAGATAGCTTCGTTTTATGTAACATTTCGTTTTGTGATTAAAAGAAAACGATTTTTTTTTAAATTTTCCTGAATTTTCTTTGCTATAAACCTCACAGAGCCCGAGACCTTTCCCACGAATGCAAAACCGTGGAAATCGGTTCGTGCGTTCAGGAGTTATAGCGTCAGGAAGGAAAACCCGACTTATTTTTATATAGTAGATTAGGGACTTAATTTGTTATTGTGTTTGTTCCGACCTGCCGGCCTAATCGCTAACTTTTTCGACATTTGGTACTTATACGTAATTAATCAACGACCCCCCCTTGATAGTACCTATAGATAAAATCGGATAAGAATTTAAGCCGTTATGATAGTGATAAAACTATCAGTGGTGTTGTTGATAGTGCATAACTGCCATAATACCCGGTCGGCGCAGGAAGGAAAATGTACTATTAATTTTATCTAAATTAGCAATAGAACCCTATTACTGAGCCTCTGTTGCCATCCACCCGTCTGTCAGCAGAACGTATACTCATGAACAGTCTAACAGTAATAGGTCTACCTATTACTGGGTGTTATAACAACAAATAATAAAAATAAATAAGTAAAAATGTCAAATAAAAGAGTCGCTCCCCATCTCCATACAAGAAACGTGATTCCTTTTTATCGGCGGCAATTGCTAGATCTAGTGTTAAATCTTCTTAAAAACTTAAATACGAAAACCTTCTAAAGTATGCTGTTTCAACTTGCCCTTTGCCGATTTTTTATAAAACACCACTAACGATATTAAATATCGTTGAACACTAAGCACATTTACCCTAAATCATTTAAATCAAATTAGTTCACTGATGCAAAGACAGGTGTAAAGTTGTGTAAGGGTCCTGGTTTTATATCCCAGGTTTTAAAAGACTTCTACACGCTTAGTTTGAAGGTTCCTGGATTAAAAAACGAGTGAATATATGGCTAAGGACACGAATGCAAAGGCTGAAAAAGCTAATGTAAAGTGGTGTAAGCGCTCGGTAATGTAAGTGGTGTAATTCAGCTCCTCAGAGCTGAATTTTATTATGCTCTTTTTCTTTACTTCTCATTTAGAACCCTGGATATGGGAACATATCGATCGATTCATGCGTGTCTTGTCTTTCACGGTCGATAATCCTGATCTATCTGCTGTCCTGGATAGGACAGAACCATTCTTTAAACGTCTTAGTACTTCTCAGAGTATTGAAATCTTAAGAATACAAAAGAATGAATGCGATGCGACGAGTCCTGGCCTGGCAGAGGCCATTTCCATTTTCGAATTGTGCGCAACAAAGAAACAAAACGCGAACCGAAAAAGCGTGACGCACCGTGACTGTGAAAAGTGAAAAAGCATCGACACCCAGGGACAGTGAGTGGCGGTACAATGCCGTCACGGACAGCGGCTCCCGTCAGCCTTGGTCACTCGTTGACACGCGATACCCGAGGCATTGACCACGGGGCAAACGGGTTGACCACTGTCCTGTAGGAGTTTAGCTCAACATGATCGGACATATTATATTGTCATATAAACCTATCAGTAGTGGCTTCTCTAAAATCAAAACTAAATTTAACATCAGCCTCTCCTCTCCACTCTGTATAGAGGATGTCAAGGATACACTGTTGTCAAATTTAAGTTTAGAGAATCATGCCAGAATCGACCTCGGTACGTTAATACAAAATTTTTACCCTGTTTCCCTCGGTCACGCACGGACGGGACGCCATTAATTTGGAAATACTACCGATTTCATCCATCTTTTTTAAGAAAACTTTCTTGTCCATCTCTCCATCCGTCTCTCTATCTGTCGCTCATGTCCCTGTATCTCTGTTTCTCGCGTGGAGGCAACGAGTTGATATTAATTTAACCATATCTATGGTCTATGGCAATCAGCCTTCAATCAAAGTTAACAGAAAAAGAAATGGCCGTATATGTTGCGTACGTACAAATTTGTACGGAGCGACCGAGTCGCATTTGTCCGTTTTTTTAAGTTTTTTAATACTTTGTAAAAGTAGCACAAAAAATTAGTTTAACAAATTTAATTTAACCTACGACTGTACCCGAAAGGATTCCGTGTCAAAAGGGGAGAGTAGGTAACCACGGTTACCCTGTTAACTAACATCCGCTAATCGTCCATCCATATTTACTAGATGAACGAACAAACGAGAGCATTAAAACTTTTGATGGATACCTATAAAATACAATTGTGGTATTTTGAGAGAGTTTTGGACAACATAGCCACGGTAATATTATCTCCATCTAGAAAAAGAAAATATTTTCTGCGCAATTTTCTTAATCATTATTTCCCGTAAGAAGCTTCACGTAAGAAGCACCCTTTTAACATTAAAAAATGAGACTAGCTTTCATTTGCTTACTGAGGACTTTCGAATACTCTGGCACGGTTTTCGGTCACAATACCAGAAGAAGAGGCGATAGTCTTAAAAAGATTCTGCTGACCGGAAAAGGGGAAGAAAAAAGGCCCAGAGCCAAAGGCAGAAGTCCGATGCGTTTGTCAGGCAGTACCGATCCGACCTAAACACCGCGGTCTGCGAAGCCATTCATATCGCTGAATATAGGTCAAAATGGCGAAATCTTACAGCCGCCTGTCTCAGCCTGCCGCCCCAGGCCATGACTCTCTTGGTCACGAGACAACTCTAGAGGACCTCCCTTAATCGACTTAAAAAGGAAGGTAGACCGATGAGCTTCTTAATATGAAATGGAGCGGAGTAAGGGCTTCTGTTGAGTCCGGCTCGAAGGACCAAAACTATGAAAAGCAATCAAATATTCGTGTGGAGTGTAGAAATATCATTTATTGACAAGATAAGAAATAAAAGCCAACCATATCAAAAAGAATATAAACATACTTAATCGACGCAAGAAAGAGGAAGAGAGAAAGAGAAATCTTTAGGAAAGTTTTTATGTCGAGGAAATAAGTTATTGAAAAATGTTTGTGATAAGTAAAGGCCAAGTAGGTAATGGGAATTTCCAGCATAATTCCCCTTTTGATTTTTACGATTTGTATTGAATGCCGTGAATGGTTATTTTATTAGGGTTCCGTAGTTCTGACAAGGAACCCTTATAAGACTAGACTATTAGCACTAGAGAGCTGTAAAGTCAATCATGCCGATAAAATGGTAGAATAAAGTTTAAATAAATATTTTTCGGTTAAGGGATCCGTTCTTGAAATATTGAACTTTAAAGCTAAACTAATGGCTTGAAAAACTTGGAAAATTCATGATAATAGTGCTTTTCATGAACTTGTAAGGAAATTTATAACGGTTAAAATAGATTTGCTAGTTTAAGAGTAATAGTCTTTCAATTTTATATATTAGGAAAATTTCTGACCTAATAAAAAATCCTTATAAGAAAACATTAAAAGTGACTTAGACGAAGTAGGTAATTGCTTAAAATATAGACTCTTTCCAAAATATTGTGGTGATGACGAGCAACTACGGAACTTTACACTGCGCGTGTCGTTTTAATTAGTTTATTTTTTTTTATAGTTAGTTAGTAATTATTAGCCATAGTTAGCCACGAAGATGATTGAATGTAATTCATCCCCCCTAGCATGAGCACCGCGATATGTTATAGATCGTGTTTTTATCACGCTCAAATGTCAAATTACTATGAAGTTTGACAAGTTAGAGGCGATAAAAAACGTGATATAGCTTAAATTGTGGTGCTTATGCTACGGGGACTGGAGTGTATGTGTATAGAAAGAGAATGAAGATAGAGAGGAAACATTTAAGAGGTAAAATTTTAATATCAGTGATTTGGGTTTAAGATGGATTGTGAGTGAACTTACATCATAAAGTAATAATAATCGATGTTCATGATAGGATTTGAAACTGAAAGTAGCCTTTTCGATAATAATTAATAAAATAAAACAAAGTTTACATGAGTTCTATACATAAATAAATAAAACACAGTCTACATTTCATTAATAGGAATCATAGTTTAATATATACAGGAACAATTAACCTTAAACTAAAAACCCTAAAAAATATAATAGTATAACTAAAATATATCAATAATTAAAATTAATAAGTAAAAAAGATTTATTATTTTTATACGAACCTGTAGGAATATGTATTGTTTTGTTTTTTCGTTATATCTTTATGAAAGGGTGGGTGTTGGGTTGGGTTTCATCCTCTAATTAAAACCAATTAGTAAAATAATATAACCCTAACCAAGCAGAAAAAATTAAAGCCTCAAGGAAAAATAATAACCGCTTTAATTTTTGTGAAGAGAACTAAGTCCATCAGTCATAATGAAAAATGATTGTTTTTAATTGAAAAAGGTTTATTTCTTTTTAGGGGACGTGTTGAATTTATCCTGAAATATTTCCTGCAGAACTATAATGACCTATCACTGAAGTAATGCAGGAAATATTTCAGGATAACTTGAAAAACCGTTCTCCTATCAAAGCCGGGTGCAACGATACGCGAGTGAAGCTAATATAAAAGCTTTCGTTGGCGCTCGCGTCCAACAGTTTAGCCGCAGTGCCCAAGGAGCGCACAACACCACACATATTCGAAATAATAGGATTCATTTTCAAAAAGGTGAGTATTTTTATATGATTAAGGATCTCTAAACTTATCCCTTATTTAAAATAGACTCCTACTACCCCGATAAGGACTAGTAAAATTTTTTTTGCATCACTCATAAATAACTAATTTACATAATAGTGGAAGCATTAATGGGTGTAATTATAGCTAGCAGGCTTACAGATATAACTCTTCTAATAATAAATAAATATTTATTAATGTTTTTTTGTTATTAATAATTCACTACTTAACATTTATGATTTTATTTATTTTTTAAGCATTTAACTAATGGTATTTTACTTTTAATGGTCAGTGCATTCGCCCGGATAGCGAAGGATGCGGGTTCGAGTCCCGTCCGCTGCCTGGTCCGCGTGGATTTTTTTTTCTAGTAAACTTTTCCTTATACTTAACATTTTTTTTCTTTTACCCCAAGACAATTAATAATGAATTTGGTTTCTACCTACCTAATGTGTAAGATTTTTTGAGTTGGTTGAAACAGGTTGTCAGTTATCATATATGACATAATGAATGTCAACATGAAACATAACATACCTACAATGTCACAGTGTTTGTCTGTTACGAGTACAAGATTAGATATTTCCAGAAACGCGCGCCGGCCGGCGTTTTTGTTGCCATAGCAAGTTTTTATTTAAAAAAAAAACAACCCAAACCGTCCATCTGCAAATAAGTTGTTGTTGATTAGATTTCTTTTGCACCAAAGAATGAGATCATTAAATTATCTTAATATGTTGGTTTGAAGCTAACTTATACAAACAACAGAACTTATTATTTACGTACTCTCTATAAACTTCGTATGTATGTTATTGAGTTAAAATTAACAAAGTACGAGTATCACACGTCATGAGCCGCAATGAGATTTATAGCCTTGATTTCTGTTGAAAAACTTCCTTCACGTAAGCCAAAATACTATCAAGTGTAAATGCAAAAGTGTGTGTCTTTCTGCTACCTCGTCGAGCTTAAACCGCTGAACAGATTTAGTTTTAGATTTAGAAATTTGGTATAAATACATATAGTTTGAGTCCTGGGAAACATAGGATAGTTTTTATCCTAGAATTCATCCTTTAAAGGGGTAAAAAGGGGGCGGCAGTTTGTAAGGGAAATCAATTGAATCACACAGACAAATCCGCGAGAAAAGAACCACTACAAGAAAAACTTTTGTACTTTAACTTATTAGTTATTTTTGTGAAAAGTTAATGTTTCTTCTCAATTGTACAAATAAAAAAAATATATTTAAATGATCATCAAAACAGTAATTGATCCTCGATTAGGTGATCATCTAAGTTCCTGCTATTTTTATATCAACATTCTGAATGATACAGGTTTTTTTTTAATATTCTCCCTAATAAAATGTCAATGATATTTAACTAAAAGTTTGTTGTTTCGTTTAATAAAATAGACAATGTTATTTTTTTTCAGTTTGTGAAGATTTTTCAGTAGTGAGATAGGTAATCAATTAATTCAATTCAATTCAAATACATTTATTTCAACCAAACAAGGATCATAATCAAATATTCTCAACTTAATATTATGCTAATAACCTTTCGTATTTTTTTTGCATACCTATTGTTGTAGGGTGGATGCCCTGCATAACGACACTTTAGCTTTGTTGTAATTTTTTATATATAATCATAGTATCTTATTCCTAACTTTATTATTTATTAGTAATTCCTTATGAACAATATAATAAATAAAAAGAATACCAGCCAATAGATACAAATATGATGAATATAGAGGAAAAATAAAAAAAAAACGTCACAATTGGAAATGTGTATAGATAGATAATAGTTCAATGTCTGAAAAGAATCTAAAATATCAATTAAAGTTAAAAGTAATAAATTTGTTTACATCTATCTACAATATGAAGCATGATAGTGCTAATTGTTGGACTTAAATGTGTCAGTCAATATGAAATTATGAACTTTTGTAATTGAAACCCCACAGCAATTGTTCGAGTACATAGTTTATGTACAGTGAGTTGGCTGCAGGTAGATAGGTACTTACCTAGTTTTTGCTGCTTCATTCTTCGCATGGCTGGTGGTTAATCGACAATCGGCCTTGGCTCTCCTAACCTACCTGCTCGAGCCGTTATGTACTATAGATGCATAGTTTTACTGTATTTAGTAGCAGTTCATATTATCATTAAAAAATATTTTAATTTGTTTTTGCGATTAGACCTAATTTGGTTGTTACTTGATATAATTTAAAGATGAAATAATAATCCGAAGAAGTTTCGTATATTACTCGATAGAAAAATTAAAACTCCATCCCCCCCCCCCCCCCCCCCCCATAACAATCTTCACGGCTTGAAAATTCTTCTACTAAACTCAGTCACGTAATTAGTCTCAATGAAATTACAAAAGCAGAACAAATAAGTTTATTAAAGTCTGTCTGCCTATTTTATTGACGGATTTTGATTTCTTTCGATAAAATAATGAGTGGAATCATTCTAAATCAGTGAAAAACGAAATAAAGATCAACTAAAACTTTGTTGAGAGATCAAGATCTTTTTTCACTCCCACTGAAGTTAACTTAAACCGATTCCGCATTCATTGGAATAAACCAAGTGAGTCATATCGTTATAAAGGTTCTAATGAAGAAATCAATCACATAGATTATGTATAGTCTGTTTTTATAAATCTTTTTGATTACGTTATTGGATACTAATAAATTGCTTATAATTAATAGAAAAATGATCCATAAAAGTCGGGATTTGTCGTAGATATTTCGGTTGTTTTACATAGGTTTCAAATCCAAAAAAAAAATGAAATTACCTCTAATCACTCTAATAGAAGTAGTTACTACTCTTGCCTTACGTACCTAGTTTTTGGTATTAATTATCTTGGTTGTGCTGCTATCTATGACTTATAATTCCTACTGAATTACTGAAAAAATATTTGAAATACTAGCACTAAAAACAAAATCATCAATCGTCATCAACACGATCTAGAAAAAGTACCTATCTTAATTATTTCCAGTGTTCATATCTGTGACACATATTTTACATTAAATATCAAAAGTAGTTAAAATAACTATTATAATATAATATATAGTATCGCCATTTTACAATTGAAAACGTAACAGATTTTTGATGTGTAACATCTTTCCCCTTTGCTTTCCTGCAATTTGTGGGGGTGATTTCGTGAAATGGGACGGAAGTGTGTAACAGGAAGTCGCGAAAGCGCGCGCTATTTGGTTGATTTTAGAACATAATGTTCATTTGGCTTATTCCTTTTTATTTTTGTTTTATTTCTTTTTTTACTAATATAAGGTGAGGTTTCAAATGTTACTACACATCATACGCGACTACTGTAAGGCTCGCTCGATTTTATTTCAAAAATGCTTTATTATATATAAATTCAAAGGTAACATTGTTGTCCTAGGTTATTGTTTGGGTCGTCAGCCGAAAAGTAACAGTGTTCGAGCCTAGAAGGTTTTTCTATGACCTCACTGGCGGACTGATTAGATTTGATCGAACGAACGCCTTCCGCCAAAGGCTATTGTAATATTGTAATCACCTCTCACGTTGCACCGCCTGTCATTTTCCGTATTAGTCATTCGTCCGTGGATGTATTTAACTGTGTCAGATTCAAAACACTTATAACTAAGGAGTAATTTATGATAACATCTTTACAAACTATTTACTAATGATAGTATACATTTGGGACAAAAATGAGGTATGAGTTTTCGCATTACTGTGGAAAACATAGATCTATAATGTGTAAGAAACGATTAAGTTTGGATCCTTCGGCAAATCAAATCTGTTTGGAAAAGTTTGGGTAGCTAGACAAAAGAACATTTTAACTTCAAAGTGAGTTTTTCGCACTTTTTCAAACTTCTGAAGTACCTACAGGTGAATTAAGTTGAGGCGAGCAGTAGGCGGATGACCTTCACAAATGGACTTACCACTCAAACTTAGTATGAGGTGAAAAGAAGTAGTACTTAGTAATAGTTTTTAAAGTCTTATTTTTAAATCCACGAAAACATAAAAAGGCTTTGAATAATAGTTAGAAGCGAGGAGACTCTTTTAAACAAGGCGATTGATTTGTTCCAGAAAAATGCCCGTGGACCTATATTACGTACCCGGCTCAGCGCCTTGCAGGACCGTCCTGCTCGCTGCCAAAGCACTGAAAGTTGACCTTAACCTGAAACTTGTCGATCTGCATCACGGCGAACATCTGAAACCAGAGTACCTGAAGGTAAGCATTATTATTAGCTTAGAGTCGACGCAGCAAATCAAAGTTCTGAAACTCTTATTCAACTAGACCAGTGGTTCTCAAACTTTTTAAATGACGGAACCCTTTTGGGAAGCAAAATACTTGATGGAACCCTACAATAAAACAATTATTTTTATAAGTGTATTCTATATTAATCAGCATAATAAAAGTACAATGTATCCGTTACTAATTATTATTTACTTCACCACTTGGTAAGGACAATAATAGAAAACATTAAAAAAGAAAAAATTAAAAAAGAAGAAGAGGTATGAAACTGTTTTTTATTTTTCATCAATTGCTTGATATCAGGTTTGATGGAAGAAAGTTGGAGTCTCATATCAGCTTCGGCGTCCAGTCTATTGCGATATTTTGTTTTCGTGGCTGCGTAGGTAGAGAATCCTGTTTCGCACAAATATGTAGTTGGGAACGGGAGAAGAATATCCAGAGCCATTTGGCCAAGCATTGCATATTCATCTTGGATTCTGCACCAAAAATCATTAAGAGGCGTCGTTTTGAACAATGACTCCATACTTGTGTCTGATGACATTTCTAAAAGAGATTCATATATCTCATTTGACATGTTTTCAGGCTTTTCCAAGTTGGGTAAAAAAGGATTATGAATCCAGGAGTTCACTTTAATTTTTGTATTGTGTTCTTCGGGAAAATACTTTTCAAAAGATGCGCGCATCGAACTGAGATATTGGACCAATTCTTCAAACACATTATCTTCAAACATTTCTGAGTCGTTTTCGCTAACAAACTCAGTGAGTAACGTAAAACTTTCTATTTCTTTCTTACCAATGCAAATGATCCAAAAATCTAATTTTCTTTTAAAAGTAGTTATTTTATTATAGGCCTGAAACACTGTTGTCTGTTTACCTTGCAATGATAAATTTAATTCGTTAAGTTTTTGAAAGATATCCGCCATAAAAGACAATCGGAACAACCAAGTTTTATCATACAAACGGTCCTTCAAATTAAAAGAAGTATCTGCTGAAAGAAACATTTGTAACTCGGCTCTAAGTTCAAATAGCCTTGTTAAAGTTTTTCCCCGAGACAGCCATCGCACTTCTGTATGGAGCAGCAGTGTTTTATGTTTGCTGCCATAATCTTCACACAATAATGAGAACAATCGGGATTGTAGTGGTCGTGATTTGATAAAATTAATTATTTTTACCGCTTCATCCATAACTAATTTTAGATTAGACGGCATTTGCTTCATCGCAAGTGCTTGTCTATGCAGAATACAATGACTGGAACTACAATTAGGCGCTTTATTTTTCATTCGTGACACTGCTCCTGCTGTTTTACCTGTCATCGCCTTGGCCCCATCTGTACAAATGTCAATGCAATTGTTCCAACTGAGATTATGTTCTTCAAAAAATATATTTATTTTATTAAAAATTTCTTCCCCGGTAGTGTTTGTAAGCAGCGATGAACACATAAGCATGTCTTCTTCAAAAGAACTTTTATATGGATATCTCACAATAACCAGCAGGATAGCCAAACCAGCGACATCAGTCGACTCGTCCATTTGCAAAGCGAATCGTGTATTTTGTAGACGTGTAACTAGTTCTTGTTTGACGTAGCTTGCCAGATCATGGATTCGTCGTGAAACAGTATCGTTTGATAGCGGAACAGTAGAAAGATGCTTTGCAGATTTTTCATCAAGCATACATTTTGTTATGTCTAATACACATGGTTTTATTAATTTCTCAGCGATAGTGTGCGCTTCACCTGCTTGTGCAATGCGATAGCTAACTAAGTATGATGCCTCCGTGGCCTTTTCGTTGGTAGTTTGTGTTACATGCATCATATTTTTTTGACTTTCTAATAACTGATCTTTTTTGCGAACAAAAAATTCTTTATTCTTGTCTTTAGTCTCGGGGTGTACGGTTTCTAAATGTCGACGCAATTTGGCAGGTGCCATGGAACTATTAGGAAGCAGTTTACTACAGAGCATGCAGAGAGGTGAGCCGTTGGAATCAACAAATCCGAAACTGATATAAGATTCATCATACTTCCTTTTTTTCGTCTTTGAAACCGTCGAGCTTGACGTCGTGGCACTCGTGGCATCATCTTCTGGATCGGTGATTGCTAAATTCTCCGCGCGCATTGCTTTTGAACATTCAGCGTCATTAGAAGATGTTGTTGGAACACGTTTAACACCTTTAAGCCAACGTTCCATTCTTCTTTATTTATAATGTTACAAGTCAGGATAGTGGGGTTTAAATAATGCACAATCGTTACTGCGTATAAGAGACTAAATTTAGAACCTACAGGGAAGAAATGTATAAAACTGAGACAACAGAATACAGCAGGCAGTAAAACAATGAACACCAGTTTCTCGCTAGCGAGCTTGTAAGTAGGTAGTAACTTATCGCTCCGAACGCTAATCATCAACTGACGACGCCAACGCGCGATCGCCGCTTTTATACTTAGTCCTAGACTCGATCTCAAATATTCTCGAAAATACTCGAGTCGGCACCTTTGATAAACCAAAAGCAAAAATAAAAACAGAAATTTAAAAATAGCGTTGTAAACAATATCGACTTTATCCTTTGAAGTTAGAGACGAAAGTCGCTAGTTGACAACTATAGCGTCTAATTCAGAGGCGGCTTTTATCAAAGAGACTGAGCGCTTACAAGTATACTACCCGCTCGTTTTAAGTTTGCCGCTGGCGATAGGTATGAGTGTATGACGTTCGAAATTTTTTATTTAATTGTAACAATAAAAATTGTGTACGTTAGATATTTGGGTAAAACTATGACACATTATAAGTTTTGTTGTCACGTGGGGGAGGGTACGCGCATTCCACAGACCGGCAAACTTAGAGCGAACGCGTTGTACAAGTATAAAATTGTTGAGACCAAACTTATGAGATATTGTACCAGCTAATGTAACACAAGCTTATACAAATACAAATAAATAAATAAATAACATTCATAGCGTTTTGTCTCCGCGCGGCCGCGGAGTCCGCACAGCCGCGGAGCGACCAGAGAGAGGTGTTTTGATTTTTTTATTTCTAAATTCTTGCGGAACCCCGACAGAGGTATCACGGAACCCTAGGGTTCCGCGGAACACACTTAGAGTATAGCTGAACTAGACGAAACTGTTAGGACTTTATAATGAAAGACCATGTTATTTTACAGAACGAGCAACGTTTATTCTATTTCAGGTGACACATATATTATCTCAATACAAACACATTGGCGACCATCACAAAACCATAGAGTAGAGATCAGAGCAATCATAGACACATTTCATTGCCACTCTCAACAGAAACTCGGTATTTTGAAATTTGATTGATCGCTTGGGGTTTAACTTGTTTAAATGTGTTTTTGAGGAAAAAAAATACATTATATTATGGTTCTAATTATTCTGGTTGGGAAATTCTTACTGTGGCATTTCTAGGTATAGGTAGGTAAATGTTATGGATAAATAAATATTCCAAACCCGGAAAATTCCTGTTTGTTACTTCGTTACGATGTATCGCGGTTACCTATTAAGTGGTTAGTAATGTTTAATCATGTTAAAAATAGTAATAATGTTCCTGATTTGAACTCATTTATCCGTGTTTATTATTTTTAGTAATGGTATGTAATATCGAAGGAACTCATCTCTTATCTATTAGACAAGTTCGTCCGTCTGTCTGTGGTGCTGTTTCAGCGGCCAAACCGTAAGAGATAGATAAAGAGAATATTTAAGTTATAAGTTAAGAATAGTCTGATAAGACTACAAACCGGATTTGAGTAACGTAGCACTTCCGGTTTTCGAGAAATCAGGTTTTGGTGAACATTTGGTTCACTGGTTTGCTAGTTATTATGTAATATCGTAATACGGGCGAATGAAAAATTATCATTCCGTGTTTGAAACACTCTTTAAGACTCCTTCCTCCTGGGTACATCTGCAGTCGTTATGGCCACGTGCCCATGCTATGGTCTCACTGAGAAAAATTACTGAGCGTAATATTACTAGGGCTGCCATCTCTAAAATGTAGCAACCAGGATAAGATGCGTGATAACCCCGGATTTTGAAGCCCAGAACCCGGATAGACCAATAAAAAAACAGTTAAAAATGTCACAAATCAACTTTTTTATGTTGATCTAGGCAAAAGAGCTAGCGGTCTACCTCATAATAAGTGGTCACTGCTGCCCATGGACACTTGCAGCACCTAGGGCCACTCATGCGTTGCCGTAAATTTTTAAACCCGGACTACAAATAAAACCCCGCCCGGACGCTCCCCGGACGCAACGTAAACTAGGAAACCCGGACGGACGGCAGCCCTAAATATTACGTTGGTATAAAATCTCCTACTACGAAAACTTCTTTCAACTAAAAAGCTAATGTGTATGTACATTTTTAGTGGTAGCACTTTATCTGAACACTGGAACTTCATCGTTGCGAGATAAATGGAGTTGTAATAAGGCAGATTATAGGGACAATATTCTTCCTTGTGTATAGTGAAAAAAAATATAATATATGACGCTTTCATTATAATATGTACGATGCATGTAATATCAGTGAGGCTAATAAACGATATCATAATAAACGCATTTGCTTCTATTTAAATATCTCACATGCAATAAAAAGTGTTATCTGTTTAATGTTTAATAGTATACATGTAAACCAAAAGGCAAGTGACTAATCTATACTTTATTATAATGATGAGTGACTTCACTGTTTTGTGATTTAATTTCATAGGTACCAAAAACATAAAAATTAAAAAATCAATTCGGCCAATGTGTCAAACTAAACAGCTTTATAATTCGTTCTTTTTAAAAGTAAGTTTTTAAATAATTAAACTATTTCATACCTATGTTAACTCCTTTGGGAACCAATTTGACGATATCTATTATTACAAATAGAATATTGATTATTTATCCTATAGTTGTACCTATTGCTTATCGATTTTTCAATAATCAGTGATCTAAAAATATTTGACTATAACGACAACTAGAACTCAGGAACTGCATTCTTTATGAAATAAGTTACGTCTGCCAAATTCCCATCAAGCCAAACCATCTCGGAACAGAAGTAGATCCAAACTACATAAAGAATTATATTGATTTGCAACTTTAAACTTAATGTTTCCCCTATTAAGGTGGAAAATTGAAAGATAGAAGTAGCCAAGGCCAAACCAAACTATGTTGATGATGTAACTGCACTCCACATTCTGAGTTCATTGAACCTTTTATGGGAATAGGAACAAATATTTTGTTTTGCTGTTGAGTTGTATTGCATTCTAAATATACTTTAAGCTGGATGCTAGTGCGGTAAAACTTTATTGATACTGAATACTCGCTATTTGATAAAGCAGTGTAAACATTGAAGATAATAAACAGTTTGCTGTTAGCGAGATAAGAAATTGAGGTGATAACCAAACTTTAAGAAAATATATGGCTAAACGATTGAAACTGCATAGCCTTCAGATCAAGTTTGATCGAAATCAACAGTTACAATGCGCGGTGGACTCACTTTTATAACACAACAAGCTTATGCCACGGTAATATTATCTTAAATTAATTAATATTACCGTGCTTATGGATAACTTCCTACGCGGCATTGATGAACGAGTTTGATTTATTAGGAACATCTGAATGGCTCCTTAACCCATTGGACTTATCATCATTTCCTCATTGCCCAGGTTCAGTTTTTGTATGGACAATTCACATAATAGGAATGCGTCAACAATAAGAAGTCGATTAATTGACGAACACCATTATTCCTCTAACACTATACATGTTTGTTATGAAATCTAGGTGCATCGATCTATTGACATTTTGTTTTTTCGATGTTATCATATTGTTTGAGACTTTGAAATGAGACGGGGATGTGGAAAATTTCTATTAAGTAAGCAGGGACACGCATCGATCTTTTAATTATTAAAATGGATGCATCTATATTGTAAAATATCCTTCCAAAGGACCTAATCCTAATTCAGTAGAAAATAAATGTGATAGAATTTTAGCCCATACATCGTAAAGGGCAGGTTTAAATGGCGCCTGACACCTGTGACAAGTTGAATTTTGCTACTGACATTTTATCAAACTAATTGCTAGTTTGCGCAAATTAATTTCAAACAAAACTATTTCCTTTACGCATTCTATTTCCGCTATAAATAAGGTTAAAGTATTTGAATGCTGAATGGTATCAGTTAATAAGTATAGTCGCCATCGCCAAGTCACCGGTACCAAATTCCCCAAACCGGTTTCGATTGTAGGCGGTTGTTACAAAATTTAATAGCCTCATTGCTGGTCCGGTCGAGCTCGCCTCACCGAACGACGCGACGGTTACAGAAAAAACGATTTCCCTTACCACTACCCGAAACTCGTTAAAGTTAAGGGGGACGTCAAAACATTTGTGTCGATTGAGGAAAATTAAGTCAATATCGTTGCATGTCACATACCCACCTAACTTCCAGTGTATTGGATCAATGTTGTTAACAACCCACATAATGAAGCAACGATGGTATTGGCTTTGAAACCTTTATTTTCATGAATTTAGCTATTTAATAGAATAAAACACTAATAAGACATTTTTTCAATTAGAACTGCTTAAGAAAATCTGGTTCGAATTGTTGTTACCAAAATAGGTTAAACTATCAAAAATGTATCGAATAATAATTATCAAAAAGCTGATTTTACCCACACTATAATAGATTGTGGTGTATATACGTGCTTAGTTGGTAATTGGTGATATAATGAAAATACAAAAAAAAGCGTGAAGCGTCCTTCGGCATTAAGATTACAAACTACACCATATAATATGATAGAAGGGACGGAAATATAAGAATGTTTGTACTAGAAGTCATACAATATGACAAATTAGGAGACCACAGGACCACGTGGAAATTGTATGACTAAGAACAAGGTCACATATTAATATTCATAGACTTGTATGACAAACTAAATACATAGTATGATAACGAGGAAACACTGAATTTCTTCAACTCGCTAAACTTCCACCTAATAGATAATAGCCAATCAAACCCATCAGCGCTTACATCCGAGATCAACGATGCAATCAGAACCAAATTTTGTCCAAGTTATGAGCATTTGCTTACACATAACTGTGGCGCGCCTGCCCCACCCAAAAGGCCCTTTTCTAACTTTTTTGTATGTTATAATTTTTATTATTTTAAAGCATGTAACTGCTTGATGTTTAAATCTAAAGAAAATATAACTAGAAAAAATTCCACGCGGACCAGGCAGCAGACGGGACTCGAATCCGCACCCTTCGCAATCCGGGCGAATGCACTTCTTTGTATGTTCTGCGGTTTACACGTTTGACTAAAAGTGCTAAGTAGCCAGTATTCTTTCAAAAAATCACACAATTAAGTAAGTACTTATTTTTGTTACCTGTCTGTCTTGTTAGCAAATCAATGATGAAAGTTACAAGCCGACAAAGCAAAACATTTCCAAGGTCAATATAACAGATCGATACAGCCGTAAGTTTATAAGTTATTACTCGTAAGTAATTGATCATTCAAGCTAAGTTATCGATAAGTAATTATTATTACATCGCTATATTTTTTTGTCGTCTAATCTACTAGAGTACCTTATAAAGAGTATGAAGTCATTGAAGTATTGATAATGTATTGGTTGGTACCCACCAACTTGTTCGTAAAAATCTATCTTCTTATAAAGTTGTTAGGTATATGAGCCTTGTTGATTGGGCATGCGCGCCGCAGTTATAAGCAGACGATCATAACTCAACCGAAACTTACGATGGCGTCGTTTAGTTGTTTGCGAACATTCAGTCGGGGAGAGAGAAAGTATTGTAAAAAGCGCTTGAGATCTACCTAACTCTACCTCCTCACATCTCTTTCTATATATTCTGTGGTGGTCCAGAACCTCGTATTGATCTTTCGCCCGGGGCATAGCAAAGATCAATCGTTCGGTACCTAGCAAAGATCGATCCAAATCAAGTCATTTGGCCGACCTGTCTATAAAAAAAATCTTTATTAAAAACCAAAGGTGTAAGCTGCCAATTAATTTTGATGTAGCTGTACCTCAAAATTAATACAGAACGTGAACACAAAACAATACCATAAACATCTCTGTACACTGTGTACCCTGCAATAACAACGATGGGTGCTGTAGTAAATGTCAGATATCAATACCCTTAGCACGAACTAATATCGAGTTCGAATAGTTTGCGAGTGCGAAATGTCATTGTCAAATATTGTATGAAAACTTGAACAGCAGCGCCATAACGTACGCAACGAGAACTAAAAATCAATACACATTTGACAAAGACATTTCGGACTCGCAAATGATTCGAATTCGGCATTGGTTCGTGCTAGAAAATCGTACATAGACGATTCTAATGGTGTCAATAATTTTCCAGATAAACCCCCAACACACGGTGCCCACGCTAGTGGACGACGGGTTCTCCGTGTGGGAGTCTCGTGCCATCATCACCTACCTCGCCAACAAGTATGCCAAGGGCAGCCCCCTGTACCCCGAGGAACCAAAGGCGCGCGCATTGGTAGACCAGCGGCTATACTTCGACATCGGCACACTGTACCAGAGGTTCTCAGACTACTTCGTAAGTAAATAAATAAAAATAAATATTTTCAACACTCACACCAATCAGCCTAGCCCCAAAGTAAGCAGTGAAAGGCTTGTGTTATTTATGGAATAATAGGGTAACGGATAGAATACATATACTGATACATATATAAATATTTTTTTTTATGTAGAAATATATGTAAACATCCATGACTTAGGGTACAAATGCTCGTATTCATCATATTAAAATTTGCCCCACCGGGATTCGAATCACGGATTTCGGCCACGGAGGTCGTCAAATTCAAGTCAAGTATTTATCTAATTTTGACGCCTGATTGGCGTAACGGCAGCGATCCTTGCTGCGCATGTGTTTAACTAATCGGCCAAGTAGTGTTGCCGATCGATAGCCGACTATCGATGATTAATCGATAGTCTATCGATAGCAAACCAATCGTATGACAATCGATCGGCTTATCGATAGTATCGATACTACCGATAGCACAGAAATAGCCAATACTATCGATAGTATTTAACTATCTTTAGTATCGATACTGTCGATTTTATTTGCAACCACACTATCGATAGTTTAACAATTTACAATAGTATTGTTTACAATTTTCAGGTACTATAGTCAAGCACAAACTTTTGCCTAAAACAATCGCTAGTATCGATACTATCGATAGTATTGTTGCAGATAAAATCAACACTATCGATAGTATCGATTCTATCAATAGTTTGTTATTAACGAACTACAATATTATCGATAGTATCTATAGTATTGCACTCATTCGATAGTATTACCTTGTTCTGAGCTACCGTTAGTTTCGATACTATCGGTTGTATCGATTCTATCGATAGGGTACATGATTTTCGATGTAAACTGTCGATAGTTTTAATATCGATAGTTCGGTAACACTAGGCCAAGCCTTCTTTCTCTAGCAATTGTTGAACGTTGACCTGGCGACGCTGTGGCTGTGAGGTTTGCTTAGTACTTCATAAGTAAAAATTCTCCACTAACCGGCTCCGGTTTCTCCGGTTTTGGTAGCAAATGTATCACCATTCAACTTTGTCAACAAGTACGCTTGTTTGTACTGAATTATCTCATAAGGGTAGAGGGAGAATTTACCCAAATCATTATTGTATTTAGTGTAACTAATATAACACTTAAAAGTTACTATTTTCTTTTTTACTATCCCTTCTTTCTGTTAGTTCAAATTGCTCTAGATTCCGATCTGTTAACTCGATAAGGATGATGACTAATTTTTTTTCTTCGTTTATCAGGTAGATTATCAAAAATTTAAATATACGCAGCAGCCAACTGCTCCGCGGCCCCGAGGTGCGTTAAGTGCCTCGTACCCCACCTCACCAAGGAGTGCTCCCGCACTCGTGACACACCCACACCACCCGCATGCGTGCTCTGTGGACAAGAAGGCCACCCGGCCAATTACAGGGGCTGCCCGAGGGCCCCACGCCCCAGGCCCAACACTCACACTCACACACACACAAAGCCAACCACGGCGACAAAAACACACCCACCACCACCGAATAACACCACCACAAACTTCCCGGGGCTACCCAAGGCGGCCGCCCCTCGCAGCCCGGCGCCCCCGACTGCCTGGGGACCAGCCAGGGCCCGCCCAAAACCACACCCACCACAACACACCACACCAACAACACACGCTAAGCCAGCCCAAGACGTCTCTCTGGCCGAGGACATGGCGCTTATTCGCTCCTCGCTTAAGAGGGTGAATATCGCCGAGATCCACACTCTCGCCGCGAAGCTCCGGCTAGCTAAGACACCCCTTGAAAAGGCTATAGCTATAGCCGAAAACCCCGAACTCGTTATCACATAATATAAACATTGCAGAGATATATTGATTTGAAAAGTCGCATGACATCACGTTTGAGTACACTTTTAAGCGAATATTCACTAAAAAGTGACGTCATGAGCCCCTACTCCCTAACTTTGACGCGCTATAACTTTGTCATTTTTTGGTTGATTGCCCAAAGAAAAAATACGTGTCCATTATTTTTTGATCATGTAACTGACGGACTAATTAGAATTTCGTTTACTGTACCCTGTCATCACCCCTAATACTTTAGTACATCTATATATTTCACCTTTGTTATAGTACCCACAAGTATTCGGTGGCGCGCCGGCCGATAAAGAAAAGCTGGCTAAAGTGGAAGACGCTCTGAAGCTGTTGGACCAGTTCCTCGAGGGTCAGAAGTTCGCGGCCGGCCCCGCCCTCACCCTCGCCGACCTCAGCCTGGTCGCCTCCGTTTCCAGCATGGAGGCTTCAGACGTCAACTTCAACAAATACAACAACATTAAGAGGTAATGGCATCGCGTTAAGAGGATATCAGACCAGTTCCAGGAGAGTCAGTAGTTCTCTCACTCACTCGCTAGCTTCGGACTAGTCACTTCCGTCTAGGGTTACCATTTAGGAATTTCAAAAGTCCTGACAAAAATCCTGATATTTCGATAAAAGTCCGGACTTTTTAGTCGCAAAATGGTACCATTGTTACAATGGTATGATATTTAAATCAATATGTACTTTTATTATTCATATTCAATGTAATTTCTCAAAACCCGGACAAATTAAAGATGTAAAAGTCTGGACATGTCCAGACTTATCCGGGCGGTAACCCTACATCCGTCTCCAATATGGAGGTCTCAGACAACTTCAACAAATACATCAACTTTAAGAGGTAATGATCCAGTTTTCGGAAGATTTTGACCTAGTTCCGCGAGGGTAAGAAGTTGTCTGACTTCGGTTTGGTCGCCTCAGTCTCCAGAAAGGAGGTCACAGACACCAACTTCAACAAATACAACAACATTAAAGTTTAAATCTAAAGAAAAGTTTACTAGAAAATAATCCACGCGAACCACGCAGTAGTTATATAACTGCTAAAATATAAACTTAACATTAAAATTTTCTCACTCACTCCCAAACTGTAGGCTCGTCGTCTTCTCCAGCCATGGAGTGTTTGCGTTTCGTTTCGATCATTCAAAGTTGTTGGAGGCAGCCGAGAGCTGCAAACCATAGACGTAGAGAATACACACTCTCATGAAATTGACAACTCTATAGAATCTAGATCATAACTGCTTCTCTTCTTGATCACAGTTGGTTTCATTCTTGATCACAACTGGCTCCCTTTTTAATGACAACTAGCCCATTGTTGATCTTTCAACTGAGCGACACTCTCAAGGAACTGGGTACTCCGTAAATATTTAAAAAAATAATAACGAGAACGTTATATAATCAAAATGTTTTACCGAATCAACTATACACGCGAGCAATGAATCGAGTTTATCTCTATTTTAATAATAGAAGAAAAATATACTGGAACATTAATTAAACTTTTCATTGGTATTTCATTATACCTATTACAAGATATAAGATCAATTGTGACCATACCCATGAAGTTATCTTTGTTTGCTATTTTGAGTTTTGGAAGAACAAAGATGTTATACAGGATGTTACAAAAATACAAATAAAGCTTGAAGGGCGTTGAAGTACATCATATAAGGAGTCTTCTCTAATTTTCTTAAAATATTTGCATGAAGTTTTAAACTTTTTATAAAAACAGTTAATTTAAAGATTAATAAAAATATCGATCATTTTAAGAATACGTTACTAGTTCGAGGATCGTTAAAAATAGCTGTTTTTATAAAAAGTTAAAACTTCATGCAAATATTTTAGGAAAATTAGAGAAGACTCCTTATATGATGTACTTCAACGCCCTTCAAGTTTTATTTGTATTTTTGTAACACCCTGTATATAAAAGCTTTCATTGCTACAGGTGGTATGAAACAGTGAAGATGTCAGCACCTAACTACGAGGAGGCCAACGGCAAGGGTCTCCAGGCCTTCAAGGAACTGGTCAACAACATGATGAAGAAGTAACTTCAGCACCATCAATTGAAATCTTACAAACCTCCACAGAAATATTCATTCCGTTTATAATGTCACGTGTTTGGAATGTAAAGATACGTCTTACTAATGTTTGTACTGTTGTGTAAAGTTTATTTAGGATTTAAGGCACAATTTTATTAAATTATGTTTGAAATAAAAAATCTTATTTATTTCCTCCTGGTGGATTACAGCTTTTTGCTCTGGGTAGAATTTTCATAAAAACCTTAATTATTAAATAAAACTAGTTTTTCACGGGTTAATGCACGAAACTTCATTTATTTATTGACGTTTCTTCAGTCTTGCGTTTAAGTAATAAATTCATACATAGACAATAAAACTTCAAAAATCGAACAATGAAATAACCGAATGTTGGCAATTGATGTAAATATTGCTGTCAATTAATGTAATTGGGTAGTATGAACTTGGTTGTAAGTTGCTTATTTGACTTTATCCGGTCGCGCGACTTGCCGTTGCCGCGCGGTTGAAATAATGTACCATTGCTGATTTGACAAAAGAGTGAAAACTATAAAACAACTGTCAAGTCACGCGATTGGTCATTCGGTTCAAGTTCTTGGCGTGGAAAAGACGCTTAGAAAATAGTGTACTAAGTGAAGTGCATAATAAGGCGCTTAGCAGACGACGGGGCGGGGCGGGCCGGTCAATTTCGCCGCGAATAATAGCACAAAGTGAATCCTATACTTCAAACGCACACAGAGGGCAAAAAGACCGCGCCTTGGGTGCCCGGCGGGCAGTGGCGGCGCGGCATGTCTGCGGCTGCCAGCCGTGGATCATACAAACCAGTTTATATGCAGTTACGCACACGGCGGCGCGGGGCGGTCAGCTCAGTCCGCGCCACGCGCTTTTTAGTGATGGACTATTCACTAGAACGAACGTCCTGAACTGACCGCCTCTGCCCGTCGTGTGCTTTGTGTACGCGGCGCGGGCAGCCGCAGACATCGACGGGCAGACACGGTCTTTATTGCTTCGCGGACAAAATGCCCGCCCCGCCCCGTCGTCTGCTCAACGCCTAAAAGTGATTTGTGCAAGACGAGTATTTTATTTAGATTGCTTTCACGAACGCTTAATAAAAGTCTTTAGAAGGTAGCTCGACAAAATTAAATGAAAAAAATATTCCGACGACACAGCCTGTAAAGGCTGCGAAACGTCAATAAATAAATAAAGTTTCGTTTAAATTAACCCGTAAAAAACTGGTTTTATTTAATGAGTGATGTGCGTGAAAACCTAAGAAACAAAAACCTTAATTATATCAAGGTACTTTATTCCTGTTTAATTTGTTATTCGAGATTTAGTTGCACGACAAAGCTGTAGCCTACGTGTGCTTTAGCTATACAGGCAAATCACCTTCCTGCGTGACGGATGCTAGCAGTATGTATGGCGATATCTGGCATCATTATCTAAATAAAAATTTCTTCACTTAAGCGACTCTATGAATATAATCGACCAAATAATTTAATTTCATCAGTAACTATGGACAATTTTTCTTCTCCTTACAAATGCTAGAAAATTGAAGTACTTGAATTGATCAATTTATTAAAAACAATTAGGTACGTTATCGTTGAGTTGATTTATTTATCAAAGAAAAAAAATAACTTATAAAATATTATTTAATAAACATTTGTTAGGAACTATACATAATTTACAATTCAGTCTTGCCTTTAAGTTTTGCAATTAATTCTTTAAACATATCGATGCCTTCGCCGTTCGCTTTCTGGTAGCCTGGTGCAGTATTCTTCACCAGTTCGAACCACCTGAAAAAAAACCAAATGATTTTAATAACATTTTACACGAAAGCTTCGCCCATACGTGAAGAACAGTGATGTGAGTTAGGAAACAGGAGCTTTACCGAGCGCTCGTCTGCGTTTAACCTAAGTAAACCTTACAGAAGACCTTTGCTAGTTGAGAGGCGATGTTCTTTATGCCTCCTCTACAGGTCGACAGATGCATCAGCAGATGGATCACCACGAGCCTACCACACGTCTGACGAAACTGCTTGGAGTCCGCATAAGGGGCTGTCCATTAATCACGTGAGGCTCGAAGGAGGGGGGGAGGGGTCCATAAAAAAACACGAAATATCACAAGGGGGGAGGGGGGCTGTAGTAATATATCATGTGTATTTCCGTGGTCCGAGGATACTGTACATTAAATAATGTTCAAGTATAAGTTTTTCGCATTTATTTCATTATTTTTGTCAGTCAAAAACAACCTGCAACCTTGATACTTTATACCTGTATTTCATAAATATTTTCAACAAAATAAATTATATACTAAAAAATACACGTGATATGGAGAGGGGGGGGGGGAGGGTAGTCTTAAACCTCACCATATATCACCAAGGGGGAAGGGGGGTCTAAAAACGCCAAAAAACCTCACGTGATTAATGGACGGCCCCTAAGCAGTATTTGCGGGCTATTTAAAACTTTACGGCTCTAGAGATAGGTCATTTCGCCAAGCTAATCTATGGTTAAACTTCTTCGTACAAAAGTAGGCTCTAACTATCACAACAAATAACGGCTTATATATATCCCGTCAGTCTGTGTTCATTCTCGACAAAAGCAACACGTACGCACAAAAGATTAAAAAAATAAATGTTGAGATCGTAGGTACCGCAATTATTTGTTTATTTAGTACTTTTAACTACTACTTGGCGTGCATCGCAGTAATTTATTTAATCTCTGTTAATTTCTGTGTTTTTTTCTGCTTGTGTTCCTTGCATTGTTTATGTCATGTACACAAAATCTTTGCTTGAACAGCATTTTATTTTCCTAATAGGTATATAATATTGATCTCACCAGACTTATTTAATTTTATTAAAAGTTTCAAATATTTTTTGAAGTTATACTTCTTTAGGCGCGTTATGAAAAAATGATGAAAGTGAAATTTTAAGATGCGCGCGCATCACTGTAACACAAAATATTAACAGCATGAAGTTGGTCGCTTTGGCGACCAACTTCATGCTGTTACTTTTGTGTTTACCGCACGTTAAGAAAATCTACCAACAAAATAGAAATAGAATCTCTATTTAGTGGGTGCTAACGACTGCATTGTGAAGGCCTATCAAAAGTATTTATTAATCTGGAACAACGGAACCAAAGCGCGATTCAGGAGACTACAGCGCCATCTCTTGACCATTGGTGTAGTAGAACCAAAAACCACATCTTTATTTTTTGTAATAAAGTAACAGTTATATGTATTCATATTTATAATATTTATCCATGTGTTTCTAGTTTGTATATTCGGAATACGTGTATGAGTTTCATACAAGTGCAAATCACATATGTTCTAATAAATTATATTCAGTAGCGATTTTAATTGAATATTTTGATTATTTATTTATTTTTTCAAATTAAAACTGAACTTTATTGACTGTGTCCTTTTCCAGACTTTTTATTAATTTATTGTAATTAATTATTTGCATGCAATTAAAAACTAATTTTAAACGATGTCAAAGAAGGATAACTTCTCACGCGCCTACATAAGTACACGCACCCATTTTTTTTATAAATCTAATATGAATAAGTTTCAACATACAATACATTTCACTATAAGAAGGTATTTACTATTCATTTAATAAAAAAAACTAGAAACATTTTTAAATTCTATAAATTAACAGATATAATATGAATTATCTACTAAATCGAAATAAAATGTTTATTTCCTCTAAATAAAAATATAAATCAGGAATAAATTACACGTATTGTGTGCCACTAGGAGCGCCAAATGAACAGGTAAATTGTATTCTAGAACCAAAATTTCGACTCGTACTAATATGTGATCACATTTTCATTTCATCTATTTTCTTTAATAATTTTTAAGACCAAAAATTGACCTGTCCACGCTCTTGCTATTTTATGTAAACTCACTTCGCTACATTCGGATACGGTTGCAAGCTGATACCGTCAGTTAGGGTTGCCACCTTTTTTATGTCCAAATAAAGTACATTGGAGATTAAAGGTAGAAAAAAGAGTACATTGTGTCCAAAATAAAGTACTTTTTATTCCACTTTATTAGTACGCTTAAAAATATATTTTGCGTTGCGTATAGCAACTTTTAATGAATAATTTGTGGCTACTAAAAATCTGTAGTTCTTATCCGCAATGGCAAAGGCCATTGTACAAAGCCATACAGCCGCGACAATGTTGCAGGAATGAGCTAAGGGTGACATATTATACATTCTGTGGTTCCGTTTTACGCAAAAATTCTTCTTATCCTCTTTTTGTATGTTTTATGTAAAATTAATCCCCAAGTAATCAAATCACATTAAATAAGGTATTTTCGCGTACTTTATTGTTGGCATAATGTATAGAGTACAATTACCCGAAATACAATACTTTATAATAAAGTACGGTTGGCCACTCTACTTACAGTAGTCGCTCGCGTATGATGTGTAATATTTGAAACCTCACCTCATATTAGTAAAAAAAGAAATAAAACCTACTACAAGAGGAACAAGCCATTTGAACATTACCTATGTTCTAAAATCAAATCAAATAGCGCGCGCTTTAGCGACTCCGTGGTCCACACTTCCGTCCCATTTCACGAAATCACCCCCACAAATTGCAGGAAAGCGATAGGAAAGATGTTACACATCAAATATACTATGAAATCTTACTTCGCTACATTCAGGTATGGCTTCAAGTTGATACCGGCAGCGTCAATCGTGGAGACGGTGGCCACCAGGGACAGGTCAGCCAGGGTCAGCTTCGGGCCGGCGGCGTACTCCCCCGGGCTGCTGTCCAGGAATGAGTCCAGGAAGCCGAGCGCCTCACCGAGCTTCTTGTACAGACCCTCGTCGGGTTGTGCCCCGGCGAAAATTTGCGGGTACTGGAACCAAAATATGTATTTTCACGCCAAATAGGTGGCCCTTACGGGATTGACAGTCTTTGATTAAAGTGTTAAAGGAGCAGCTTGAGTTTGAAAATTTTACATCCAAACCAGAAATAACACCCATTGCGTTATATTGGCTCCAAAATGTCTACCGCAAAGTAGCTAAGGGCAGGTTGCCAGCTCCTGTTTCAACCTTTAACTTTCCGAATACGGGATTATTACGTACGTTGCTAGGCTTTTACTGTCTGGTTTGGAAATCTTTATGTGTTTTCCTTCACTTCCATAAGATAATATCGTTGTTCACTTACCACCCGGCATAAGAGAAAATTCAAAATTTTTGAAATCATCTTTTTTATGTGAAGATCAGCGCGATAACGTCTGCATGAAAGTAAGTAAAAGTAATCGTGCGGCCAAAAGATCCTTTAGGTATCGGTGACCAAAGAGGTCATGTGTATAATGACGATATCTGCCTCTCTAGCATGAGCACTGTGTTGGGTTAACATAACAACCTTTTTTCTATCAAATATAGTATTTTCGAAACTCTTTTTTACCTTTAAAATTATAGCAAAAAAAATGGAAAAAAAATGGGTGCGTGTACTTATGTAGGCGCGTGAGAAGTTATCCTTCTTGGGCATCGTTTAAAATTAGTATTTATTTGCATGCAAATAATTAATTACAATAAATTAATAAAAAGTCTGGAAAAGGACACAGTCAATAAAGTTCAGTTTTAATTTGAAAAAATAAATAAATAATCAAAATATTCAATTAAAATCGCTACTGAATATAATTTATTACAACATATGTGATTTGCACTTGTATGAAACTCAAACACGTATTCCGAATATACAAACTGGAAACATGTGGATAAATATTATAAATATGAATACCTATAACTGTTACTTTATTACAAAAAATAAAGATGTGGTTTTTGGTTCTACTACACCAATGGTCAAGAGATTGCGCTGTAGTCTCCTGAATCGCGCTTTGGTTCCGTTGTTTCAGATTAATAAATACTTTTGATAGGCCTTCACAATGCAGTCGTTAGCACCCACTAAATACAGATTCTATTTCTATTTTGTTGGTAGATTTTCTTAATGTGCGGTAAACACAAAAGTAACAGCATGAAGTTGGTCGCTAAAGCGATCCAATCCAACTTCATGCTGTTAAAATTTTGCGTTACAGTGTGCGCGCGCATCTTAAAATTTCACTCTCATCTCATCATTTTTTCATAACGCGCCTAAAGAAGTATAACTTCAAATATAGTAGGTATGTGGTTAAAATATTTACTTTACTTTTGAAATTAATATATTTTTGCTGCTTTACATATATCTCAATAATTCAGTTTTTATCTTTAAGAAAGCTTTTGCTGGCAAATGTCTGTTTTAAGCAAAATATACATCGTTTCGCCTACTATATTTTTTTTTTGAAAAAAAGTATTTGATCCCGTTTTTATAGTAGGATACTATATTATATAGTAGGGTTGGCAACCGCGATATGATATATATATATATATAGCTGGTTTTTATCCCCCTTAATTGTCAAGTTACTATGGAGTTTGTCAAATTAGACGCGATAAAAAAACGTGATATAATGTAAATTGTAGTGCTCAGCTACGAAGGACGCGACGGAAGAATATAGACATATGTTTACTCACGAAGTACTGAGCGAAGCGCGGGTACAGCGTGCCCAGGTCGAAGTCCAACCGCTGATCAACCACAGCCCTTGCGTGCAGATCATCCGGGTAAAGGTCGCCTCCCTCCCCGTACTTGGTGACCAGGTAGCGGCTGATGGCGCGCGACTCCCACAGGGCAAAACCGTCGTCTACTATAGTAGGCACTGTGTGCTGCGGGTTGATCTACAAAGTATGGAAATGCTCCAGTGAGTTACTTTCAATATGCAGCAGCGGTATTAGGCTTGCCAGATGGTCAGGAAATCCGAGATTGTCCCGCAATTTTGCGTCTTGACCCGTGTCCAGTAATTAGACTTTAATGTCTCGGATTCCGATAATGTGCTATTTTCGTAACAAAATAAACTAATAACGAATTACACCTCTGGGCTGCTTGATGTTTTAATTCTGGGGGGTGATTGGCGGTTTGATTTGATGCTTTTTATTTTTTCAAGGGGAGGAGGGGTGCAAATGTCCCGGAATTGATAAGCCAGCATCTGGCAACCCTAAGCAGTATAGATACGACTGTACTGCATATCAGTACTACATTATAAAAAGTTTGCTAAGATCACTTTCTTTGCGAAAGCAATAGGATAATAAAACTTTGATATGGACAAACTATTAATTTTAAGTGACGATTTTGAGTACTGCTGAAGTACCTATTTGCCAAAAATAAAACAACCCAAGCCTCAAACAAACAGAGCTCGACCAAACTATTTGATAATGCTTTAAAAATGATTAGGTAGGTATAAATAATTATTATCATTTACATGGTTCAGTAAGTCTTCAAGTTTTTACCAGTAGGTAAGTTAGGGTGCCAATTCTGGCATGATTAAATTTAACATCAGTCTCTCCTTTTCATTCTGTATAGAGAATGACAAGGATATACTGGTGTCAAATTGAAGTTTAGGTTTAGAGAATCATGCTAGAATCGACACCTAGGTGTACTTATCTTAGATTACAGTTGCTTTGTCATGCTTATGACACATTAAACAAATGTGACCTTGACCGGGGTGTAATTAAAGTGTGCTGAGTATTATTAGGTACTATTGTGGTACAAGTTATTATGTAAGTATTTGTGTAATGTGATGAATATCATTATTATATATAGGTAAATATTGGTATAAAGAAAATATGACTAGAAAAAATTCCACGCGGACCATGCAGCAGACGGTACTCGAAACCGCACCCTTCGCAATCCGGGCGAATGCACTGACCAATTATGCTACCGCGGTCCTCATGGACCGCGTCAAAGTTCTTCTAGCCATTCTTAAGTTGCAAGGCAGCGCCATCTCATCGCATTATAGGTAACCACAATGGCAAATGAATACTTTTACAAGTATTAAACATTTGAAAGAAGAAATAGCAATTATAGTTATAATTTTTATTATTTAAAGCATGTAACCGCTTGATGTTTTAAATCTAAAGAAAATATAACTAGAAAAAAATCCACTCGGACCATGCAGTAGACGGTACTCGAAACCGCACCCTTCGCAACCCGGGCGAATGCACTGACCAATTATGCTACCGCGGCTCACGGACCGCGTCGAAGTTCTTCTAGCCATTCTTAAGCTGCAAGGTATAATAAAACTGGGAGAAAAAAAAACAACCCTTGCTGATGGCGTTGCCCCACAATGCCCCCCCCCCCCCCCCCTAGCTACGGCCGTGGTCTCCCACCGTAGCTTTACGAACCGATGGCGTAGCTGCTAGACATTCATGAGTGCTTGTAACAGCCCAAACTAATAATAATAATAAATATTTCCGACACTCACACCAATTAGCCTAGCCCCAAAGTAAGCACTATAAGGCTTGTGTTATGGGATGCTAGGGTAACGGATAGAATACATATACTGTACATATATAAGTATATTTATATAAATACATATTAAACATCCATGACTGGAGTACAAATGCTCGTATTTATCACACAAACATCTGCCCCCACCGGGATTCGAACCCGGGACCTCTCGAGTCGGCAACAGCCATGAAACCCGGCGTACAAACCACTCGGCCACGGAGGTCGTCAATCAAACTCAAACTGATTCAATGATTTTGATTATGAATATAGGTAGTTAAATTCTTAAATATAAAAGTATAACTACCTTCAGGTAGTCGGGTGCGAGTTGGTCGCCGGCTCTTAAGTTGAGCAGCTTGTGGTTGAGTTCGACATTGAGAGCAGCAGCTACCAGCAGCACCAGCCTGCACGGCGCCGACCCTGGTGTGTAATATAGGTCGATGGCCATTCTGGTACCTTATCAATCGTCTGCAATGGCATACAGTCATGTTTATTTACACAGGTTACAATTTTTTTTCACCTCCAGTCCCCGTAGCATGAGCACCACATTTTGCAATAAATAAATAAATAAAAATTTTCAACACTCAAACCATTAGCCTAACCCCAAAGTAAGAACTGTAAGGCTTGTATTATGGGATACTAGGGTAACAGATATAATACATATACTGTACCTAAATATTTATATAGAAATACATATTAAACATTCATGACTAGATCAAAAATTCGTATTCATCACACAAACATCTGCCCCCGAACCCGGGACCTCTCGAGTCGGCGACACCATGAAACCCGGCGGCGTACAAACCACTCGACCACGGAGGTCGTAATAGGTATATCATGTTTTTAATCGCGTGCAACTGTCAAACTCCATAGTATGTTGACAATAAGCGTGGTAAAAACGAGCTTTATATCATAATCGTAGTGCTCATGCTAGGGGGGCTGGAATACAGACGGAAGACTGCAACAACTAAATAATTAAATTAATCTTTATCTGAGTTTAATAAAATGCGAACACTTCTTTATTTTGTTTCAATTGCATTCAACAGTTCTTCTCAAATAATCACGGTTTCGTATCATAAAAATTATAGGTATTTCTGCCATTAGTACCGATAAAAATCAATAAGAATTTGTATTTATTACTTAAAATAACCCTTCAAGCCGGCCTTGCCGCTCAACTCAGTTTGTTGGCTAATTGGTTTATAGCTACTAAAATAACTTTATTTATAAATTATTTCAAGATATAAATACATATTAATAAGTTTGTACCTAATCCTAAACATAAAATGCCGGTACAGTAGATAGATACTCACCAATTTAAAATAAAGCCTTTCTCGTAAACAGCGAGCTGTGAGTGACTGACTTGCAAAGAGAACCAAACAACTTATCTGGCTGTTGACCTTGAACACAGGCCGTCTGTTGACTTTATTACACGACTAAATATTGTTGGTCAGATAACAGAATAGTGATAAATAATTACATTTTAATTGTGTACAATCGAAAACCACTTGATGATGGTTGGAAAAAATTATTATTTTTAAGGGTACCTAGTATAAACCGCTTGATGATAAAAGTCCAGCAAAACCAGGAACTTCATCACTTACATTTTGCCTAGATCCCTGCACAGAAGAACAGGTAATTTAGTCGTGGCATGATAACTAGAAAATTATTTGGCTGTACTGCAATCTTAGTTCGTTTTGGCTCCAAATGTTTAATCACCAATTCACTTAAGCTCGAATTCAATAAACACCACAGACATTAGATCGGCTACTTATGTAAATCATAACTATTTGAATTGCACACGGATTCTTATAAGTTTAAGATCATGATAATAGCTGTAGGGACTCCGTAGAGTAATGACCTATATTATAGTCCCTTGGATAAATATATATACCGGCATATTTTATTTTTTTTCCCAGATTTTGCTCGATTAGGTTTAAAATCTAAAGAAAATTTTACTAGAAAAAAAAACCGAAGACTAACCGTATAGCGGAGAGTGCAGGTGAGTCCCGTCTGCTGCCTGGTCCGCGTGGACTTTATCCTAGTAAAATTTTCTTTTAATATATATTCTCCAAATAGAGTGCAAATGACCAAAAGTAATCATTTCGTCCCTCCCCCAGGTATTTCTCATGGACGTAGTATATCGCTACGAGAATTCCTTTCGAATTGATTGCACCAAGTTGTTAAATGCATACATCAAGGACTTTAAAATAAAAACACATAGAAATTTACATTATATTTTATTATCTTTGTCTTTAATAAAGTAATTACAGATAGGCACTAAAAAATAACCATGCGTATGACCATAATACAATAATATATTACTTAGATACAACGAACACCGCTCTCATTATTTTCATAAACATAAAACAAGCGGCGATGTGTGGGCATTAGTACCGTATGGCGATATTGTCGGCAACACTGCCAGTAAGCCTAGCAACAAGAGTAGTTTTTTTTTTTACATAACGGCACTGAACGCCAAAAATATTATTATTAATTTATTATATTGCAACTCCAACTCCGTTCGGTGACGTCACAACGTTCCAATAATACACCCTGAGGCGAGAACTAGATGGGTATACAAGAAACGTAAGTTTCAATAATAAAAATGTACATGACTCGCATGTTCCACAGAAGGCACATAATAATCAGTAAATAAACAAAACTTTATTTAAAAAAGCTAGACTTGTTACTTATCCACGAACTACCTGCTAGTGTAATAATACAAAACAATAAACTTTAATGAAGCTATGATTTGTGTGATATTTTTCATTTATTAACATGTTGTATTTTCATTTATTCCATTCGTCGGCAATATTTATTGCTATGTTTACAAAGAACGACTCTTCACACTATTAGTAGGTATTTATTATTCATTTAATAAAAAAAAACTAAAACGAACAGTTAACTAGAAACATTTTTAAATTCTATAAATAAATAGATATAATATGAATTATCTACTAAGTCGAAATAAAATGTTTATTTCCCCTAAATAAAAATATAAATCAGGAATAAATTACACGTATTGTGTGCCACTAGGAGCGCCAAATGAACAGGTAAATTGTATTCAGGTGCTTGCTAGAACCAAAATTTCGACTCGTTCTAATATGTGTTAACATTATAACTTTTCCACGTTAAGAATAATAATCATAGGACTTTTAAATTTCATTCGTTCGGATACTAAATATCAATAATTATACAAAGCTATCTACATGAGCCACTCTTAAAACCGCTTGAGTTGATGTTGCCAGACTAAAATACCCGTTTTGTGTTAACCAACTCTGATTGGGTAATGGGTTGTGGTTTATTTTCGAATGATACTCTATGGACGACCGACGGCGTATTTTCGTACTGGCAATCATATTGCAGTGATGGTAGACATTGCTTGGGAATGATTCGTTATTATTGTGGTTGGTTGTTCCAGCAACATGCTTCTCTCGTTAGTAACGGCTCCGACAATTACTGGACTTTTCTGTGGAAATAAAATTAACGCATTACTTTTGTGCAATAGAAGATCATATGATAAAGTTAACGACAAAACAAGGAACTTTTTAATCTTTTAATCATAGTTCACGCCATATGCCAACTTTAGGGATTGTCAGATGAAGTGACAACCCAATAGTTATTTACCGAAACTACCCTATCTATTGATGGACTTCTATTCATCATCATCAGCCTATTAATGTCCCTACTGCGGTAACACATGCCTTCCCTGTGGATGGAATAGGGAGATTGGGCCCTGACCCACCACGCGGGCCCCGGGCGGATTGGTGAGTGCTAACTACTGCAGATACTTCCGGACGGAGGAGCTGATGGGTGAAGGGTGTATTATACTAATACACCCATGCAAATACTGTCGGGCTGCGAGGGGGGAGGGGGGAGGGGGGAGGGGTACTGTAGTATAATACAGTGGGGAGTGTTGGTTGGTTACCGGCTACTGGCAGCACTGCTTGCGCACGCTGTCGGCCTGCGAGGGGGGAGGGGGGAGGGGTACTGTAGTATAATACAGTGGGGAGTGTTGGTTGGTTACCGGCTACTGGCAGCACTGCTTGCGCACGCTGTCGGCCTGCGAGGGGGGAGGGGGGAGGGGTACTGTAGTATAATACAGTGGGGAGTGTTGGTTGGTTACCGGCTACTGGCAGCACTGCTTGCGCACGCTGTCGGCCTGCGAGGGGGGAGGGGGGAGGGGTACTGTAGTATAATACAGTGGGGAGTGTTGGTTGGTTACCGGCTACTGGCAGCACTGCTTGCGCACGCTGTCGGCCTGCGAGGGGGGAGGGGGGAGGGGTACTGTAGTATAATACAGTGGGGAGTGTTGGTTGGTTACCGGCTACTGGCAGCACTGCTTGCGCACGCTGTCGGCCTGCGAGGGGGGAGGGGGGAGGGGGTAGTGTAATACAGTGGGGAGTGTTGGTTGGTTACCGGCTACTGGCAGCACTGCTTGCGCACGCTGTCGGCCTGCGAGGGCCTGGCGTCGGTTGGCTCGGCGTCGGGTCGGATCACGTCGCCTTCAGGCTGGTCGCGCATCTGCTTCTGAGAGACGATCCTGTAGATCTCTGCGGAATTATAATGACAGGAGGTTAGAGAAAAGGTTTGGTGCAAGATTTATGTGTTTTTGTTGTCTTAGCAAATGTCAAATAGTCATCATCAACAGCCTATCTTAGTCCACTGCTGGACATAGGCCTCTCCAATAGGGTATTTGACAGTATTAAAAATAAAGTGCTAATTGTTAGCATCTGTATTTAGAATGAATATTGGCAGGGGTTTTTAATATTATTGCAGAAAAAATATTCAGAACTAGAAACCTACGAAAAAGATAGAATAGTTTTCATATCTATTGTCACGTGATTGAAAACGCCTGGGATTGGCAGAGCCTAAATTGACGTCGCACACTAGTAAACTTCCGGTCAAAGTGACATTACATTGTATCATTTGACGATTTAACGACAGTCGTGTGATGTCACACCCCAATGAGACGCCTCATTGCCCAGAGAAACGTTTTCGCGGCAACTTTAAAATTGCGTTTATGATTTAGTTATTTTTACTGAAATACACAAGAGAATGATGAATATCAACTTTTTATGGACTCCATATTTATTAGCAAGCAACGCGAGATTGTTTTCCAAAACTTGTCAAATACCCTATTGCACGCCACTCAGATCGATCTTGGGATACTCGCATCCAGCTCCTGCTAGCCACCTTGCGCAAATCGTCACTCCACGGTGCCTGAGGACGACCTACACTACGTTTGCCTAGACGCGGTCTCCACTCCAGAATTCGTCTACCCCAACGGTTATCGGTTCTTCGGCAAATATGGCCAGCCCACTGCCACATCACGTACATGTCAAATAGTGTCCAGAACATAATGTAAAACTGAATATGGGGACTTTTTGGCGGGATCGGGAAGCGTCATTTTAGCACTTTTGTTTTTATTGTTAAAAATTGTGTTGTGGCGGATGTTAGTGTCTAATAATGGTGGATTATTAACCACTAAGTGTTCGGGAACATGCACAAGTGTTGGCAAGTGAAACAAAATAGCGGAAAATGTCTTTCGACGTTCCCTCAAGAAGTCCACGGGGAGGTTCCAGTAAATCCCCACACTTTTACTGAATCATGGGGAAAGGGGGATTGACTTGACTGCCACTTACTTTGACTTGACTTATTACTTTGACCACGAGTGCTTACATATAGTATTTGTATACCTTTATTTAACACTTGACATTGGCTAAATGCACAAGCCGTGCGAAGCCATTTAGAAAAAAAAAAGAAAAAGAAAACTGAATATGATCAGACGTAAAAAATAAAGCACTAAATGTACATTTTAGATTACTCTCGGTTCAGTTTTCAATGAGGTAGGATGTTGTCTTTTAATTACTTCGAACAACAAGATTGCAGAACTGTCGAAAGTATGATGCTTCATGGGGGAAGGGAAAAATAATGTTAGAAAAAAATTTTGTTGTTTAATAAGGGGGCTTAAACCTCATTTTGCGACATGGTTCCAATTTCAGCAATTAGGGTTTTAATTAATAAAAGAAATAAGTATATAGATTAAGTAGGTATCTATTTTAAAAAAATATATTAAAATCGAGGTTTTTACAAAAAGTCAAAACTATAGGAAATTACAGTGTTGTGAGCTTTAATTTACACGAATAAAAGGATAATTAGTTTACTATATTTATTTACTTTTAAATAAGTTGTGCTCTGGGCTTTATCTTATTATTCATAAAAAAATCTAAAACAAATAAGAAAGCCTGTTTCAATTATGGAGTACTTTTTCGCACACTAATTAATAGAGCGCGTATTCAAACCTTAAAACTAAAGATTTTTTGAAATATAACAAATCTCCTTGACGAATAGTACATAGAAAAAATAAGCACTGACGCGACGAACTACTAGAAAACTATTAACTCGTATTAAAAAATATACTGTAAAAAAATAAAAAATTGCAAACATTAAAGGAAAGGTAAGGATTTTTGATAAAAACCAAGCCTGCCCCCCTAGCATGAACACCGCGATATCTATATATATAAAACTCAAAGGACTGACTGACATAGTGATCTATCAACCCACAGCCCAAACCACTGGAGGGATCGGGCTGAAATTTGGCATGCAGGTAGATGTTACGACGTAGGCATCCGCTAAGAAAGGATTTTGACCAATTCTACCCCGAAGGGCGGGCCACTAGTGATATATAAGGCGTTTTAATCACACTTAATTGTCAAGTTTGACAGTTAGACGCGATAAAAAACGTGATATAATGTAAATTGTGTAGTGCTCACGCTACGGGGGCTGTATTAGTAAACAATAGGGAAGATGCAATATTTTTTTTTTATGGTTGCGATGACGTCCCTCCTTTCTGTCACTGATCGTACTTGTTCGTTGCTGGCTTTAAATTTTCATTCTTTTGCATATTTTTTCGACTTTCGAAATATTTTTTTTTAAAATTTAAAATGGACTATCCATCAACATCATGTGATCATAACAATACCACTAATATTCCGAAAAAAGCCGTGTTGACTGCCAATCTACTTCAACAAAGTTCCCAAATAAATGGTTTTTGACTGGAACATCTGACCCAAAACTGAAAAAAAGTGGTTTCAAGCTGCGAAGAGAAATGACAATTATTCTCCAAAGACCATTATTCGATGCTGAGAAGATCACTTTGACGTAAGTCGGCGAATATACGATACTTATACGTTACTAATGCGTTTTTATATATAATATATATATATATAAAAACGCATTAGTAACCTACCTAATACTTACAAAACCTGTCTATAACATATTTTTAATTTTACAGTTGGAGAATGACGTCGAAAATTAGATAAAATTTAAAATGTGTGGCACAATCTTCACATTGGCAGGACTGAACCAAGCTTTGCGTTTCATTTAAAATAACTGTAACACGATAACCTTCTTTACGTACTTTATGCTCCGGAGAACTCGACCTTTTATTGTACATAATTCTCCATCTCTTTTAATTTGGACATAGCCGATTGCATTATCGCCGTAAGATTTGTAGAAGCCGCTGAATAAAATACGAAGTTTAACAACTACGATTATTACATACCATAGTAATTTAGTCCCTTTCATTTCTACACTTAAAAACTCTGCACCTTGGACAAAAAAGTTATAACCATGTCAACGCTTACTCTTGGTAAATTCCTGGAGTCTGCTTTGATAAACGCAACTTCCATTTTTATTAAATGCAAAAAAACGCAATAAATATTCCCATAAAATAATATTTACTTTAACAACCATAACCTCAAAGAAGTTGTCATAACAGGAGTGACGTCACTAAACGCTGATTGGTGTTTTAAACTACGTTCCGTTTCAAGTATTTTTATTTCGTAATAATTGTTAAAAAACAACATTATGTAAAATAAAAACGTTGCAGTGGCATTTCTTTTATATTTTTTTAACATTTTAATCATAAAATTTTCATAAATATTATATATGCATCTTCCCTATTTAGGCACCTACCAAACGTTTAATACTTAACTATTCAGACATTATAAAAAGCTGGGCAATTTTAAATAATCTATACTTAAATTGTTCGAAAAATAAATAATAACTTAATAAAAGAAAAAAAAAAACAATAAATAAAAGTAACCGAGCTCAGGATCGAACCAACGATCATTTCGTGTCGACCCCAAGACCGTTGCCGTTCGGCTATCTGTCTCATAAAGTAAATGACAAAATTACGGATACCTACCTTGTGTCAAATACTCCGTGTGTATCGTACTTGAGTCATTCGAAAACCATAGTTAAGTTTGGTCATACCGAGTGGCGCTGTCAGGTCAAAATTTATTTTATTCCATTTTATGGTAATAATTAATTAATTTACTATAAATATTATTTTAATACGCCCTACATTTCACACTCTCATCGAAACAACGAAATAGAAAGTGTCCATAAAGTCATTTCACGCATTGAATCCATTGGATTGGATCATCATCATCAGCCTATTAATGACCCTACTGCTGGGGCACAGGCCTTGGATTGGATACATAATTAAAAGTACAGTATTAAATAAATAGTGGTAAATAAACATAATGGCCTGCCTGAAGAATTCCTTGTTGATCGTACCTCGACGATAATTATAATGTACAACTTGTTGCCTAATTTGTGACATTCATTCATATGTATTAACGGTCAGTCCCGTTAGGCTCGTGAATAATAAAACAGCCTCAGGTCTACTCCAAAGCAATTCAATAAAAGTGTCATAAATATCTAGTCCCTATGAATAATAGAAACAAGACGAGTACAATGGCCGCACTCCGTAAATGTAATTCTACGGCTGTTTTTATACGAATGCCAAAGATATTTCTTCAATAATGAATTGAGAAATAACTATTGATTATTCCCAAACTGATACAAAAATAACGATTTTTTGCTAAATAACATAATTGTTGGACTTTTTCAAATGGTAATTTTTTAGACGTTAAAATATTAACAAACTAGCGGCCCGCCCTCGCTTCGCTTCGGTGTAGAGCTGAAGTGTAGACTACAGTTTTTGCTCTCAGGCTTGTATTATACACAATGACATTAATCTATGATTCTTCTTATGCCTGCATGCAAAGTCTCAGCCCGATCGGTTTAAAATTGACAAAGTTTCATACAAACTTTTATTCCCTATTTTATCCCTTTGGGGGTAGAATTGATCAATATCCTTTCTTAGCGGATGCCTACGGCATGCCAAATTTCAGCCCGATCCGTCCAGTGGTTTGGGCTGTGTGTAGATAGATCACTATGTCAGTCAGTCACCTTTGAGTTTTATATACATAGATATCACGGTGCTCATGCTTCAACTACCGAGCAGTCACGAATAAGCCCCCCGAGTTTCATAAAAACTTTCATTCCCTATTTTATCCCTTTGGGGGTAGAATTGATCAAAATCCTTTCTTAGCGGATGCCTACGGCATGCCAAATTTCAGCCCGATCCGTCCATTGTTTTGGGCTGTGCGTTGATAAGATCACTATGTCAGCCAGTCAGTCGCCTTTGAGTTTTATATATACAGATTACTTCATATGCCCTGGAGGCCCGGATACACTTTTTTAACTTTATTATTTTTTCGTGATAAGAGGCCTAAGGTCGCATTCTGTAAAAACACCTATTTCCGTTAAAAACAGAGAACCCTGCGTGTAATAATCTAACAACCATTATTAGGATTTCATTTGTCATTCTTTTGAGTACAGAGCCCTAAAAGAGTTTATTTCCGATAACGAATTTGATTGACATTACGCGAGTCACGACTGCAGGAGTTCAAACACCGCTTTAGTAAGCATATTCAATATAACTACGTCATCTTTTACACGTCTGACGTTTGATCTACCTATAAAATATGTTGCATACGTCAGGAAGTGCGATGACATACGCGCCCACGCGTCGTCGGCGAAGAACCGTTTAAGGAGCGCTACGTTAGCTGTTAGGACAAGTTTGGTTGCCTTAATAAAATGCTAATTAACTGTCTGTGATTGGTAGATAGGGTCCCTTAGCCACATAATATGTAATTTAGCATTGATTGATGAAAAGATTTTTTGAGATTTTTGTCCGCCAAAATAGATCGCTTTCAAATGCATAATTGCATAGAGTCAGGGACACGAAGGTTTAAAAGTCTCCCGAAAAAACAAGGACAAAAGTGCGCGAGTGTCCCCGAAAAAAATAGAACTCATGTGACTAGGAAGCGATGGACCCAGTATTCACTTTTAAAATGCCTTCTCTTTTTCTTAAACTTCATGTTGAATTACAGCATGATGTAATCTGAGAATAGTTACTTTCATAACGTACGCTTTTCTAAATTTTCGAGGGACATTCACACATCGTTTGCGTTGAGTCCGTGACAAGTCCTCGGCGGACATTTTTTTCACAATTCAGGGACTTTAGTCCCTCCCCTCTGCTGTGTATAATTGGCGAGTAATAAGATACACACAGCCTTAACCAAACCAGGAAACAAAAACAGTTTAATTTGATTTTTGCATAATGGCTCATCACTAACAATAACAAGCTAATATGTGGGGCCAAAATCCAGTCCTTGCGAAAGCTATCTATTGTTACCAAGCTGCATAGATTAATATTTATAATTACATTAAATCAAATAAGACTTTATGACAAACCGGCAACAATTAATTTGATAATAAAAGACAACAAATCAGATAAGATACGTTCTACACGTCAATCTCAATAACGCAATCTTTGTAAAGATAAAAAATAGATCTATGTATTTCCAAACTGATGAAATGTGCGCTTAGAAAGCCTGGTACGTACGTGAGAACTTACTCCGATAAAATGTAACAGTGTTATGCAATCTGATGTAGTAATTGTTACGTTTACTTTGATCGTTCTAAAAATCTGAAATTGTTTCACCGGAATATGTGTTCCACTATAGCTTTTGAAAAGTAATAATAATAAATAAATAGTAAAAACGTTTATTTGGCACAAATTACAAAAATAACTTATTGTGTTACATATAGGTTGTGTACCAAACAGGCCACTGCTCAGTATATGTCGAGGCAACATGTGCCACGACACTGATTTTCAGCAGCAGCCTACTTAAATTAAATGACATTTAAGGTCATCGATAATAATTTAAATAGAAATTAAGAATAAAAGATTTAAATACAAATGTGAAATTACTGAAATCAATTGGATAAATATTGTGAAACAAAATGAAAGCCAAAAAAAAATTAAATTAAAATTTACAGCGTAGGAATAAAGATTAATTAATATGACCTTCGAAAAGGATAAAATAATTTTGTATTTTTCAAACTTATAGCATAATTTATAATCGCGATATTAAGAATCGTAGAGGCCCTATAATTAAACGATATAAGCTTGGATAAATTACTCCATATTTTGTCTCTGTTTATTGAATGACAAATGGCATTTGAGTGATATGAATAAAACGCGGAGCAACTAGCCTATTTATCTTACTCCTCGTTTATTAATAATGAGACTAGGATTATTATTACTATTAATAATAGGGTGCCTTATTGGATGATTTTTTATAATTACACTAACCAAATGCATTATAGAAACCTTCTACTACATACACATAACTAGTACTGAAGAAATGTAGGTTACTTTCAATATATAGTAAAAATTTTAATCAACGAAAGAATAAATTACCAGTTAGAATATTCTGGAATGCGGGCTCGACATTGGTGGAGTCGAGGGCGGACGTCTCGATAAAACTAAGGCCGTTTCTTTCCGCGAACGCCTTCGCCTCTTCCGTTGGGATAGATCTGAAAACAATACAGATGAAATGTTAACACAATAATAAACAAATCTAATTGATTGATTGGGAAAGATATAACTCGTGTCATTTAAGAAAGCAAGACATTCTTTCTCTGTCGCCTGTTACTTAGGATAGTATGCAAAGGAGTGCCCCCCCCCCCCTGCCTTCTCTTCAATAAATAAATAATAAATACACACATCAAAAGTGTCTAGGGATCAACATATATTTTTGCAATAACTTTTCTCCTGATTGATATTAATTAAAATTTTCTTTAAGGATTCATCAAATAAAGTGTTTTCGTTTGTCACAGTAACGATAAACCAAGTCACCTTTGCATTAATAAAGAAATTTGCCATTTTCCTAATAAAGGGATTTTTGACATTTGAACCACTAACACAAAAGTTCGAAAAAAAGACTGAAATAACAGTTTTCTCTAAAATTTTATTGGGTAACTTAAACAATTAATAATCCGTATTTCTACCGCGAACACTAACAACACAAGAACATCGGTTTGGCATACTCAAAATGAGTTCATCCAAATCACGCTGTGGAATGGCCGCCCATGTTCGTTGCAACAACAAAAAAAGGTCTTCTTGCGACTGGATACCCTCCATATTCGGCAGAGCTCTTCTCTGTAGCATATCCCATGCATGCTCAATCGGGTTCAAGTCTGGCGACTGAGCAGGCCAGGGCAGGACATTGATGTTAGCTGCGGCGAGAGTCTGTCTTACAACTCTTGCGGTGTGCGGTCGTGCATTATCATGCATTAACTGAAATAAGGGACCGATTTGCACTTGTAGAGGAACGATGACGTCTGATACAATCGTCTCAGCATAAATTTGAGCGTTGAGGTTGCCTCTGATCCAAATCAACTCAGTTCTTCCGCCGATCCAAATACCCGCCCATACCATGATGGTTCCACCACTATAAGGATGGACTTCCTGGCAGGATTTTAATCGCTGTTGGCGTCCAGGGGTTCTCCAGTGTCGTATACGTCTTGTATCCGGTCTCATACCAAAACGAGACTCATCAGAAAAGCACACGAAACGCCATTGTTCTTCTGCCCAATTTCTGTGTTCAAGAGCCCATTGATATCGAATCCTACGATTGTGCATTGCTATAGGTGGTACCCGTAGCGGTCTTCGGGAATGAAGGTTCACTTCATGCAAGCGGTTTCTGACTGTTTGGTCGCTAATTAAGTTCCCTGAAGAGTGATGAAGCCTCACGGCTAACATCATGGCGGTTATTGTTGGAGCTCTTCGAGTTAAGATTTGAATGTATCGGTCTTGTCTCCGTGTGGTGCAGCGATACCGTCCTCCATGGCGCTCAGCCACGGTACCAGTGCTTCGGTATCGTGTCCAAAGTCGACTGATAACACTCTGACTTGTATTCAGAGCTAAAGCCACAGTACGTTGCCGGGAACCAGCTTCTATCATTCCCACGGCTCTGAGCATTTCTTCCCTGCTTAAATGACGTCGCCGCTCCATAATAACGTTGGTTTTAATCAGTAGTAGGGAAACAGTAGCACTAATAATGTCTTCAATGCGTTGTATGTTTTTATAGGGAAAATATTGACAGCTGATTTTCATCTTTTACTCGAATTTGATTCACAGTTCCTGATTCAAATTATGAAATGCACCAAAAAGGATCCATATAAATTTATAAAATCATAAATTTATTACAAAGCCACATCTCAATCTCAAGAAATCCGCATAAAAATGCTTGATCCCTAGACACTTTTGATGTGTGTATTTCCAACACTCACACTAATTAGCCTAGCCCCAAAGTAAGCACTGTAAGGCTTGTGTTATGGGATACTAGGGTAACGGATAGAATACATTGTCATATACAGTACATATATAAGTATATTTATATAGAAATACATATTAAACATCCATGACTGGAGTACAAATGCTCGTATTCATCACACAAACATCTGCCCCCACCGGGATTCGAACCCGGGACCTCTCGAGTCGAATGACACGAGTTATAGTATGAAATAAAATAGGGAAAATTGTTTTAAATTAAAAACTTTGTTCCAGACTCGAAATACTGGAAAATCACAACATACATATCAAACAAGGAAATATTCTCATTTGCAAATGTTATCTTCAGAGTAGTCTTTATTAATCATTTATTAAAAATACCTTAAAAATAATCGTATGTAATTTAAATATCTTAATAATAATAGAATTTAATAGTAAAGCGATAAGTTAAGTAGTGTCTTTATATTTGTAGAACCTTTGTGATTTATAATAAACTGTATACATATAGAAAATATAACTAGAAAAAAATTCCCGCGGACCAGGCAGCAGACGGGACTCGAACCCGCACCCTTCGCAATCCGGGCGAATGCACTGATCAATTATGTTACCACGGCTCTGATGGCCGTGTCGAAATTCTTCTAGCCATTCTTAAGCTGCAAAGGCAGCTGTTAAAATTATAACTGTAATTCATATTTTAACATGTATTACATACGACACATTTGATATGGAAATGTGAATAAATGAGACATTTGTCGCTTCCATATGTATTGCAACAACCGAGACACTGGTGCCAATTCTGGCGTGATTCCCTAAACTTAAAACTAAATTTAACATCAGTCTCTCCTTTTCATTCTGTATAGAGAATGACAAGGATATACTGCTGTCAAATTTAAGTTTAGGTTTAGAGAATCATGCTAGAATCGACACCACTGTTTGTCTTAATACGATCCATCCAAACACTAAGAGATATCGCAGTCGTATCACGAAACGTTTATTAAAAATAAACAAAGATCGGTCATGTTTTACGTCATGTTTCTGTGAACACCGCATGTACAGCTTTCTTTACAGAATCGATAAGAATGTTCACTTTGAAGTCAAAATTGATTAAATTATGAATGCTTGTTTAATGTCACGCGTATTACCTCTCTGTTGCGGTTAACAGTCGCTCTATTTAATTTACATTTACTTTACCATATAAAATGTGTTGCAAGTACTTAAACATATATTAATAATGTATTACATTTTTTTTTATTTTTACGAATTTCTGAAAACATTAGGACGCAACCAACTTAAAACATTTCTAGGTATAAATATGTATTGAATTATTTAAAACGTATTACAAACTATTTTTTTAATTATTAAAGGTTTAAATCTAAAGAAAATATAACTAGAAAAAATTCCACGCGGACCAGGCAGCAGACGGGACTCGAACCCGCACCCTTCGCAATCCGGGCGAATGCACTGACCAATTATGCTACCGCGGCCCTCACGGACCGCGTCGAAATTCTTTCTAGCTATTCTTAAGCTGCAAGGCAGCGCCTAGAATAATTGGTCAGTGCATTCGCCCGGATTGCGAAGGGTGCGGGTTCGAGTCCCGTCTGCTGCCTGGTCCGCGTGGAATTTTTTCTAGTTATATTTTCTTTAGATTTAAACATCAAGCAGTTACATGCTTTAAAAATAATAAAAATTATATTAAAGGTTTGTTTATAACAATCATTACACACAACGATGCTGAGATGAGAGGATGAGATTTTTTTCTTTTGTTATTTTTAATATCAAAGATGTAGTCAAGGGTTAGTATTAAAGAAAGTAAGACATTCTTTCTCTGTCGCCTCGCCCCATGTTGTTGGTGACCCGTCGAAATTTTTATCTCCGTTTTGGGCCTTGCCCTCTCTTCAACCCATCCCTAATGACCCGAGTTATAGTATGAAATAAAATAGGGAAAATTATTTGTTGAAAATATAAAAAAAAAATGTTCCAGACTCGAAATACTGGAAAATCACAACATACACATCAAACAAGAAAATATTCTCATTTGCAAATGTTATCTACAAACTAGTCTTTATTTATAGTTTATTAAAGAACTAGCAAACCAGTGAACCAAATGTTCACCAAAAAAAAAATGTATTTAATTAATTGAGAACTTCGGAGATTTTGTGTGGTTTCGTTTGAAATAGAAATCACGTGATTTCTCGAAAACCGGAAGTACTACGTTACTCACATCCGGTTTGTAGTCTTGTCAGACTATTCTTAACTTATAACTTGAACATTCTCTATATCTATCTCTTACGGTTTGGCCGCTGAAACAGCACCACGGACGGACGGACGGACTTGTCTATTAGATAAGAGATACCTTACATGTAATATTCGTAATTTAAATATTTTAATAATAATAGAATTTAATAGTAAAGCGATAATTTAAATAGCGTCGTTATTTAACTATTCATTTTATTTTAAACAAAAATACGTGTGTTTCCTTCCACTTTATGAGGAAACATCACACGATTATGACATTAATTACAATAAGCAGAATAAAACCCCAATATAGTGTCAGATATGTGTAAGGAGCTCATTGGCGCTAGTGGTTAGCGCGTTCGGCTTCGATCGTTGAAGCTAAGCAACTTTCGCAGTAGTCGGTCATTGGATGGGTGACCAAACATTTCCTATCTCGAGCTCCTCCGTGCTTCGGAAGGCACGTTAAGCCGTTGGTTAACCAACGGCAGTGAATCAAAGCCCAACGTCCCTATTCCATCCTGTCATCATAGGCCTGTGCCCCACTAGTGGGGACATTATTAGGTAATGATGAGTTTCAGAAATTATGAAATTATGTGGAGGTGATGGTAATTGTATTGAAAAAAAGCTGCTAAACTTTGCGAGAGGCCAACCCTAAAAGCATGATCCCAGTGATATTAAATACATCAAATTATTATCACGTCTAACTCAATAGCTCTCTGACAATTGAGCGTGATGAAAACGTCATATATATCATAACGCGGTGCCCATGCTAGCCAATCAAGCCACTAATCGCACTTTGCAATAGTTGACCTAAATTCCCACATCTAACATGCCCCAGTATTTCAAGGGCACAAATGTAAACCAACATGTAAATGGGAAAAAGATTTTTATTTCGTTTTATGTCATGAATCTCACTATAGGTGGACTGCTTAAGTGAGTCCTCGCCTGCGGAGTAAAGGGTGTGAGGGAGGACGTAAAACGGGGACCGTGAGAGGTGCGGGCGGCAGGAACATTCTTGTTTTTTTTTTTTGAGTGTGTATGCTGTAGATGACCTTTACAGCGTCACCGGGTTTGGGGACGGCGAGATCCTAAGGGGACCTCAAGCCAAGAATCCTAAGGGGACCTCAACCTCAAGGCGAGTGCCTCTGGAGGTATTCCAGTCAGATGGCGTCTCCCCGGGGGGAGTCTCCACTCCGTCTGGAGCCTCCAGACCACTCGAACCTGAGGGGGAACATTCTTGTGAAAGATACAAGTGCCCGCCGCCCGCACCTCTAACGGTTCCCGTTCTCGTCCTCCCCCACACCCTGTACCCCGCAGGCGAGGTCTCAGTTAAGCGGTAACAAGGTTTATATTATAATTTTCTGTACATATAAAAGGCAACAGTTAATGTCTGATCCATCAACGTACAGCTCAAACCGCTGAACGGATAGCGCTGAAATTGGGCACACCTATTTGTTTCTTAGGTTTTCACGCACATCACTCATTAAAATAAAACTAGTTTTAACGGGTTAATGCACGAACTTTATTTATTTATTGACGTTTCGCAGCCTTTTCAGGTCTGCATCGTTAGAATGATATTGAAGTACTAAATAAAGAATTTTAAAACTCACCCCTTGTAATACGGGGGTTCAAAGTTTGTATGAGAAAGAACTAGTCACACTATATTTTCTTTATAATAGTCTGTACTTGAACAACATAATTTAACAATAGCAGTAGGTCCTTGTAGGTAATTGTAAGTATCTTGTTTTGTTTGTAACAGACGTAAGCATGACCCATACGGCCGAAATACAGAGTAGTTAGTTGGTAGTTGGCAGTGATTGCAATGTTCCATTTGACTGTGGGTGGAATTTGTAAATATATCTTGTAAGGATTATCTCTTGTGTTCCAAGAATCCTGATCCATTTGTATTGATATTATTGAAACAACGCTCCTGCTATCTTCTGATAGCCCACGGCTGAGAATCCCAGTTGAGTAATTTATTTTTATGATGAGGACAAATATTTATTATTGAGTCAATTTTACATATTGCCAGATCTGCTCCTAATAATTGTGTGTGCCTTGTTTGGAATATATTGTAATTTTTCAAGTGATAACTTCTTATGGGAGGGTAAACCGCTTCGTTACGTAACGCGCCAGTCTCTCTGGCTTCCCTTCCTCTCACGCATACGGCAGCGGTGGGCTCTCTCACTCTAACCCGCAGCGCCGCTTAAGCCCGTATTACACTACTCAATTTTAAAGGGCCCATACCCTGACTAAGGGTGGTGTAATGTGAGTTAGGGAGTAAGGGACCCGATCTAGGGCGATCGGCGCGGCGTAAAATTCAATTTCAATTAACGTGAGTGGCTTGAGCAAAAACTTGGCCCGCCTTAGATTCAATAATAAATATTGGCACGCTAAGAAAAAAGTTTGCTCATCCTTGGTCTAGGCTGTTAAAGCTCTTCTGAAAGTCAAACGCTATGCCATCGGTTCGGAAGAACCAGGAATAAACCGAGCAAGGGCTATTTTTGATAAAATTAAAAATTTAATTTGAATAATCTCGTACACACCTTAGATGCCTAAGATCGCTCTTGTTCCCGACGAGCATGATGAGTATATTCTGGTCGGCGTGGTCGCGCAGCTCGCGCAGCCATCTCTCCACGTTCTCATAGGACAGGTGCTTCGCTATGTCGTACACGAGTAGCGCACCCACTGCACCACGGTAGTATGCTGAAGTGATGGCGCGGTACCGCTCCTGGCCCGCCGTGTCCCATATCTGAGCTTTTATGGTTTTGCCGTCGACCTACAAAGAAGAGAATGGTGAAGACATTTTTAAGGAACTTTAGTATTTTAATAGGTAATAGGGTATTTGACAAGTTATAGAAAACGATCTCACGTTATTGACTAATGTTTATGGAGTCCGTAAAAAGTGGATATTCATCATTCTGAGTGTATTTCAGTAAAAATAGCCAAATCAAATACTCCATTTTCAAGTTGCCGCGAATACGTTTTTCTGGACAATATGGCATCTTACTAGTATGTGACGTTACACAACTGTTAAGACGTTAAACGATACGATGTAATGTCACTTTAACCGGAAGTTTACTTGCGTGTGACATCATTTTAGGCTCCGCCAATCCCAAGCGTTTTGGGTCATGTGACAATTGATAAGAAAACTATTATCTTTTTCGTGGGTTTTTAGTAAAATTATGATTTTTTTGTAAAAATAGTAAAAACCCCTGCCAATATTCATTCTAAACACAGATAATTACAATTGGCGCTTTATTTTTAATATTTTCAAATACCCTATTACTCAAAAGAAACATGGGAGTAGCCTAAAGGTTTGTGGTTAGTTTATTATTCAGGAATATAAAAGTTTTGAGCAACATATCAAAAACAACTGCTTAAGTTACCCTACAAAAGATTAATTTATCTATATTATAAAGAAAGTTCCTTACTGCTAATTAGTAAGTTAATAATTGTAGTACAGACAGGCAAAATAGGTTTAAATATGAAAAACATAATTTGAATAGGTAACAAGAATAATGTATCTTTTCTAAATTGTAAATTACAAGTTACACTAGCACCATTAACTCACCACTAAAGGTGCAGTACTGATTAATTTTTCTTAACAAATACATAGTATAATACATACTACACAAAAGATAAAAAGAATGTGTGGGCAGTATGATAATCGTCTCATATTATTAAAAAGTTGTTAACCTAAGAAACAAATAAGTTGTTTACAGTCAATTATCTGCAATTCATTCAAAAAATTCATTACAAAGATTTCAAAATAAGTTCATTGACTCTAGTTTGATAATAACAGGAACAATTAGAACACACAAGACCAATCATACACATACTTAATGTAAACCACTTTAAAATGTTTGTCTGCTGACCCTTGCTTGATTTTACATTTATCAATATGTTTTCAGGAGAATGCGAGATATTTTATTTACATTAACAAAAACCAATATCATAGGGCTCCATTTAAACAAGCAATATGTTCAATAATAAATCAGTTATAACCTTCAATGAATTCAGTTTGTGACCCAGATTTGTCTAAATGAAACAAATTGACACATTCTAACACTTTCATTAAAATCATATACCTATCTGTGTGAATGAGTGGATTCAATAGTATTGAGTTTGTCTATAAAACAGCTGCAAATTGTCATAGTACTTTAGTCCCCTTATTCCAAAACATGTTAGTAAGAGCAAAGTTAGTCTTGGTTTAAACCAAATGTTGTCTCTGTCTTCTTTTTTGCAAACAAAAAAGTAACAGCATCACATTTAGTCCAGGTTTAAATTTAGTCTAAGCTTTGTAATAAGGCCGTATAAGTTTATTTGATAGACAAACCTAGAAGGGCTTTTGTTCACAGTTGTTAGTTATAGTTCTTGTAATTACATTGCGAAACAAAAACAAAATAAACAAATTTAAATAAAAACAAAGTTTAAGGGTCAAAATCTATGTTTTAGAATTTGGAAACAACAAATATAATGATAATATACCTATAATGATTTACAAATATAATGATTTCAATTGAAAATTTGATATAAATTGTCTAGTCATATCAGATCATAAACAATGAAAAAAGTTGATATGACCTCACACAAGAAACCTTTATGTGAGTCAGTTTCTATAAATAAATCATCAAGCACTAAAGCATCAAGTGATTAAGAGCTTTGAGCATTCACTATCCATATAGCAAATCACTATCCATTTTGAAATGTAGTAGCAATGTGGGGACACATGAGGGGACTATCCTATTCACCCATAGAGACCCTCATCGATTCCTATTGGTATTCACTGTTACCAATTGACCTTAATTACTTTAGTGTGAATAAGGAGATTCTATATAGATGAAAAAAACAAACAAATATTTATAAATATTTAAGTCTGGATTCAGTTTATCTACATGTTTGAAAGAATGAATTAATAAATATATGAATCTCCAATATTAGAATATTAAATGCTCATCAACAGCATTATTGACAATTATTTTAAGCAGGATAAAAACCCAACTGATTTGCATTTTCCAACAATCTAGCCAGTAATTCGTAATAATTATGTAGTTTGAGTTAGACTGTGATAGTTAAATAAATATGTACGTGTTCTTTTGTTGTTGTTGACTAAAAAAATATATTTTGAAATCATAAAACAAAACTGTAACTAACATCATACCTAATTCAGATAAATTTTGTTAAATCTTATTTAATTATGTGAAAGTATTATGTGTCTACTTATACTAGTCAAATTTTTGACTAACAGTGAAAGTTTAAAATCACATAATTACACAATGTGTATGTGAGAAGTGACTACAGTAGAATGAACTTTTTAAACACATATTTTAGTAATTAAGCAAGTACAACACATATTGTGGTTATGAAATTAAAAATAAATTAGAAAATGTATTGTAACACCACTAGGATCCAGCAACTAGTAATACATGAAATGGAATTCATCACTGAACAGTCATCAATGACTAACCTAATAAAATAAAACAAAGAAATTAAGTCCAAATACCTCTATACTTCTCGTGGCAAATTCCACACCTATCGTGGATTTTGACTCTAAGTTAAATTCATTTCTAGTGAATCGTGAGAGAAGGCTGCTTTTTCCAACACCTGAATCTCCTATTAGCACAACTGAAACAAAGAATTCAACATTTATAAGACATAACAACAACAAATTATTGGATTACTGCGACAGAAAAGAAAGATGAGTTATGTTATGTGATTATGTGAAAACACTCTACAGGCTAAAGGAATGGTGACTCATGAAAAACGAAAATTTACGCGAAATCAATAGATACTTGGATCATGAACCAATCAGCTGATAAAATAACAAAGCTGATTATTGTAAGAAACTGCGCTACAATTCACCGTTAAATAATAATTGATTCTTGAAATGTTTACGCTTAATTGTAATACAAAACAAAGGAGAAATTAATATCGTAGGTTTTTTGTACGTCATAGAAACGAAACAATGGCTCGTACGAAAGTGTACTGAGACGAATTACAACCTTAAAATTTCCAAGTCAATACATAAACATATAATGTGAATAATGCTAGTTAGTACCTTTGAACAAATAGTCGTATTCGTCCTCTCTTGTGCCCATTTTGAATTATCTAGAGATCTCTAATCGACGTCAACTTCGGATAACTAAAAAGTCAAGATGAACGTAAACAAAAATAAATGTAGACACAAATATCACAGGCTCTTGAAACACTACACAGCTTCACAAAAAGCACTTTCGTATTAGGATTTATTTGATAAATTGGAATAACAAACTATAAAATCTTAAATTCCTAAATTGTCATAGAGACAAAATGGCGGATTATTTTACGCCCCTCTTGACGCGTTCGGAAACACAATAATCTAAAATCATTTTTGTACTCCTCCTACTCTATGCCCCTACTGACATGTTTTGTTTGTGATTTGATTTTGTGCTGTATTGTGACCATAGATACTATGGTTGTGATATGGAAAATAATTCTATGGAAAATTCAAAGCCAAAAGCTTAAAATACAATTAATAATCTCGATAAAATAAACATTTGAAGATATCCTAATACGCTGGTTACACATTGCCTGTGCAGTACAAAAACAATCTACAATTTTTGTACAGTACAGGATGTACTATAAAACATAGTTTGCGCAAATAATCGAGCGTACTTTAAACTGTAGTCTGCAACGGTTTTATGTGAGCTGTAGCAAGTAGTTCAAATCGCTTTTAGGTCCGGTCGGACAAATGTTTGACTAGGTAAACCATCACAAGCCACATTGTGAGATTTGCAATATCAGCCTGCACATTATACGATAATCCTTTATTTTATAGTTTATTAGCGGCATCCCGCGACTTCGTCCGCGTAACTTTAGTTTTTGAAAATCTCTCAAGAACCTAACACTTTTCTAGGAGAAAAAGTATTGTATATCTCAATCCAGATCACAAACTATAGGTATACCCAGACTGTAAAATAAAAATACGGATAGGAAAGAGGCAGGGGTTTGCACCATTGTTTTTTTTTCTTTCTATACAGTGGTTATAAGCGGGTAATGTTCAGTTATTCTGCTTGGAATAGCAGGATGGAAGATGGCAGTGGTTAGAGCGTAACTCTTTTCATATGATACATAAACCAGACTCCACTTACACTTGACACCAGAGACTGTTAACACTAGGCGGAGCGAAGAATTTACTGTGGGTTTTCCATGAAAAAAAGTTGGCAGTGTGCTGGCGTATATATCTATGACTGACAGCAGTCAGATGCGGGCTAAGGGTGCAGTACTATCATGTTTTCTTGAGGACCACATTCGTATATGTTATTAAAACTTGTTTATAGTTAAATCATGTTCGAAGCGCACTTGGTAGCATTGCGTTTGTAGGTGGTTGTTTCATTAATTCCGATGGAATTCAGTCCAAGAAGTAAAAAAAAACAAGTTTCTTTAAATTTTAATCAACATCTATCTACATAATAAGGATAGCTATGAATTATTCTAAGCAGTGGCAGCGACAGGTTCGGCTTCATCGTCACTGTCCTCTTGCACTTCCTTCGAGAGATTTTGGTCAACAAACACGAATGGATCGATCTTAAATATTTCTTTAGACGGCGGGCTTGCAATGAGACATCTGGAACACACAAACCGGTTTAAGAATGCATTTGTGGGTTTTTACTATGAGAAATCCTTCGTCCGTGGTTTATACATAGAGGTGTGGATTTATGCACGATTCTCTAAATCTAAACTTAATTTTAACAAAAGTGTATCCTTGACATTCTCTATACAGAATGAAAAGGAGAGACTGATGTTAAATTTAGTTTAAAGTTTAGTGAATCATGCCAGAATCGACACCATTTTTCCTGTTGTTTTAAAATATTGATAGGTAAGGCAAAGGATACTAAGTTTATACAGCCTGTCATTAATCCTAGTACATTAGGCATGCGTGACCTACCGAACTTTGTGCACCAACAACGTATTCTACACAGTTCCCTTTATCATATAATAATAATAAAATTGGGTAATATGACTTTAAAACAATGCCTCGTATTATATTATTGTATTATATCTCCCTTCCAAAAAGAAATCCCTTTTTCAAAATGCCACTAACAGCTCGCAGATGGACCTTAAAAGGCACAGTTGCTAATAGAGGCAAAAATAAAGAAAAACTGAAGTAGTTACCTGGTGATGAAAAGGCCATCTCTCCTTGGACGTACTGATTGCATATCCTTTAACAATGCTTCAATATTCTCAGCTACGAGTTTCGGCTCCATGTTTAACTATAAAAAATATTGTTATATTAAATAAAAAGTTTAAATAAAATATGTACCTGGTGAATTATCAGTATTATGCTACAAAATACAATTATTTAATCCATAATTTATTTTTGGTACGGGAACACAATGCCCGACTCTGAAATTATTCTTTATACCAAAAATTAAATTTAACAAGAATGTTCTTTTGTCACGCTATATCTATACAGAAAAAAAGGAAGAGACTATAGTCAAATTTAGCTACAAGTTAAAAGAATCATTCCAGAATTAGGCCCACATTCAACAAAAAAGTTTCCTACTAGGGAAATTGCATTTTGCGACAAGACATGTGATCACGAAGACTCTCTTATGGTGCGGCCAGAGTGCACTCAGATTCAGATTCTGAAAACAAGCGCGAGAAATAAACAGGGTAGTCCAAGGCTACGGCCAGAGTGCACTCCTGATTCAGATTCAGACTCAGAAAACAAAGCGCGCGAAAAAGCAGGCTACCTGCTTACACTACACTGTTTATTTCTCGCGCTTGTTTTCGGAATCTGAATCTGAATCTGAGTGCACTCTGGCCGCACCCTTACAAATTATTGATAGATTAAAACAAAAAGGGAAGATACGGTACGCTCATACTAGCATCAAATAAAATATGATCCGACTCAACTACATAATCAACTCGCACACACGCAAACATTCAATCGACCGAGCGAGACAGAACTGTACGCTTCGACGCAGTGCGAGCGAAACGGCGAGTTCGCTTCCGAGTCCGTATGGCTGAGCTGTATTGTTGTCCTTTTCTTGATAACAAAATGGCGATTACGTACAAAACATTCACGACAAACAGTGATTTTTGAGAAAAAAATGTTTTTTCTAATGAAAAGTGTTGCCAAGGCATTTGTTGTCTTTTTAATTTAACTTTTTTTTTCTTTTCTAATAAACATTTTATTTATTGTCACATAAATTGATTACATACTTTTTGTTTTAATCTGACAATAAGGTCTAGCCCCCCCTGGCGTCGTCCTTGCTCTGCTTCTGGATGCTTCCACTATCGCGTCAGATATCTGTTTCGTCATCGTCTCATTAGACATTCTTCCATATGTCGGAACAAACGAAGCTTGCCTCCGACAATTTTAACACTATACAGGGCGTCCCACAGGTTTGTCACACGGAGGGAAAGTATATTGAATATTAAAGATACAATATTTATTGAAAGAAGTATGTATAGTACCTGCTTACTTTATAATTTGATGACATTAGCTTTTGGAAGCAAGGAAAAGAGGCAATTTTCCTGATCAAAATTTTAATTTCATGAATTTAATTTTATTTAAAATGCTGTTATTTAGGTAAAAATAATCCTAATGATTAACCCTTTCGATGGTTATCGTAAAATACGGCAATCGCTTTTTTTGCAGTTGTAGCAGGCAATTGTTAAAAAAATCTGTGAATGCAGTTGCTAGTTATTATTAAAAACAAAATGATGTCTTCTTTCAGTAAAATAAATCCTATCTTCAATATTTAATATACTTTCCTTCCGCGTGACAAACCCGTGGGACACCATGAATAGGTCATAAACAAAAAAATACTCACTCTTCCAATAGGCACTTCAACGGACCCATGATTCTGTTGGTGTTCGTCCTTGACCACTCGATACTGCACTCCAGCAGCAAATTTCTTGACCAGCACCCCAACTTGTGGGTCGAGAGTGCCCGCGCGAACGTTCGGGAATCGCTTCTTCATCAGTCCACGAATTGGCACTAGATCCGTAATGATGTTGGGATGGGCTATCACGTAATCGTAGTCACTCAGTTTGAGCTGGCCCTCCTGTGAATGAAATGAAATATATTTTATTGGAACAAAGACAGTGAATACAATCAGTGCCGTCTTTGACCTATTGGAGGCCCTGGGCATATTAGGATAATGACTTCCGTTTGGTGATTTAACAGGAACTAGGGACTTTGTATTTGATCTGAGGGGGCCCCCTATTGAACGCGGGGCACTGGGCACTAGTCCAAAGTGCCCACTGGGAAAGACGGGTCTGATTACAATAAATGTGTCCGATACTAATTGCATTATTTATAAAAACTGTATCGCAACTATTAACGCCCACCTCTTGAGAGTTCATTGAAATTCCTAAAGATACAAAAAACAGACAGTGGTGTCGATTCTGGCATGATTCTCTAAAGCTAAACTTAAATTTGACAACAGTGTATCCTTGGAATCGACACCAATATATGTATATTTTTAAAGTAAATTTATAATACAGAATGATTTAAATATAATTTAAGATACTTAAATTAACAAATCATTTGACGACCTCCGTGGCCGAGTGGTTTGTACGCCGGGTTTCATGGTGTCGCCGACTCGAGAGGTCCCGGGTTCGAATCCCGGTGGGGGCAGATGTTTGTGTGATGAACACTAGCATTTGTACTCCAGTCATGGATCTTTAATATGTATTTGTATATAAATATAATTATATATGTAAAGTATAATATGTACTCTATCCGTTACCCTAGTATCCCATAACACAAGCCTTACAGTGCTTACTTTGGGGCTAGGCTAATTGGTGTGAGTGTTGGAAATATTTATTTATTTAAATGTGAGTTTTTTATGCGTGTGTGCATGGGTACATGTGTGTGTGTGTGTGTGTGTGTGATTGTGGGTGTGAATGAGCCGTTTGATTGCTGTTCGGCTGATATGTATGTTAGAACCTGCGTTGCGTTAAGAGCGGACGCGAGCTGAGAGACATTTGAGAAATAGATATTTGAAAAAACTATTGCTGTCACGCATTGGCAAATACCGTGTGATAGGGACAACAGTACCCCTAGCACGAGCCATTATCGAATTCGAATAGATTGTAAACCGAAATGGCAATGTGAAATTTCGTATGGAAACTTGAACAGCAGCGGCACAAAGTACGTAACGAGAACTAAAAATCAGTACACATTTCACACGGACGGATTCGTTCGTTTACGGACTCGCAAACGATACGAATTCGATATTGGTTCGTGCTAGGGGTACTGTAGTTAACGCTGAAAATTGCGTATAAAAATTGCAAAATTCGAAGTTTGGCTCTCGAAGATTTCCTCCTCGAAAATTAGATTTAAGTAAAAAAAAATTTGCATAAAGAATAATAAGTAGTTATACTACGCCTCTTGGTTTTGTAAATGTTTATTAAATTATCACACTAGACGTCTTTAGTAGTGATAAAAATTCGTTTATTGTTATCCTCTTTCGAGGGCTTCTAGTTTCTTTGAAACACAAGTTGTCGAAAAATGGAAAACCTCGGTGCATAGAATGAGTAAAATTATATTTTATGTATGAAAATCAATTCTTTAGTGATATAAATCAAGGAGTGTCAGTCGAGAACGTTTGTATGGAAAAAACATTGCGCGCCTCCCCTCTTAAGTAGGAGCACGGTTCATGATATTGATGTGTAACATCTTTCCTCTCGCTTTCGTGCAATTTGTGGGAGTGATTACGTGAAGTGGGACGAAAGTGTGTAACAGGAAGTTTGGTAAGCACGCGCTTTTTGATTTGATTTTAGAACATTATCTATACTTATAATAAATCTGTAGAGAGGTCAATTCTGTACATGAAATATATTTTCAAAAGTTATTTTTATAGTTATATCAGGGGGTGATTAGTGATCGATACTGATGCCAAAAATGCAATCAGTAAAATTTTTGTCTGTCTGTCTGTCTGTGTGTATGTTCCTTATAGAAACAAAAACTACTCGACGGATTTTAACGAAACTTGGTACAATTATTCTTCATACTCCTGGGCAGGTTATAGTATACTTTTCATAACGCAACAATCAATACGAGCAGAGTAGTGAAGGGAAATGCTGGGAAAACGGGAGAAGTTACTCCTTTTTTTAAGCTTCCGTCGCGTGTGCAGCCTTAATGGTTAAAGTTACATAGAAATCATGTATGACGGAAATATTTAACATAAAATTGTCTAAAAAATATCCCGCAACAGCATATGTCTATCTTTTATGGTTGACTCACAATAACACGTGTAACTCTTGATAGCTTAGCAGTTCGGAGCATTCTGATTATATTTGTTTACTCTTACGTTTATAATACTCTCACTCATCCTTAATTTAAAAAAGTTAACATTATTACCTATTCAATAAAAAAAGAATCATAGAAATCGGTATATAAACACCAAACTTATACATGAAATAAGCCATCGCGCCGTCGCACGTGAATACTGAATCATGCTATAAGGATTTGTTTTGTGTAACGGTTGGAAACACTGATAATTTTAGAGGTTTTTAATGTAAGGTCGTAAATAAACACAGTTTTTCCGCTTACATTGCAAACGCTGGCTGAACCCTAAGAGATCGATCAAAATATTGTACTACAGTATTGTATACCTTAAAAATGTCTACAAAAAAGTTCGCCATGGTATTTGTCTATCTCTTAGGGATAACCCACAATAACCAATTTATATCCTATACTTTTTACGAGAAATAATAGATTATTTACGAAGCGATTTTCAGCAATATAACATTCTTCCTTATCCAATTCAGTACCTTAAATACATTGTGCATTTAATATAGACCAATTTGGCTATTTAACGCATGTAATTTAAATGAATATTTTCGAAGATATTACAGATTTAAAATGCAGGGACATAGCGGTTCCGACGCTACCGGGCGGGGCACCTGGTGGCGCGTGCCTATTGTAATTAGGTATTAGAAGAATGTCATTGTGTATAATACAAGTCTGAGAACAAAAACTATAGTCTACGCTACAGCTCTACACCGAAGCGAAGCGCGGGCGGGCCACTAGTGTTCAAATAGATTATTGGGTCGATAATTTTAAAAATGGTAAAAGTAAAAAAAAAAATATAGTAGGAAGAAAAATAAATTACGGGCGATCTGAGGTCGGGAAGGGGGAGGGGTTGAGTTTTTACGGGTAAAAAACGGTTAATCTCGATTTCCGGTAAAACTGCAAGTCCTATGAAAAAAAGTTAAATGGCAAAGTTAGATAATAAAAGATCTACAACTTTTGTATCGGCTTTTTTTTCACATAACCTCAAAATTTATGTGCAAAATTCATATAACCGAGTTTTTGGTTTTTTATTTCATTTTTGTTATATTATCTACCTTTTCCAATGGGTTTCATCCTACTACAATTGTTTTTGGTCTCAAAAATTATCGACCCGGGTCTATTTGTGGTAGGTGATATTTCTTTTTTTACCAATATAAGGTGAGGTTTCAAATGTTACACATCATACGCGACCACTGTAAGGCTCGCTCGTTTTATTTTCATAGGGCAGCGCTGCGTGAGGCGTGTCTATCCCGTTTTGGTGCGTCACAGGCCTTCCCAATGATGGAATAGGGAGATTGGGCCATGACCCACCACGGTGGGCGCTAACGACTGCAGATGCAGCCGGGACCAATGGCTTAACGTTCCTTCCGGCACGGCGGCTTCTCTAAATACGGAGGAGCTCAACATTGTAAATTTTTGGTCACCCATCCAATTGCCGATCACTGCGAAAGTTGCTTAACTTCAACGATCGCAGCCAAACGCGCTAAGTGCTCCTCACACAAAACTGCGATGCGACGTCGCAACAATGGTTGAACAACGAAAATCAAAATCTATGCCGTTGTTCTACCATTTTCCACAGTGCGACGTCGCATCGCATCTCATCGCAGTTTTATGTGGGAGCCCTAAATACTTGTGCCATTGGGCTTCTCGACATAATTTCAAAATACATATTAGAAAATTAGAGAGCAATTCTCACCTGAATTTTCTTCACGAGCTCAGTGCTCCCGGCTGTGGTTGCTCCAGCGTCTGAAGCCTCTTTAATCAGCTCCTGACCCTTGCAGAAGACGAGGATCGTGCGCTCTTCGTCACGAGGAAACATGTGTGGCAACAAACTCAACCGGGTGAAATTGTCAATGTAGCGATTCTATAAAAAAAATAGATGTCTAGCAATATTTGTTTATTAGATACTAGCGGCTGCTTAGTAATTTGAGAATTCCACAGGAGCATACTATTTTTCCTTAATAAAATTATCCTATCTAAAGCTAAGGGGCCGTTCAAGTATTACGTAAGCACTACTATAGGGGGGCAGGGGGTCTTTGCTTTGTTTTGCTTATTTTTGATGACATGGGGGGGTGGAAGGTCGAGATAGTGATTACGTCAGCATCATGGATTCGGGTGTCATGGACTAAAAACAAACCTCTTTTGATTACTGAAATCGGTAATCAAAAGAGGTTTGTTTTGTTCGAAATAGTACTTAATAAGATTATAATATTTGTACCTTACTCTATGTTGAATACTGAGTCAATAAAGTTTGTTTAAATGAATATTATGTACGTTAAAGTCCTCTTTCCTAAGTCTATTTAAGTACGACTGCTCATAAATCAATAAAAAAAAACAGAATACATTAAAGGAAAAATGCACAAATGTACCAATGTTTATGTAAGCATGAGAGGAGGGTAGGGGGAAAGAGCTTTGTTGAATTGTAATGAATCTGCTTACATAATACTTGAACGGCCCGCAAGTCATAAACTAGATGCATACCGAAGTTCATGTTTTGTTTAGTAGATTTGCGTGATTGAGTACATACAAACACACATACATACAAATTTTCACATAGATGAATTATACAGCAGTATATATTTTAGATATAGGAATATACACTGCCCCTTGCCATGTCCCTTAAAGTATGGCATATAACAATTATATCAATTCTAATTTGTTGGTGGTGGAGTAAAAACATATGACACATAACAACATCTTAATACCTTAAACCTTTGGTATAGGTAGCCGCAAATGTCTTGAGCAATATCACATACAAATAAACTTACACAGAAAACATTTTTGTATGTTTAAATGGCACAGCGCAGGCTTCCTTGTCTATGGATGCTGTTCAAAAAGTTTGCTGGAGTGTATAGCATTAGCCAGAAAAATGTCTATTATAGATTCCCAAATTGATAGTTTTTTACTATACAAGTGATAATAGGGTATTTGACAAGTTTTAGAAAACGATGTCACTTATTGACTAATGTTTATGGAGTCTGTAAAAAGTGGATATTCATCATTCTGTTGTGTATTTCAATAAAAATAACCAAATAAAAAACTCCATTTTCAAATTGCCGCGAAAACGTTTCGTCACACGACTGTTATTAAAACGTCAAACAATACAATGTAATGTCACTTTAACCGGAAGTTTACTTGCGTGAGACGTCATTTTAGGCTCCGCCAATCCCAAGCGTTTCGGGTCACATGACAATAGATACAAAAAGTATTCTCTTTTTCGTTGGTTTTTAGTAAAATTATGATTTTTTTTTTGAAAAATAGTAAAAACCCATGCCAATATTCATTCTAAACACAGATGCTAACATTTGGCACTTTATTTTAATACTGTCAAATACCCTATTCAACAACTGGTGCAGGTGATAAATAAGTAAATTAGAAATATAATTTACATAATTTTGATATGTGTCCTTGGACTGGGGTTAGTTAATGTGTCCTAGACTCAGATTGTTCTCAAATTATGCAAAATCTATCAATCAATACTTTATGACATTCTATAATGGCTTAGGTACATTGCTTTGATCATTGTAGACCCTGAACAGGGCACAGCAAATAAGAGAATATATATTTTATAATGACAAGTAATTATGCAAACAGAGATCAGATACCTTTTTAACACCTTGCATGTTAAATTCAACTTGGGCATATACAAGGGCATCTGGCTGATTGTACATAGTCGGGTGGTGCGTTTCTTGGTGTGCTCGAACTGCATCTTCGGCGGAGTATACCACCCATCTGTAGTACTTCAGAGGGTAAACATCATCCATGGGTTCACCCTTGAATGTGTCATCTAAATGTTTGTTTACTTGTTTTACTAATCTGCAAAATTATAACAGATTTTGGATAAATTCACAAAGAAAAAACTGTACAAAAACTAAATCAAAAACTTTGCATATTCTTTTCTTAAATCACTAAAATATTGCAATCTTAATCATGAAAAGAGTATTGCACTAACATTTAAAACTTTCTTATGATGTAATTTAAAGTTAAATAAGGTTCAAGTTATTCGGTGATTGTGACAATGACAATAAAATCATGATTTGATACTACAAATAAAAGTTATTTGATCATGGTTGGTGATCAACATAATTATATCAAATAACATAAAGAATGTTTTGCTTTAAGAAGCTGTTATTAAATAAAAGATCCATAGGGCAGGGGATTGGGTCAGGGGAGGCAACAGCGTATCTGTAATTTTAGGTACTGCAAGGGACTTTATGAAAGTAATGGTGGCCGCTTACCACCAGGGGGGCCATATGCTTGTTTGGCACTCTTTTAACATAAAAAAGATATCTATATCCTATCTTTGTACATACTTATCCTTTCCTCTTTGATTGTGGGGAATGAAACCAACTTTTGTGACTTCAACTTTGACTTTTTTAGCACGTGCTTTAGCCCTGGTGCCTTTACGAGCTGCATAGTATACTGCTGATGTATGCACAGTTTTCTAAAACATGTAATTTTTTTTATATAGAGTAATTGTGTTTTTATATGACTTCATTATTATGTATTCCCAATAAGATATTTATTGAGATGCAGAGATACATACCAGATTCAAAGTATTTGTTTTATATGCTTGGAGTGTATTGTTAAGCACCGATCCTGAAATAGAAACAGTAGATTATGTAAATAAACAGTAACTTATACCTACATTACACAAGTTACAAAAAGAACTAGGTTAAAGTGAGCGGTCGTCATAGCACATGGTTAATATGAAAGAATTACTTAAATATCTATAATTACAAAGAATAATTATAACAATACTTTTAATTATCACATATCGGCTAGGGTTCGGGGTTCAAACACAGATTAGGCATTTAAATAAACAGAATAACACATTTCGGATACTATTTGGCACTAAATAATGAAAATTTTAAACAAATATTTACTGTTTTTATTTCATCTATCTACTTAGTAAAAAAATATACTTACGAAAGAGTGACCCCGCCATAATAATGCATGTAATTCTTATGTATTTTATTTGAAATAAATATTCTATTAGTAAAGGCTTTAATTGTGTAGTAAATTATTTAAATTTAATTCATTTATAACTTTTTTTATGAATTAGAGGTTATGAGAACCAAACCATAGACTAATGTTTCAGACATTTGTTTTTTTAATTCTTGTTTTTAAATAGTCACTTATTAGCACACAAAGGGTACATGAAACAATCGGTATAGCTAAGTTTTTTTTTTCATTTGGATAAGCCATAGAGAATAGGTTACCGAAAAGATGAGCGTCAAGAAGCAAGATTTCTACCTTAGTCTGTGGTCAAGTCAAACAAATGTCAAAACAAAGCTTGTGAACCGATCTGTTTCGGTGTGAGTGAATTAAAGTTTTTATTAGTTTATTATCTGCTGGGCTTGCTTGGGAACCGAACAATGAATTGAATTATATCCCGAAATTAATTAAAATATTAATTTTATTTACCATGGATCCATTAAATTCGAGTTTCCTTTTGATATCATTGTGCGTTTTGCTCTGGGGTGTGGCCGGCCAATACGAGTGGCAAATAAGGGATGCATTCGACGAAATACGTGGTAAAATGGATAAAGTTTCAGCGGACAATTGCTTTATAACGCATCTCGATGATCTGTACCTCCCAGAGGACTCGGTTTCGCATCACCCAGACGTAAAAGAGATAAACATTAATCCAGTATTTCCTAACCGCACAGCATTGCTTCATTTACACAACATGGCTATGAATCGTGCATTTTTCTGGAGCTACATCCTACAATCAAGGTTCATACGACCGGCCATCAACGATACTTACGATCCAGGTATGATGTATTATTTCCTTTCATCAGTAGCCGACGTTGCAGCAAACCCGTATATAAACGCTAGTGCAATATATTTTTCTCCAAACATGTCATACACTTCGTCGTACAGAGGATTTTTCAATAAAACCTTGCCCAGATTTGCACCAAGAGCTTTCAGGGCAGATGATTTCAATGATCCTGTGCATCTTCAGAAAATATCAACTCTGAACACTTTTCACATTGAAGACTTGGGTGCTTTTGACCCTGAAAGCTTGTCCAAAGATTACACCTCAGATTTTTATAGGATCAATGAATGGTATCAGTTATGGTTACCTGATAAAGTGGAAAGAAGACATGATACAAAGACAACATATCAAGTTGAAATAAGATATGCCAACAACACTAATGAAACATATACTTTCCATGGTCCTCCTGGTAATGATGAAGTAAGTATAGCAAATTATTACAATATAATAATAATGAAAAGAGAAGAAAATGCACCAATATTTGAAAATACTTGCATATACACAGGAATCTCAGGTTTTTTATTAAATGGTGTGTGCATAACAAATGTGTTACTTTCATAATATATTGAATTTAAATAGATACTATGCCTAGAAAATTATTTCCTGAGAAACTTCTACAGCTATAGAGTAATTTTCTAATCCTTAGGTCTTATTACTGTTAATTGCTTTTGGCTACACCAAAACATTGTTTCAAAAGTGGCATATGGAATTATATAATTGATTCCTTTACAATGCCTAAATAATGAACAGTAAAATAATGGCAATAGTCTTGCTTTTTATATAATAGATGGTACTGGCAAAGATAATGTATTTCTAGTATAATTGGTTCAATACATAATATTCTGCTTGAACCTTTAGACTCCTGGCCCCGTGAACTGGACTAAACCATATTTCGATTGTGGCCGATTAAACAAGTGGCTTGTGGGAGCAGTGTCGCCAGTTGCAGATATTTATCCACGACACACCCAGTTTAGACATATCGAATATCCTATGTGAGTATTAAGTTAACTATGTGAGTATAAAACCATTCTTATTGATACCTTATGAAGTTGAAACGAAAACATGATCACTCTGAATTTTTTGAGAAAGCAGCTTGAGATTACTGGAATCACAATAGGTTAGGTTAGGTAAGCAGTTGTATTTTTCAGACATTAAATACTATTATTTTTTGGTGATCAATTAAACATGAGCCCAGCGTTGCCAGATACACTGTAATTACAGCAGATCTACTGTTTTTTCACACGATCTACTGTACACTGTAATACTAAAATTACAGTGTATGGAGAACACTGTAATTTTTCTAATGGCTAAAATCTTTTCGGAGAGCGTTCGAGAATGAGTTTAAAACTTACCGGACTATTTTTCACCGGATCTCGAACGCACTCGTAGTTTAATGTAAGTAAACTAAAGGCAGCCTTTGTAAAAAAAGATTATTACGAACTTGTCGAAAGGCAACCCCACCGCACCTCTCTACTTATGACACGACTCTTGTTACTATTGAAATAAGAACGGAAATGGCTTATTTTAAACGGGCATGAATAGTGGCGCGGTGTATACTATGCGGGAATTCCCCGGGCGTAGACTAAGAATCATTTCGTAAAGTAGGTACGTAGTATTAAGCGCCCAAATTTTGTCAACCGTGTTTAAGCAAGAGGTGCGTTAATTTTAAACCAACTCAGAAAATGTTAAAATCATTTCATTCGGGGGTCTACAAAAAAGAAAAGGCTGTCGGGCTAAATGATAGTGACAGTGATTAATAAGTGGTTGGTTAGTCAACTAGAAAGTGTATTTTCATTTAAATTTAAACAATATAAGTTTCTTGATATCTGCTGTAAAATTTACTGTATATTTTTTTTACTTTTACTGTATTTTTGTCTCAAACACTGTATTTTTTTGCACCCAACACTGTAATATCAGTTTCCTCATCTGGTAACACTGCATGAGCCTCAAATAAAAAAGCCAGATCTTTGTTGAGTGCAAAACAAAATAGCATGTTTTTTTTACAGATATACTGCAGCTGTTGTAATGGAGATGGATTATGACAGGATAGATATAAACCAGTGTCCACCCAGTCAAGGCAATGACAGACCCAATAGATTTGCTTCTACGGCTCGATGTAAAATTGAAACAACTGAGGTAAGTATTTGTAAATACTAACCAGGGGGTCAATTGCTTAACTGGATTGCTATGGCTATCGCTATCGCTTACTATTCCATTTTGTTTATTCTCACAAACTTTATTCTTTCAAACACCTCACTCTCATTTTTTTAATATTGTTATTACCAATGCAAAAGAAAAAATCCTGCTTGAAGCATTTGAAAACCTTCGGCAGTCAGAAATAATGCCGTGAGCATATTGGCCCCTGGCATGTTTTTATATTAATGACACAAATTACCTACCAATCCAATCCCCTACCAAGTGGTGTTCTGGAACCTTACTTAATCTGTTCTCTGAAGCAAGTTGAAAATTTGCTATGCCATACATCCCTAAAAAAATTCAGCAATTTAAGTATGTTAGAGTGGTAACACTGTTCTTCTTCTTCTTGCAACGGGCGTTTCCGCAACTCGACGTCCAATGTGGTGGCACTGTTATAAATAACACAAAGCAAGCTGTATAAATAAAGAGATATTATTCATGTTGCATATAGCCGTAAATAACAATTATTTTAAACAGGGTTTACAAAACCATGGGATTTACAACATAAGTACATTTCACAACAATTTAAAAACAAAATTTGAAGAGGTTGATAAATAGGGATGCAAGGTCTTTTGAAATATCGATATTTATATCGAAGTCAGGAAAATATCGATATCCGATATATCGACCATTTTAATTCGATATTATCGATATATCGATATTTTTTTGCTTTTTTGCTTTGTATTAAGTTTGCAAAGCAAAAACCTAAAATTAAGGAAGCAAAGGTTTCCAAAATATCGATATTTATAATGTGGGCAAGTAAATATCGATATCCGATCCGATATATCAGTCATTCCAACATTTCCAACACGATGTTTATAGATATTTTCTATATGTTTAAGCTGTAAGAAGTATCAAATCAAAAGCAATTTCGAATTAAAGATATTTATTTTGTTTAAAATGTTAAAACATCAGGGGCGTGCCCATGGCTTCAGAAAGGGTAAGCCCAAAGCTTTCAAAATTACTATACCTATCATACTCTCTTGACTTGGCGAGCTTAAAAAAAATACGATTTGTATAAGATTCTTAATTTTATTTTGTGTTATATTACAATGATATTAAATTTCAATTAATCAGTAGTTGACAATTATCTAGAAAGAGAGGCAAGGATTTTATTTAAGTACATGAGTTACCATTAGGTATACGATTATACCTTTATACGTTGGTGTCCATTCTGGCATGATTATCTAAACTTAAAACTAAATTTAACATCATTCTCTCCTTTTCATTCTGTATAAAGAATGACAAGAATACACTGTTGTCAAATTTAATTTTAGGTTTAGAGAATCATGCCAGCATCCACACCAGTTTAGTATATTTCTTGGGGTTCAAGATTTTTTTAATACATCTATAAGCTCCTGCGATTTCAAAGTAATAGTTCTTTCGATATTATTCAATTTAGATAGTCATAGCAGGTAAATTAATTGGTATTATTGTGTTCAAATTTAGTCTACGAAATATCGATATTTTTAAATTTCCGATATCGATATTATCGATATCAGTGAATTTTTAATATCGATATAAATATCGATATTTTGGTCTCGATAATATCGATATTATCGATATTCCGATATATCGTTGCAACCCTATTGATAAAGGACGGATTGGCTTCAATGTTACTAAGTTATTTAAATTACAGTCACATAGTTATATAAACTTTGATGTTAAGAACTTCAAAACAGAGCAGAAATATGATGAAATTCTTAATACATCTTTACTTCGATATGAAGACCTCCATGGTCGAGTGGTTTGTACGCCGGGTTTCATGGTGTAGCCGACTCGAGAGGTCGGGTTCAAATCCCGGTGGGGGCAGATGTTTGTGTGATGAATACGAGCATTTGTACTCTAGTCATGGATGTTTAATATGTATATCTAAAAAAATATACTTATATATGTACAGTAAATGTATTCTATCCGTTACCCTAGTATCCCATAACACAAGCCTTACAGTGCTTACTTTGGACTAGGCTAATTGGTGTGAGTGCTGGAAATATTTATTTATTTACTTCCTACATTCCTTTATCAATGATCACATCAAACCTAATTACCTACATAAACATATTGTTTACTGTTGACTGTCAGAAGTACTTAAGCAGATTATTGTGCTATACCCAGTGCACACACAGCCAGACATACCAAAGTATCGAATTCGAGAGCTGTGAGCTTCATTACTTTAGTCATGTTATAAGTATACACTTTCAGTGTGAACATAAAAGCCAATTCTTTTGTTTACATCACTCAGCACGTTAACAATGGATTTTCCATGGACGTATAAAAAAAGGCGGACAGAGTTTCGCCTAAGACAAGACTGAGGCACCGTAATGGCGGCGGCTATTGATGAGTGAGTGAATTGTAGGGTTGCTAGGTTAGCCAATTTTTTACCAATAAAACACAGTAAAAACATGAAAATATTTTGATTGTTCAAAATTTTACTTTTTGCCCGACTGCGGAGGATAATGTTTTTCGAGCGTATGTATGCATGTATGTATGTCCAATAATTTGGCACGCCCTACAGCCTGAACGTCTTGACGGATTTTGACATGCGAGGTGTCATTTGATTTGTCGTGATTGTGTGAGTGGCACTCGGTATATTAAAATTTCAAAAAATCAAAATAACAGATTTTATGCGCCAAAATGAACCATTTTGAAATAAAAGTATAAGTATTTTTATAACCCGTCAAGCGAGGTATCAAAGTGAAGGGTTTTTAAAGAATATTTAGAAAATATACAACTCGTGTAATTAAAAAATAATGAAATTAAAATGTAGAAAATAAAAAAAATGTACTAAAAAGAAAAAGAACAAGTCCAGTAGTCTAGAATTCTGTTTAATAAGGAACAAAGTTACTTTAACAGTCGGGACTCATTAGAAATTCTAGAATGTATCCAATTTTCTCAATATTGGGTAAATCAACTAAATATAGATGGCCTGGCCTGCATTCTCTTTCATATTTCTTAAAATAAACTAACACCCATTGAGTACTGTTTGTAATTGAGGAGTTCCATTGTTTTCCTCCGAAAGTACTCATCAGATCTCCAGTAAATTAATATGCAGCCATCTCGCTAGTAAACTGATTAAAACAAAAAAAGAATCATCATAAACGGTCCACGAATCTCGGAGATCTGCGCGAACAACAATAAAAAAAAAAACAAATACGCACGATACGACGCATTGCGAAGCTCTTCCTTTTCGAAGTCAGTTAAAAATTTTAATCAACCTTTTGAGGTAATGCATACGTAATAACACGCCGGAGTCCTCCTTTAGTTGTATGTAAGTCTTGAGCTTCAAAATGAAGACTAAAAATGACACTACTACATATTTGTTTGGAAATCATTCATTTTCCAGTAATTTCTCCATACTACATTTTCTTTAGGAAATCTGACAATAAATAATAGATTGAAGTTAATGTCAACCGAATTTCCCATATTTTAGGTAATATGGTAACATGAACATTGGCAACACTGGGCTTTAGACTAATCATTTTGTCCTTAGAATTAAAATTGATTTCGATTTCTAAAAACTAGAAAAAAGTGATTCAATTATTCATTTACCTATGAAACGTGATTCCTGGATTTTTTTTCTTTCGGTCACTACGGTTTTTACACCTTTTTACAAGCAAGATATCTTGTTTAGCTTATTTTTTATCTCCACGTAACGTGTCAGCTGCTTTGACGTTTGCACGCGTAGTGGCTGACTATTGTGTGAATGTGTGCGTGCCGGCTTGTACGTATAGCGACCTGGCCGACTCTGAGCGACACAGTTTATTATTTACCGGGACTCTGTCCGCCTTTTTTTATAAGTCCATGGGATTTTCATAAACTTTACCCGCGCGAATATTAGTACTAAAGATGTACATTCTGTTTCCCGCAATTTCCTAGCAGGCATAGTACAGTGCGACCAAGATCTTGTGGTACTTTAATAACATGAACAAGAGGGCGCTGCTGGTGAATAGGTGGTAAAAATCAAAGTACGTAAAACCTTCTCACTAAATGGAACCTTTTAATTTACAATACCTTGATAAGAGTAATAGGAAATGTTAAAGGTTTATCTACACCTTACTCTAAAAATAAAAGGGATAATTGTACCTTCTACACTCACACATTTCTTCCCTGCCACAAGATCTTGGTCACACTGTATCAAAAATTTATTTATTTCTGTTTAGTGCGAACCGATACACGGTTGGGGTTTCCGTCGCGGAGGCTACCAATGCCGTTGCGCGCCCGGCTACCGGCTGCCGGGCCTAGTGCGGCGCCCCTACCTCGGAGAGATAATTGAGCGAGCCACCGCAGACCAGTACTACAACAATTTCGACTGCCTCAAGATCGGATGTGAGTTTTTATTATTGGAACGAAGTTCCTTACGGCAGGCTTGGAGGGGATAGGGATTTTGCTGCGCGACCGAATTGAAAAAAATGTGATAGTAAAACCGTAAGAAAAAATCCGTGGAAAAAAATGCGTGGAATAAAACCATTAAATGAGACGTGCGTAGGCGCGACGAAGTTCCTTACGGCAGGCTTGGTGGGGATAGGGATTTTGCTGCGCGAACGAACTGAAAAAAATGTGATAGTAAAACCGTAAGAAAAAATCCGTGGAAAAAAGTGCGTGGAATAAAACCGTTAAATGAGACGTGCGCAGGCGCGACAGTCGCATACACAAGCGAGTTTGCAATTTGTGTCGATTCTACATTAGCCGAAGGAACTTCGTTCCTACCTAGTGTCCCACGACACCACATCATTTCTTTTTTTATTTATTATGTTTGCCGCTATATATATACCTCGATGATATCAATGATATACGTCTGTCCGTATATCACGGGTCTCTAGATCGTAAATAATAATAACAATAAATCTGTATTTACGAAAAAAGACATTACATAAAACATGTGTAAATTAGAAGCTGCTGAAGTATAAAACTATGTTGCAGCCGCTAACGCCCACCTCCAGTGAAAAAAAAAATTAAGCAAAGATTAACACAAAAATAATAAAAATAAATTTAAATATGAGCAACTGAACATTAACAAATTTTCTATGGTTTCCTTCCAAATAAAATTTTATGTATAAAGATTATATCTATGATTCATGATTTAGATCTTGATTACGTTCTCAGTCTCATCGTATGTCAAATTTTGAAGCTATTTACTTAATTTAATTTTGCATTCCCTTAAGGTCATATTATAAGTTGCTTGTTCACAATATTATACACCGCAGAACTTACGAAATAATATCGACGTCTTGCCAGTGCAATCCTGCAGGGCACCGTATTGCAAACTCTGTCAAGTCTCCGTAACTTCATAATATTTGCATCAAAGGGAGTAAAACAATGTTTGCGCAATATTACTTTTAACAAAAACATTTGTCTGACAGTCAGGACATTACATAGAGAGTAGAGATCAGTAGTAGGAAAGCGCAAAGGTTGAAACGCCATTACTTTTAAAATTGCTCTTTGAGCTCTTTCTATGCGAACAAACATCGTCTTATTTGCGCCGCCCCATGCTGCTATACAATCATTTAACATTGATTGTGCAAGTGCATAATAAACCATCTTAAGGGTTGTAAAATCTGCTGATGTTCTTAAATTTCTAAAGATAAAAATAAGCTGCATGGAATGAGTTACAGAACTGTTTTTTTTTGTATTTTATGTAAAATGTTTACGCAAAGCTGAATAATTAGCTGAAAATTCAATTAATGTTTTTTTTTCATTGGGGGTCCCATACATGAAATGGAGGCGAATTTTTTTCTTTTTTACTACAGCATGGGATACATCGTTGTCTAAAGCTCGTTGAGTAAAATATAAATATCATCCAAAATAGGTAATCTCCTTTTGTTATATACGTATTTTCGACGCACTTTGACGATAATTTAATTGTCCAAATAAAGGGATTCAAAGTTTGCCGGTGAAATGGGAGCGGGCGCACCCGTTCATCCGCGCCATATACAGAGACCAGTACTACGAGTATGTGAACGCGACGAGTGGAGCGGCTTCCACGCAGACAGAGAGGATGAACGTGTACGAAGTGCTCAACTTCATACGCGGAGTGCAGCCCAGTAATTGTACCAAGTGAGTTTCACAAGCACTTGTGAAGGTCAAGAAGCCACGCCATTGGTTCGCAAAACTACCTTGTACTGAGAAAAACCGGCAAGTTACTCATCAAGGGCTGTTTTTTTCTTCCTGTATACAGAGTCGTCAAGTTGATAAATGATTTCGTAGATACTTCTGAAGTCACCTTCCATTACAGCATTTAGCATATAGATATTAACTTTATATTTAATATATACCTAGGAAGCGGCATCAGATAGGTAGATCTGTTTTATTTAACCGTTTTATTTTTATACAATGACGACTACGATATCAAGAACCCTACGTCAATAGGGATGATGAAGGGGTATAGTAAATGAAATTCTATTTAGTATAAATTGATGTATGTAGGTATATGTACTATGTAATCTATTTAACTATTATTTATTAAGTTTATTTCCTATAATAAATAGTAGTTGTAAATTTTTGGTTTATTTTTTATTGCACTTTCTGTTTACCGCTAAGTTTTTAATCTCCAACACCACCTAGGTTGGCTGGATGAGACGCGATGAAGTCCCTCAACGGGGATCTCGCGGTTCCGTACTTAACAGCGTAGATGGTTTTTTAGCGGATAGTATGCCGTAAGCGCTCGTATGCCGCGCGGACTGCTTAATGGCTTCTCCGATTTGCACCCGTGAGACTTGCGAGAGGCTAGGTCTGAGGTTCGTTCGTTAGTTCCCTTAAGGGCGCCGACTTTTGTAAATAAAGGTTTTGCCAGCATATAAAAAAATGGCTAGAAGAGATCTCTTGGAGATTTTTGACTCGCCTGTGCTAACTATATAGCTGACTTTCTGTTTCGAACTATTTGATGCATTAAAGAGTATAATAATAACCCCGTCTTTTAGATTATAAAAAAATAATACACTCATTTTTTTTTGTCAATCAATAAAAAAAAATACATAGAATTATTACTTAATAAAAATTGTCATGCGACAATTTTATCTTAACGTCATGCGACATTTTTAAATCAATCTTATATATAAAATTCTTGTGTCACAATGTTAGTTACCATACTCCTTAATTACATACAAAACGGCTCGACCGATTTTTATGAAATTTTATATGCATATTCAGTAGGTCTGAGAATCGACTACTATCTATTTTTCATACCCCTAAGTGTTAAGGGTTGTCCTCCCCTAACATTATTTTTATTATTTTTTGGCATTTAAAAGACATAGGTCCATCCTAAATTTTCACGCTTCTACCATCAAATCCTATTTTTATGGCGGTACGAAGTTCGCTGGGTCAGCTAGTATATATATAATAATATATCTCTGTAATGTTTTGATTAAGTGAATATACAAAAATATCCTATACTTTTTTAAGAAAAAAAGTTAGTCATCGTGCCTATTTAGAAACATTTTCTAGCTGGTATGTGGCAATAACGATTAAACAGTATAAATGTTTCTGCAGATACAATCCCAGCGACTTAGTCTTAGACGGGGACATAGCTTTCGGTGCTGAGGAGCAGCTTGAGTCCCAAGCCAAGATGGCTGTGAGACTAGCCAATTTCATCAGTGCATTCTTACAGGTGAAGTGATAAAAATTGACTTTTTTTTTCTTTCTTGATCTTGCTAATTGTTTTTAGATATATAACGGAACAGAAATTAGTGACTTTTTAAGTTAGTGACAATAGGGTTGGAAGCTTGTATGGTTAACAAATTTTTCCATGCAGACAAAGTCCACCTACTAAAGTATGGCCAACGAGAAGCGATACAAAATGTAAACGAAGTCGATGAAAGGTCATTGACCAATGCAGGGATTGGCAACAATTTTGAAAATGACGTTTGTTTATGGGAATGAATAAATGACGTTTATTGTTTCAATTGGCATATATTTAAATAAAAAATGTAAAAACATACATTGTATATTATCAAAACAAAAAATCACAACATTTTCAAAAAACAAAAAATATTTATTATATTATTATAACCATGAGCGCTATCGGAAACACATGAAACGAAATGAAAATACGTCATTATTTTTTAGTGTTAAATGGGCGCTCGACTGTTGGTCAACTCGGCGCCTCGGCGATGACGTCTGTCTGTCTGACATGTCGACAAAACGAGACCTAATGTCATAAATATGAGATGAAAGACATAGTTATAAGCCTGTCAGTCACATAGTCTCTTATAAGGTGAATAAACTTTTGTGTCGCTTCTCGTTGGCCGTACTGTCACAGCTACCGATTGAGAATTAAAAAAGTATTGATATGATACAGCAACATGTGTATTTGGGAAAGTTTTGAGAACAATAATTTTAAAATGAGGTTAGTTGTTTCCTTATTAAAAACTAGGTTCTGCTTTGTCTCATCTGTCCCAAATTCTTTAACGAAATCCTTAAAAATATATTCAAATCAACATGTTGACAGTATATAGCTCTTTCCGTCTTGAGATAGTACAGAAAAATATTTTTGAGAATTGATTAGTATCGTGGTAATAATTTTGGAAAAATATCTGCGATGCGTCTGCTTCGTACGCTCTCTGATGCAATAATGTCTCATTGCAGAGCGGTGATGACTAACATTATTTTTTTCTAAAACTACCTGCATAAACTGTATGAATATTGTAATGTGAATGTTGTATGTAATTTTCTTGGGAAACTGGTGTTTATAGTGTTATTGTGTATGATTTGTTCTCTGTAAATTGTTTGCTGGAAAACTATTGTGATAGTCTCACGTAAGTGAATTTTATGTAAATTCTTGTGAGGTCAATAAATTCTTAAAGCATAAATATTTTTCATCCAAAATTTAAATCGTTATTTTAGATAAGTGAAGTCTGTACCTAAAAAAAAACTAGACGTTCTATCAAAAATCTAAATATCTTTATTCAAATTGGATGCATAGTACAACTCTTTTGAATCGTACTCTTTCATTTTCCGTCCAGTTTTTTTTTTCTAGTTAACATTTGGTTAAATACAAAAATCATGCAGTTAAATGCTTAAAAAAAGAATAAATGTTATATTTTGACGCAGTTCGCAGACCCACAAGAAGTATTCAGTTCTATTAAAAATTAAAATATCTTTACTCAAATTGGACGCATAGTACAACTCTTTTGAGTCGTACTAAATCTTTTTTTCCCACTAGTTTTTTTTCTAGTTAACATTTGTTTAGATACAGAATTCGTGCAGTTAAATGCTTATACAACACAACAAACGTTATATTTTGTCGCAGGTCTCAGATCCACAAGAAGTGTTCAGCGGTACCCGCGTAGCGGATAACCCTCTGACAGAGGACCAAATGTTCGGTGAAACACTCGCCATGGTGCTCGGAGACTCGAAGATTTGGTCAGCGGGTAAGTAGACAATGCTCGTAAGTTTTATGGCGGCATTTTGCATGCCTATTCGTGTTTGCTATTTGTATTGTTACGTGTCGGGATGGGGTTCGAAATTATATGCAAGTTCACGCTTGGTAGTTTTTTAATCACCATACAGATAACACAGTACTACAGTCACTTTAAACAATCGCACTTGAACACTTGCACTTTGATCGCCTTTGTCGAAAACAAAGCCGATCCAAAATCGCTGTTGAAACTCAACTGTTTGTGGCTTTTATATATGCTAATCGACGCATTCTAGAAACCCATTTAATTGAGTGTTAACTAGCACCCGCGAGTGCGTAGTACCTACTTATACCTACGTAGGTAACGCGCATAAGTTGAAAACAAGTGCAGATGTAATTGCACTTTCACTCTTACGCCGCACTGCATAAGGCTCATATTAGAATGAACCGCACCACTCGACCTTTATCGCCATCCGCGGTGTTCTGGTAAAATCTATCTCCAGTATTTTCGCGGTTTTGGGTCAAGAGTGTTTGTGACAGTATAATATATTAATGTTACCAGCCGATTTTAGGAGAAACTAGTTTTTTCTAGGCCAAACCAATTCACCCTTTAGGCGATAGGATAAACCGATACAGACTAGGCTATACTGGTTCGTCGTGTGACCGATAAATTCTACATTGTTCTATCTAAGCTGAACTAGTTGAGCCTAATACGAATAAGAATACTTGAGGGTAAATTGGTTTGGCCTAGTCTGTACTAATTCTGACCAATCAAAAACGTTTAAGCGAGACGTGTTTTAGCGAGAAATTTAGACTAGTCTGTACCGTTTATATTTTCGCCCAAAGGATGAATTGGCAGATCCTAAGAAAAAGTAGTTATTCTTAAAATCGAGTTTGGCAATATAATATAATATATGATAAGGACAAACTGCTGTCAAAACTTAGAAGTACCCTCGCTATGGCACTCGTAGATTCGAAGATTTGGTCAGAAGGTAAGTGAACAATAAGTTTAAGAAACACTCGCCTTGCTTATGTACTCGTAGACTGAGAAGATATTGAAGAATGTAAGTGAATAATAAGATTCAGGTTCCCATAATTAAAAGATGATAATGGTTTTCGACTTTTCTTTCTTATATTATTAAATCTAGCAAATGATTTGGCCAACGCAGTTCTATCTGTGATTGATAAAGTCGACTTCTAGCATGTCAACGCGATTTAAAAGAATATAATTCAAATATGGACTTTAAAGTATACGGCTTTAGGTATACTTTACAATGGTGTCGATTCTGGCACGATTCTCTAAACTTAAAGCTAAATTTAACATCAGTCTCTCCTTTTCACTCTGTATACAGAATGACAAGGATATGTAGATATCATTCCAGAATTGACACCATTGACAACATAAATTAGCTGTCAGCGAGCCTACCGCCTTCAGTCCCTGTACATTATCAATATAACGTTTTTTATTGCGTCTGACTGTCAAACCCACCATTTAACAATTGAGCGCGGTAAAACGCTTTATATTTCACTAGCGGCCCGCCCTCGCTTCGCTTCGGTGTAGAGCTGAAGTGTAGACTACAGTTTTTGTTCTCAGGCTTGTATTATACACAATGACATTTATTTATGATTCTTGTTATACCTGCATGCAAAGTCTCAGCCCGATCGGTTTAAAATTGACAAAGTTTCATACAAACTTTTATTCCCTATTTTATCCCTTTGGGGGTAGAATCGATGAATATCCTTTCTTAGCGGATGCCTACGTCATAACATCTACCTGCATGCCAAATTTCAGCTCGATCCGTCCAGTGGTTTGGGCTGTGTGTTGATAGATCACTATGTCAGTCAGTCATCTTTGTTGAGTTTTATATATATAGATATCGCGGTGCTCATGCTTCAACTATCGAGCAGTCACGAATCAGCCCCCCGAGTCGATAGTGCTCGGTAGTTGACGCCTCGTTTACCACGCGTTGCAAACAAGAGGTCTTCTATTTTCCTTACACCATTATGACTCTAGTATTGTGTACTCGATGGACCTATATTCAATGCGTATTGTTTTCAGGCACATTTTGGGACAGAAACAAGTTTACGAATAGAACATTCTTCGCACCATTCGCTTACAAGACTGAGTTGAACACTAGGAAGTTTAAACTCGAGGACTTGGCGAGATTGAATAAGACTGGTAAGATATTATTATATATTATCTATTTATTATTACAATCATCAGTCTATTAATGTCCTCAATGCAGGGGCACAGGCCTTCCATATGGATTGAATAGGGAAAGTGAGCCGTGACGTGACTCACCACGCGGGCCCAGTGCGGATTGAGGTATATTACCCTAGCGTAACAATTTCATAAGTCCATATTCTAAGGTATATAGTATTTTGTTGCTAATTTGTTGCTATTTTGTGCCGCAAGAATTGATTTTGTTGCTCCATGATTTCTCGGAAAAACGCCAGTTACGCTAGCGTAATATTACGCTAGCGAAACCACAGCGATAACTCGGAGGCAAAAGCAGTTAGAGAGATCAGATGAACGGCATATTTTGTTGCTGTAAGATAAGCTGGTTAGATATGAAAAAATTCCCCCCCCTTCATGGGGGGCTAACTACCCTAATTCATAGATATTTCAGATTTTTCGTATCTCGTGAACTAAAGCAGCTAGCGGCACGAGACAAACGGCGTATTTTGTTGCTTTAAGGTAGGCATGCTGCGTACATCATAATCACAACCCTTATCGGGGTATGACCAACCCCCGACCCCAAGACACCAGATATTTCGTATCTCGTGAGCTAAAGCAGCTAGCGACCCGAGACCAATTGCGTATTTTGTTGCTTTAAGATAGGCATGCTGCGTACATCATAATCACAACCCTTATCGGAGTATGACCAACCCCCGACTCCAAGACACCAGATATTTCGTATCTCTTGAGCTAAAGCAGCTAGCGACCCGAGACCAACGGCGTATTTTGTTGCTATTTTGTAGCTATAAGATAGGCATGCTGCATACATCATAATCACAACCCTTATCGGGGTATGACCAACCCCCGACCCCGAAGACACCAGATATTTCGTATCTCGTCAGGTAAAGCAGCTAGCGACCCGAGACCAACGGCGTATTTTGTTGCTTTAAGATAGGCATGCAGCGTACATCAAAATCACAACCCTTATCGGGTTATGACCAACCCCCGACTCCAAGACACCAGATATTTCGTATCTCTTGAGCTAAAGCAGCTAGCGACCCGAGACCAACGGCGTATTTTGTTGCTATAAGATAGGCATGCTGCGTATCATCTGGTGTCTTGGGGTCGGGGGTTGGTCATACCCCGATAAGGGTTGTGATTAGATGTACGCAGCATGCCTATCTTAAAGCAACAAAATACGCCGTTGGTCTCGGGTCGCTAGCTGCTTTACCTGACGATATACGAAATATCTGGTGTCTTCGGGGTCGGGGGTTGGTCATACCCCGATAAGGGTTGTGATTATGATGTATGTAGCATGCCTATCTTATAGCTACAAAATAGCAACAAAATACGCCGTTGGTCTCGGGTCGCTAGCTGCTTTAGCTCAAGAGATACGAAATATCTGGTGTCTTGGGGTCGGGGGTTGGTCATACCCCGATAAGAGTTGTGATTATGATGTACGCAGCATGCCTATCTTATAGCTACAAAATAGCAACAAAATACGCCGTTGGTCTCGGGTTGCTAGCTGCTTTAGCTCACGAGATATGAAATATCTGAGATTTTTCAGAATAAGGGTAGTTAGCCTCTCATGAAGGGATGATATTTTTTCATATCTAACCAGCTTATCTTACAGCAACAAAATACGCCGTTTGTCTCGTGCCGCTAGCTGCTTTAGTTCACGAGATACGAAATATCTGGTGTCTTCAGGGTCGGGGGTAGGTCATAGCCCAATAAGGGCTGTGATTATGATGTACGCAGCATGCCTATCTTATAGCAACAAAATACGCCGTTGGTCTCGGGTCGCTAGCTGCTTTAGCTCACGAGATACGAAATATCTGGTGTCTTCGGGGTCGGGGGTTGATCATACCCCGATAAGGGTTGTGATTATGATGTACGCAGCATGCCTATCTTATAGCAACAAAATACGCCGTTGGTTTCAGGTCGCTAGTTGCTTTAGCTCACGAGATACCAAATATCTGGTGTCTTCGGGGTCGGGGGTTGGTCATACCCCGATAAGGGTTGTGATTATGATGTACGCAGCATGCCTATCTAATAGCAACAAAATATGCCGTTGGGTTCGGGTCGCTAGCTGCTTTAGCTCACGAGATACGAATTATCTGGTGTCTTGAGGTCGGGGGTTGGTCATACCCCGATAAGGGTTGTGATTATGATGTACGCAGCATGCCTATCTTATAGCAACAAAATATGCCGTTGGTTTCAGGTCGCTAGTTGCTTTAGCTCACGAGATACCAAATATCTGGTGTCTTCGGGGTCGGGGGTTGGTCATACCCCGATAAGGGTTGTGATTATGATGTACGCAGCATGCCTATCTTATAGCTACAAAATAGCAACAAAATACGCCGTTTGTCTCGTGCCGCTAGCTGCTTTAGTTTACGAGATACGAAATATCTGGTGTCTTCGGGGTCGGGGGTTGATCATACCCCGATAAGGGTTGTGATTATGATGTACGCAGCATGCCTATCTAATAGCAACAAAATATGCCGTTGGGTTCGGGTCGCTAGCTGCTTTAGCTCACGAGATACGAATTATCTGGTGTCTTGAGGTCGGGGGTTGGTCATACCCCGATAAGGGTTGTGATTATGATGTACGCAGCATGCCTACCTTATAGCAACAAAATACGGCGTTTGTCTCGTGCCGCTAGCTGCTTTAGTTCACAAGATACGAAAAATCTGAAATATCTAAGAATAAGGGTAGTTAGCCCCCCATGAAGGGGAGGAATTTTTCCATATCTAACCAGCTTATCTTACAGCAACAAAATAGCAACAAAATATGCCGTTCATCTGATCTCTCTAACTGCTTTTGCCTCCGAGTTATCGCTGTGGTTTCGCTAGCGTAATATTACGCTAGCGTAACTGGCGTTTTTCCGAGAAATCATGGAGCAACAAAATCAATTCTTGCGGCACAAAATAGCAACAAATTAGCAACAAAATACTATATACCTTAGGATATGGACTTATGAAATTGTTACGCTAGGGTAATATACCTTGCGGATTGGTGGGTGCTAACGACGGCAGATGCACCCGGGACCAACGGATTAACAAGATTTCCGAAGCATAGAAAAACTCGAGATAATAAACCCTTGCCACCGATCTTATACTCTGGTTTTCTAAAATGATTTCAATATCTTTTAGAATTACAATACTGTATTAATTTTTGTGTATCAAAGGACGCATAAAATAATAATCAACATAATGTCCTGACGTTCTATCAATAATGATTTTTCTTTGAGTTGATTTGTGGCCAGATTCAATAAGCAACTTCCAGTAATACCTAGAAAGGCTTATTAGAGCTAACTTACTTAGATATTTCTATTATTTAGAAACAAATAACAACTGATGCTAAGAAACGAAGCTAGAATAAACTTGCCTGTTACGGCCTGCGTGGACAAAAGTCCCTTGTCCACGTAAGACTAAAGTCTGGATCGTGAAAAAGTGTCTGCTGAGAACTTGTCACGGATAGGGTATCTGTGTTTAGAATGAATATTGGCATTGGGGTTTTTACTATTTTTACAAAAAAAATATATTAATAATTTTACTAAAAATCCACGAAAAAGATAACAGTTTTCTTATCTATTGTCACGTGGCCCAAAACGCTTGGGATTGGCGGAGCCTAAAATGACGTCACACGCAAGTAAACTTCCGGTTAAAGTGACATTACATTGTATCCTTTGACGTTTTAATAACAGTCGTGTGACGTCACACACTAGTAAGACGCCATATTGTCCAGAGAAACGTTTTCGCGGCAACTTGAAAATGGAGTTTTTGATTTGGTTATTGTAACTGAAATACACAACAGAATGATGAATTTTTACTGACTCCATAATAGGGGTGATGACGGGGTACAGTAAACGATTCTATTTAGTCCGTCAGTTAGATGATCAAAAAATAATGGACACGTATTTTTTCTTTGGGCAATCAACCAAAAATTGACAAAGTTATAGCGCGTCAAAGTTTGGGAGTAGGGGCTCGTGACGTCACTTTTGAGTGAATTTTCCCTTATAAGTGTACTCAAACGTGACGTCATGCGACTTTTGAAATCAATATATCTCTGCAATGTTTATATTATGTGAAAAAAGAAAAAATACGTGTCCAATACCTGATAAACGGAGAAAAAAAAAATAGTCATCATCCCTATTATTAGTCAATAACGTGAGATCGTTTTCTAAAACTTGTCAAATACCCTATTGGGTTAACGGTCAAGTGTTAAACGCGCTATTACTCGATGTATTTTTAAGCGAGCCATTTTGGCAGACAAAAATCCCTCGTCTGCGCAGGCTATTAATGAAAGTTGATGATTGAAACTGGACGTTAATAGAGATTTATCTACATTTTCGCCGCTCTAAAATACCAATTCTAAATTCCAGAAGAACTTTACACGCACAAACCGTGGTTCCAATTTCTGAAACAGCGTTGGTCCACCAACTTCGACAGTTTAGAACAATATTTCATCAAAATGAAGATTCGAGACGATGAATTGGGCAAATACCTGAAACGCTACGAGAGATACCCGACTTATTATAGGGCTGCGAACGTAAAGCATGGCCACTGGACTAGGCCCTATTATGATTGCGATGGACATTTGAAACAATGGGTCATAACTTACGCTGCGCCGTTCTTCGGTTGGGACAGTGTCAAAGTCAAATTGGAGTTCAAGTGAGTTTTTGATTATTATAGCTATTAACGGGATTGTTACCATGTACAAACTTTAATCAACCACACTAAAACCTCAATTCCTGTTTCTGAGTGTGGCTAAAATCTATTAGTTCTACAACAATGTGTGTCAAGCACCATTTTGAAACTCAGAACAAAAACTAAAGCATATAAGTAATACTTGACGACCTCCGTGGCGGAGTGGTTTGTACGCCGGGTTTCATGGTGTCGCCGACTCGAGAGGTCCCGGGTTCGAATCCCGGTGGGGGCAGATGTTTGTGTGATGAATGCGAGCATTTGTACTCCAGTCATGGATGTTTAATATGTATTTCTATATACCTATATATGTACAGTATATGTATTCTATCCGTTACCCTAGTATCCCATAACACAAGCCTTACACTGCTTACTTTGGGGCTAGGCTAATTGGTGTGAGTGTTGGAAATATTTATTTATTTTATTATTTAATACTTTGACGTTTTAGCGTACACTCCCATGGCCAATAGATTGACAAAAATATTTCTAAACAAAGTATTACCCAACCAAAAAGTATTAGTGGCGTGTTGGTAGGTTGCATTTGACATTAGATCGCTTGTAGATTCGGTATCGTAAAGGTAAACCAAGGTATCCGCAAGTCATACAAAAATATCCAATAGGACGTTTGCATAGCGATGCGCACGTTGTTCATAGTATGGTTCATAGCAACATATATTTGTCCTTTTTTTGTCTATATATATGAATAAGATAACTATATAAGTCGACTTTATGAGTTGAGTTTAAACTCTTTTTATGCTAAAGTTCTTGTTCTGTGTTTTGAAACTAATCAAAAACTCATATATTGTTTTAAACTTTCATGGTCACTAACATTATAGTAATATAAGTTATTTACGGTATTGTTACCATGTACCTTGTTTTTATGAGTCTCCGATATTTCGGCACTGTTGCAAGCATCATGATCACGTGATCATGGCACTGAATAACTTGTTATTCCGTGATCATGGCGCTTGCAACAGTGCCGAAATATCGAAAACTCGCTAAAAACAAGGTACATGGTAACAATACCGTAAATAACTTATATTACTATAATGTTAGTGAACATGCAACTTTAAAACAATATAAGAAATACTAGTAGAAATTAGACACGGCCAATCCGGTCGTGGTAGCATAAATGGTCAGTGCTTCCGTCTGGATAGCGAAGAGTGCATGTTCGAGTCCCGCCTGATTCCTGAACCGTGTGGAATATTTTCTAGTATAATTTTCTTAACATTTAAATATTCATTATAGAAATGAATCAATAAATAAAACTAGTTTTTACGGGTTAATGCACGAAACTTTATTTATTTATTGACGTTTCGTAGCCTTTACAGGCTACGTCGTCAGAATAAAACTTTTATTTAATTTGTCGAGCTTCCTTCGAAAAAGGGTTTTCGAATAAAGTTTCGTGCATTAACCGGTAAAAACTAGTTTTATTTAATGAGTGATGTGCGTGAAAACCTAAGAAACAAATAATAAATCAATAAATTACGTTTCAGGGGAGTGGTTGCGGTAACCATGTCTTTAATGGCGTTGGACATCAACCAGTGCCCGGACAAATATTATGTGCCTAATGCGTTCAAGAGTACGGACAAATGTGACAGAAGGTCTTCCTATGTGAGTATTAAAGTGAAACTTATATTACACCGCCAAAATTTGTTTTCGTTCATCTTTAGCATGTAGGATTTCAGTTTTTATTGTTTTTTTTTTTTTTTTTTTTTTTTTTTTTTTTTTTTTTCTTTTATAGTTTGGTCCGACAAATGACTCCACCCCACCTGATGTTAAGTGAAGGTGAAGTCCAGACGCGAAGATAGCTGATACAGCAGTTCTACCTGCCACACCAGCCATCCTCACCCTGCCGGCCTGCATGTTGCTTCTTCACGCCTCTTTTAAAGGATCCCAGGTTGTAAGAGGGAGGGAACACGTGAGCGGGCAGAGCATTCCATTTACGGATATTAAAAAAACACGCCTGGAGCTCTACTCTCTTTCTCCGAAACGAAAAGGTAACGATTTTTTTTAATGAAATTTCGCCAGTGACTTTGCTGTATTTCATTTTCGAACACGCACTTAAAATTCAGTGTCACAATTTTCGGGAACGAATTCATATTTGTGAGTTATTTAGCGTGAAGAAGCATTTTTGCAGTCCGGCAAGGTGAGGATGGTTGGTGTGGCAGTTTATAACTGCTGCACCAGCTATCTTCGCGTTTGGACTTTATCACCACTTAACATGAGGTGGGGTAGAGTCATTTGCCTACCTCGCTATAAAAAAAAAGATTACCTTTTTTACTTGGAAAGAATATAACTTTACGAAGATATTTTTGATTACATTAATAGAACCTTGTTTGACTGTGCTACCCGACTAATTGTAGAGTTGATGCAATCCATTGTATGTCAACATAAATTTGTCGTTTAAAATTGAAAAGTTTTGGAACTATAATAATTGATAAGTTTGGTTTATTTGTAAAATTTTACATTCTAAATAATTTATCAGCCTTGATTAAAATACTGTAGCAGTGATTTTAGGCTTAATTTAAACGATAACATTTTTCATTTCGTCAATTTGAAGTTAAAATTTCGAACAATTTTATTTGTAAAATTCAACTTTTCTTCGAAAGTTTTGTGAATAAGAGTAGGCTTGGAGAATATAATTGTCAAACTACTTTCAAACGAACGAATTTTTTAAATGAAAAAGAAATAGAGTGAGTAAGGAACGTGAGAAATTTCGTTTTTCGTTGAAATAGAGTAGGCCTCCTGATCATCTCATAAACTATATGCGTGCCAAATTTCATCCAAATCCATTCAGTACACAATAACGCAACAATGCGTGATTGAGTAACAAACATACAAACTTTCACATTTATAATATTAATAGGATATAGAGTTTGTGCGGAGATAGAATGGGCGTGGTGAAAAACGGAACTAACATTAAGATCTTTATTTGGAAATCAAACCCAGCAATCTGTAAAACGTAAAGTTTTGTATTGATACGGATTTGTTTGTTGTTGTGATTTCTTGCGGTTTTTTGTATTTAATCATGCCTAAAAGGGGTAAAACCTTACAAATACGGCAAAAAAGCACTACAGCGCCCTCCAATCTAAATCCCATTCTCTTTCCGCACAGACTCTAGCAAGATTAGTTTTAGGCCTTTACTCTCCGAGGGGTCCTTAATAAAAAGAAAAAAAAGAATTGTAATGTTTTTTTAAATCGTAATTGACATGCTTGTAATCTAATTAATTAATTGACCTGATAAATTTTATTGAATGAATGACATGTATATTTATCAAGGAATTAAAAGGTTATAATAATAATATTAAGATTAGTTAGTATGGATACCCAAGACCAAAACCGTTATTTTCTCCGTACCAGTGCGTACCAATATTGGGGCGTGGCTTCGAAGCGGGCGGTTACAAATGCGAGTGCCTCCAAGGATACGAGTATCCGTTCGAAGATCCGATAACTTACTACGACGGACAAATCGTCGAAGCGGAGTTCCAGAACATTATATTGGATAAGGAGACACGCATTGACATGTTCAAATGTAGATTGGCTGGTGCGGCGGCGATACAAAGCAGTTTCGTGATTATTTTGGGCGTTCTACTGATACTATTGAAGATTAGGTAAGATTGTATATGCTATGTTATTGTAATATAGGCGTTTTTGTAGCTACAAAACTTTATATACTCTCGCCCCCTTATTAATAAACGCAAAATAAGCTTGAGGAGCTCGATGGCGCAGGTGGTTAGCGCGTTCGGCTGCGATCGTTGTAGTTAAGCAACTTTCGCAGTGGTGGGTCATTGGATGGGTGACCAACAAATTTCTATCTCGAGTTCCTCCGTGCTTCGGAAGGCACGTTAAGCCGTTGGTCCCGGTTGCATCTGCAGTCGTTAGCACCCGCCAATCCGCACTGGGCCCGCGTGGTGGCTCATGGCCCAATCTCCCTATTCCATCCATAGGGAAGGCCTGTGCCCCAGCAGCGGGGACATTAAGAGGCTGATGATGATGATGATGATGAAGCTTGGACTCGTTACTCTATGTTTTGTCTCTGTTCATTTAATGACAAATGGCATTTGAGTGATATGAACTAAACACGGCGTTACTAGTCTAAGTTTGTTCCTCGTTTATTAATAAAGGGGTTGTAGATTGGTGATGAATAGTTGGATTCTGAGTTATATGCCCTTCGCACGAACTAATATCGAATTCGTTACTTTGCGAGTGCGAAGTGTCATTGTCAAAATTTGTATGGAAACTTGAACAGCAGCGTCACAACGGACGTAACGATAACAACAGATATCAGTACACATTTGGCGTTTATCTAGATCGAATTCGAATAGTTAAATTCGATTTCGATAAGCGCTAAATGTGAAGCAGTTTTGTTTCGATTTTTTTTTAATTCTCTTACGTCCGTTGTGGCGCTGTTCATTTTTCCATACTTGACATTTGACGCCCATTGAATTCAATTATTCGAATTCGATGTCGTTTTGTGCTAATACCGGGTTCACACGAGGCGGTTAAATTGATCAACTTTTATCGTTCATTTGCTTTTGTTGGAGGACTCTTCGCTAAGCTAGTAGATTACAACCCTTGCCATAGCAATGAAGAATTTAAAACAACAATATAGTTCATACGACGTTACGTAGATGGCGCCACTCTCCTTGCTTTCTTGTTCGTTCATACATAGCTATCCGATACGTGCATTTATATTTATATGAAACAGTTATTAACTACTAAATAATGTTTTTTTATCAACTTTTCTTTAATTTGATTGAAAGTTTGTTCAGACGGTTCAAATCGCATGCGATTTAGCAGTTAGCAGCAACTAAAATCGCCTCGTGTGAACCCCGGTATAAGAGTACTGGTTATTGAAATGGAAAATAAAAGGTAAGACCAGTGCTGTGGCAGTTTTGTAGTAATACTAGGAGTTCTAATCATTTTGTTAGAGATTAGATTTTTTTGCAAATTTTTAAGATTTTGTTGCTACAAAACTGTAGTTTTTTTTTTCATATTATTTGAGAGAAGACTGCCATGATTTATATAAGGATACCTAATTTTTTACTTTGTTTTTGCTATACAATAAATGATACTCGTATTCACCGTAATAAAGATAAATAAAAAATATCACAGCTTATATGATATTAAATACTTTCATTAGGTTTTGTAGCTATAAAATTTGCTTTAAAAATCAAGTCCAATATTTAGATTTATATAACGTTAAGATGTAAAGCAATATCTACCGTAGGATTTTAATTCCACAATTTAATTTCCTAGTTTTTTATAATATGAAATGTGAAATTAAGATACAGCAAAACTTTTGTTATCTTTGTTTAGCCTTATTTCAGTGACTCCTGAGCAACAGCTCAATGTGCCTCCAAATACAAAGCGCTGAATAAAAAAAGGCACTTTGTCTAGCTACCTTCGAAATCTTTTTACGAAGGTAGCTTGACAAATTAAATATTCATAGAGACGTCATAAATACACAAATCAGTGCATCTATACCGTCTTATAAGTCTTCTTTTATTTAATGAGTGGTGTGCGTGAAAACCTACTAAATAAAAAAAAAACAAAATCACATATCACATTATAACATAACCCACAATAAATATAATGCAAAAAACCATAGACAAAAAAAAAACAGATTATTTGGTACCGTTCAACTTATAATTTATAATTTAAAACCTCTTTTAAATCGTATCGGCCGGCATAGTGCGCGAAAGTTATACATATAAAAATACATACGAGCGATTTGAGCGGATTTCTGTATTGCAACCCGACTCGCTCTGGCCCGGCATAATGGGCGCTATCCATCAAGGTCTATTCTTTCCCATGCTTCGACTTCTTCCCAACTATTATCCAGTGCTATTATTCTCATTTTTGATCTAATAATTTAATTTTCAAATGGCCAAATGAAAAAGATATATGTATATCAAATTCATCATTCATTTTTTCATCGACTTGAATTATAAAAGAATCGCACATATTGTCAATATTGTTGCAAGAAGCAAAGATTTTGCAAACGAAAAGTTTTCCTAAAGTAGGATTGCAAACCCATAGGAAATGATTTTTCTTCCACAAGAATCTCTTTCTACTATTTAGTGGTTAGTGAATTTTCTAATTTTACTAATTATTATTGTAACTTCAATAATGTGATAGTAATTAAGTCTGATTACCATTTGATGTAATTAAATAAAGCACTGAATTATTAAAAATACAACCGTTTATTATGTGATTACACAAAATTATAGTTATAATTTTTATTTTTTAACCATGTAGCTGCTTGATGTTTAAATCTAAAGAAAATATAACACATGACCGGCAGGGCGGCGGTAGCACAATGGTCAGTGCATTTGCCCGGATAGCGAAGGGTGCGGGTTCGAGTCCCGTCTGCTGCCTGGTCCGCGTGGAAATTTTCTAGTTATATTTTGTTTAGATTTATACACAAGATTTCTTAACAACTTAAAAGATGCGGTGGGTCAGTAAAAGACCACAGATAAAGGGTTTGCGTTTAAAAGGATGCTGTTGTTTGCGTTTACTTCAACACCATTTTTACATTGACTTAGTTTTTCTAATTTGAAATCATAAATGCGAGAAATATTGTTGTTAATTTTATAAGTTTCGACTGTTTTATTTATTGGCAACATTCCTGAAATGTTAGAATCCGTTGAGTTAAAATCACAGTATACTTATCTTGATATTAAAAAAAATCTGGGTTTTAATGGTACAAAAAAGGAACGACGACTTTGATACTTATGACATTTTTCTAGAATTAAGGTAAATATTTATAGGTAGCTTTGATTTACTGGAATCTCAACAATATTTTTACTTATCAGGGCATTATGTAGCCGTCCATTTTTGTCTTGGATTAAGTGTATAAGTTATAAGAGTTTCTGATATTTCATTTGTAATGTTAGCAAGCTAATATATTTTTATATGTTTTTTCGTTTACCTAATACTTTTACAATACTATATTATACTATTTTTTATTAAAAGGTTATACACTACATAAAAATCACAAATAGTGAGTCTTACAATTTTTATTTATTTTATACATTTTTTTTACAATATGATAAGTATATAATTGACAATACATTGCAATTTGATTTATTTTCCTAAAAATATAAACGAGTAGGAGAGTGCCTAATATTTTTTAAATATCAAGAATTAACATTATAAAAACTGTATAAGGTTTTTTATACTATGGCAGCATTTACATATATTAATAGAAATTACATGATTTGAGTTATTTAGATTTTTTACAGAATGGCAACTTATAAAAAAAATAATATTTTTAAATATTCTTGTATACATAGTCTTAAATTCAAGTGCAGTCCTATAAATTATCTCACGGTCTCATTTTCTGTCACTTTCACCCTCGTTAATATGTCAAAATCTGCTCCTTTTTATATTTAGAGAAGTTATTCTTGAAAATAATTACTGTACTTGAATTTAATCGTATGAATATTCCTTAGACTTTATTCCAATAAGTATGTATGCGTTGAAATCTGCTTGCGAAGTGCGAGTTTTTAAGTTCAGTAGCGTTTGAAGTAAACGTATTATTTTTTATTGTGGAGTTACCATAATTCTTTAATTATACACTAGATGGCGCTCCTAAAATGTATTTATTTCACGTTTATGGGAACGCATTTAATTACTGGAGGTAAGAACTCGTACTCAGCATTCAGTTCTGAAATGGGAGCATGTTTAAACTCTAATTACCATACAACACATTTGAAATTTAAGAAATTCACGAGTGTAACGTGAAAAACTGAGTTTTCTATAGACTGCTATTGACATGTAATTTTAAGCACAATTATAAGAAACAAGTACCGTCCATTTTAGTGTCTTCTCATAATGTATTTTTTTGTGAAATAAAAATGTAAGTACTTTTAAATAATCTTTCGTGTTTTTATTTAGTTCTATCCAATAATATAAGTACATGTCACGGGTCATTTATTTATTTATTCATCATATATATGATTTATTAAACTATTCTCTTTAAATAAATCTAATATCTAATTCAACAGGTACATAAAGTACATATTTCAAACCTGTGTTAAAAATATTTTGGTGATTTGACTGATGTCATTAGATGCATCCAAACAATTTTAATGCAAATTATAGGCTGTTATAAGGTTTCAATGTTTATTTTAGAGAAAATCAATAAAAAGTATGCCGAAGATCCTTATTTTTAACAAATAATTATCATTTTTTAATTTTGGTAAGTATGAATTTCGCTTGACTTTGGGAAACGGAGAGTGAAAATCTTGGGGGTACGAAAATCCCCCCAGATGGGTAAACACCGAATTTTTGGGTTTTTACAATTTTTTAACTTAGATTCGAAGTATGTACTTCTCGACCTGACTATATGAAAGCTGGTACAGTCTGCCACAGTTCTAGCTACCACCCATTTCCGGTTTTGCCTTTCGTTTTTCGAAAGGTCACGAGTTTTACGTATATGCAAGAAATCCGCTACCCAGGAATAGAACTGAGTAAGCATAGAGATCATATGCCTGATGCTTGGAGAGAGGGCTTTTGTGCTAGACACTGTCGAAAGCCTTGGCGATGTCAAGGTTGATGGCCAGCAACTCGCCCTGCTTAGCGATATCCTCACCATAGATGTTAGTACACACTAGAAGATCACTCGTCGGTCACTTTTGGTTGCGCCCAAATCGTCAGTCTTTTGAATATAAGCTACTAGTGGGTTCATGTAACGTTTCTAAGAACGGAAAAATATTGATCTGCCGCGGTTTGCATGATATGGGGAGTGGCCATACGAAGGGGTAGAATATAGGAAAAAATAACCGAGCGCGTCAGACATTGAGAGGGGATGTTACGTTAACCCTCCAGTAGCTCCTATTCAAAAGACTGACGATTTAAACTCGACCAAAAGACATGGCCGTTTGTTGAAATTTTGTTTTTGCTGTCCTGGACGTTCGGCCCTACATAGATGGCTGAGCTATAGTGGGAGTACTTAACTACGTGCAAGGTTGCTCCCCATATGTTATTCTGCCGCGCTCAAGTAAATCCAAAAATCCCCGCTTGGACTCCCCTACTATTAGAATAGGGCTTGCGTAAAAGATTTTGCATACGACTCCTTCCCACCTAATGTTAAGTGATAGGAAAATGATAGTTAATGCGGCTACTAAAGAAGAAGACAACAGAATACTATTTGCCAACAGTTTTCTATAAAAGTATTATACACTCTTAAAAAGCAATATGAAAAATCGGCTGAATCCTTTAAAATGAATTAAGATACGAGTGACGATTAGCGATCAAAACTATAGACATAAAGAATGGACTGAATAATTCCATGTTACATGTCTAAATAAGTGTGAGAGAGACGAAGCTCACCTGCGGCCAATAGTTGCTATAGGGTGCGGCCAGAGTGCACTCAGATTCAGATTCTGAAAACAAGCGCGAGAAATAAACAGTGTAGTCTAAGCAGGTTGCCTGCTTTTTCTCGCGCTTTGTTTTCTGAGTCTGAATCTGAATCTGAATCAGGAGTGCGATCTGGCCGTACCCTTCGACTACACTGTTTATTTCTCGCGCTTGTTTTCAGAATCTGAATCTGAATCTGAGTGCACTCTGGCCGCACCCATAGATATTGGCTGCAACGTCGGTTTCTCTTATTCTGGAGAGTTGTCAATGGTGTCGATTCTAGCATGATTCTCTAAACCTAAACTTAAATTTGACAGCAGTATATCCTTGTCATTCTCTATACAGAATGAAAAGGAGAGACTGATGTTAAATTTAGTTTTAAGTTTTGAGAATCATGCCAGAATCGACACCATTATCATGTTAGTGGTTTCGATTTTGGCATGATTAATCTTGACTTAGTTTTAAGTTTAGAGAATCATGCCATCATCGACTATAAATAAATCTAACCATGCTTATTATGTAATTTAAATCACATCTTCAAATTTTACATGAAGGAAGACTGAGCGAAAGAACGCGGCAAAGGCGCTTTAGGAATTGTCACTCATAATATTTGTACTTGGATCTGGTCTATTTGTTTAATTCAGTCTTCTGTATATTGTAACTCCTCGGAACTGTAAAAATGTTAAGAGATTGTTATTTTAAGCTTTATCTTTGTTAAAGTGATTGAAGACTTTGTGGTTTTAGTAAGATTATAACTAATCATAGCTGTGAATATTGAGGATGTGTGAGGAACTCGATGGCGCAGAGATTAGCGCCTTCGGTCTAGGATCGTCGATGTTAAGCAACTTTCGTAATGGTCGGTTATTGGATGGGTGACCAAAAACTTACCATCACAAGGGACGATAAGCCGTTGGTCCCAAGTACCCACCCACCCGCACCCGGTTAGCACCCTTCATTCCGCATTGGGCCCGCGTGGTGGGTCATGGTTCAATCTCCCTATTCAATCTATAGGTAAGGCCTGTACCCCAGCAGTAAGGTCATAATAGGCTGATGATGATAATTTTTCTTAGCTGCGAAGCTAGAAGATATGTGAGGAGCAATGTTCGGTCTACGATCGTAGATATTGGTAATTAAGCCGTTAAGCGACTTTCACAATGGCCGGTCATAAGATGGATGACTGAAAATAATCTCGAGCTCCTCCGTGCTTCGGAAGGCAAATTAAACTGTTGGTTCCTGTTACATTTGGAGTTGTTAGCACCCACTCATGTGCATTGGGTTTGGCTGGCATTCATGACCCGTTCTCCCTAGCCTGTCTCCCCGCAGTTGGGACATTGATATATAGCGGTACAAGTGGTTTCTTAGTGCAAGTGCACTAGTATTTATAACTTCGATTTGGAACTGCTCCCTCCCTTATTACCGCTAGTTTTAGCTTTGGATTCTTATATAAGTATTCAGTTTGACAACGTGGAACATCTTTCGTAATGACTGATTAGAGGATGGGTGGCCAAAAACTTCTTGTCTCGAGCTCTTTCATGCTTCGGAGGGCACGTTAAGCCATTGGTCTTGGCTGCATCTGCAGTCGTTAGCATCCATCAATACGTACTAGGGCGCGTGGTGGTGGTACATAGCCCAGTATCCCTATTCCACCCTCAAGGAAGACTTGTGCCCCATCAGTGGGTATATTATTAAGTTGCTGATGATGAAGTAAATAAAAAATAAAAATGGCCTAAGTATTACCTACGTGTAACCAAAATAGTTGTAGTTTATGGACGAATGCAGACATTGCACTTTTATGCGTGACGACCTATTTTAAAGGGGTTCATATGCGCATTAAGCGTGCCCAATGCGTGTAGGCGAGTTCTTTAACATCGAGTTCTTCGCGTACATACTTGTCGTGTGTGAAGATGCTTCGAATGTATACGAGAGCTCCAACGAAGCCAAAGTAAGCAGTGATATAGATGAGCATATAAATTATGACCAGCATACGCAACAGGCCCATTCCATATATATGTAAGTTTTTCATGAGTTTGTTTTGTGTGCCGACCACATTTTTTTGGATTTCTAGGGCTTTTTATTGCAAAAAATCTATGTTAAACACATGTCAAGAAAACGTAAGTTACCATGCTGTGATGCTGTCATAACAATTTTAATGAAGTAAGTAATGATGGAGATTTATGCCATTGGATGTTATTAACTGGCAAAGAGTACATTTATAGGTAAGACATGCACTTATAAATATCAAGGTAAGTAAATACTCAGAATACCTACTTTTTACATTGATTAATTCTTATAAAAAATAACAAAAAGCTATTTCATTAACCCAATTGTCATAAAATGACGCAAATAATCTTGCTTTATTTAAGTTATTTTTTGAAAAATGCCGCTTTAAAGTTTTCATTTTTGCAAGCTGACAACATTACGTAGATGTCATATCTACAGCAGTGATTGCAAAGTGATTGTCACTAGTGTTGCCAACTCTACGACTTTTTACGTAGATCTAAGTATTTTAGGCCTTTTCGTATTTTCTTTTAATTTGTACAAATTCGCAAAATAACATAGCTCACTAGAATAAAGAAGTATATTTTCCGTTAGTTCACTTAAATACTATACAAATATATATTTCTTATAATTTTTGGTATGAGGAACCTTAATACATCGATTTCACTTCATAAAATTAGAAGATGACTATAGTAATTTAATTTGAAAAACTAAAATATATCTTGTAGAAAAGTTTAAGTTTGTTGATTTTGTTGTCTAAATTAATGTTGGACGTCGGATTTGTGAAAGCTAAAACGACAAAACTCTAACTTAGTAGGTACACTCGCGGAAAGACCCGCTCTGTCACCCATAACGCCATAAACGCTTGCGGTAGCGGCGTAGTAAAAATTCATTCATAGACATGTAATTATCGCTGTCTTACTTTTTCGTATAGCGCTGTCGCGATCACGATGCGGATGACAAATTGCAACTAAAAGCTAAACTTGCCAAGTGACAGAGCGCAAAATTCCGCGATAGTACATTCATAACATTAAAAATTGTACATTAAACTTTAAATTTTATTCAATGAGTACTTACATCGAAGTGATCTTTGCAAAAAGAAATGACTTTCAGTCGATAAAGTTACAGGATTTAGCAAGTTTTAAACATGTGTTCATGTGTAAGTATATTTATTTCTCTAGGCAATTTAAACCACAACTTTTCTGTGAGTCTTTAACGATGTGTTTCTACATTCTCGTATAAAACAATCATGATAATTACTACACTTTTTATGTAATCTCAGATAGTTTATTTCCTACGTGCTTGCGAGTGTTTCTTTACAAATGTTTTGACGTCATAACATAGATAAATCTATAGACTAAAATGGCCAACCAACAGGGTTTTTGTGTCCATGGAAACCCTTTTATATAAAGTTTTGTAGATTTCTAGGTAAAAAGAAATACATTTTTTCAGTTTTATTAGACAGAGGGAATCTGAGGGTGCCCGTCCGGGCGCCGACGACTCAGAGGCCATTCCTTCGGGGGGTTTACCCTTAGTGACCGGCGGGTCACACTTCCCCCTCCCCATGACATGGTCCGCAGGTCGGCCACTTTCCGCGCATATGGCGCAGCGGGGCTTGGCAGCGCATTCCGCCGCCTTATGCTCCGCTTTCCCACACTTAAAGCACAGTGTGCTCCGGTCCTCCTTAGACGGGCACCTTGCCGCCACGTGCCCCCTTCCCATACACCGAAAGCAGTGTGTCCGCCGGCTGAGGACCCTCACGTGTGCTAGGCTCCAGCCCACTTTGATCCTCCCACCCTCCGCCACTTTTCTGGCGGCCCATGCGGGACATCGAACGACCGCCCCCCCCATGCCTCCTGGTCCCGGGCGCACCTCTCCTACCGTCACCTCTCGGGTGGAGCAGCCCCCCTTCATGGCCACCGCCTCCCTGACTTCGTCCAGGGTGAGGGACTCATCTAGCCCCGATATCCTCATGTCCGTGCTTATCTCAGGCCTGCCGACTTCGGCGTACTCCTTCACGACCTCGCCCATACGCCTGGCCAGGGCGTCCGCGGCCCGAGACCAGCAGGAGCCTGGACCCCGTCTGGCTGGTTTTGATGACCAGGCCCTCCTCAATCCCCACAGACGGCAGCTCGATAGCCGCCCGCGCCATCTCCACAATTTTGGTGTGGGTGAGGCCTAGCTCCTCCGCCCTAGGCCTCAACCTCACCTCAACCGCCGCTGTTTTCGGGACCTTTATTTTAGGCCCCTCAGTCTTCCTTGGAGCTGGTCCACCCTTGCTCTGCGTGGGCTCCCCCTTCTTCTTCGCAGGATCGGGGACGGCGGCTGTGCTCCCCGCCTTCCTCCTCCCTCCTCCTCCCGACAACCGTACTCCACTGTTCCGCCGGTTCCGCCCTCATCGATGTCCCCGCCTCCCGCCGGTCCGCAGCTAACGGCGGTCTGAGCCTTTTAGGCGGCGGAAGCCTCTCCTCTAAGGAGGCCAGCCGAGTGCTGACCATCTCCCCTATGGAAATCATAAGGGAGCGTTTCAGCTCCTCAACGGCCTCCAGCGGTAGTAATTGTGTGGTTGGAGGGGCCGCAGGGTGGGCTCTCTCCTCCATCGCTCTCCTCAGCGATTCCAGCTCCTTCCGCATGGTCGCCATTTCCGCCTTTATCTTTAAATTCTCCTCTCGGAGTCGGAGATTCACGTCTTCTACCTTTTTTAGCCTATCCGCCGCCTCTACTTTACGCAGGGCCGCCTCCAGGAATTTCTTCGTCTCGCGCGTCATCTGCATTTCGTCACCATCACGTGCTTCACCTCTCGCCTTCCAGTCCAGGTAAGCCAGGCGCGTGAAGATCGCGGACCTGAACTCATCTGCCGTGAAGGTATCTGGCTCCTTGGGAGGAGGAAAAGTGAAGGTGGAAGTCTCCCCTGCCTTGTCCTCCATAGGGGGAACCGGGGAAGCTCTGCGCTTACCCTTTCCCCTGCGTACAGTATTCACCTTGGGGGGCATCGGTGTTAGGCCCCCCCCATCCTCCTTGTCCCCGCCGCCTCTCAGTCGCAGGACAACTTCTCCTTCAGACGCCTCGGTAACCAATTTACCACTGCGGGACCCGGTAATCCCGCAGCGCCGGTGGCCAGCCGGGGCGCATAGGCCGCTAGTAGTCAATTTCACACTCTTAGGCCCAGCTACCTCAGAGCGCCCGGTGTCAGCGGGAGAGCATGACAAACAATTCTCAATATCCGACATTACCATAGTTTTTTCCCTCTTCCGGGCGAGGGAACCCTACCTGGCCTCATCAAAATTGATTTTTGAAAAGGTTTTCTCCTTTTGACCCCCACCCCGAAAAGTGGCAGCCCCCGTTCCCGCACCGCGTGCATAGTTACGGGTCGGCCGGAGGTGGCACGGAGTTCGCGCCACAACCACCCTCACCAGAACAGGCGTTACCGCCCCTCCAACAGTCTCGACCACCATTACCCAGGCTCCCCGGGACGCCAGCCGAGACTCACCAAGGTAAACTTTTATAGAGGTTTACTTCCTCGCAGCCCCCACCCTCCGAAGAAAGCGGCGGCCCTCGGCCCCGCACTACGTACAGGGTTACGAGCTCCTTCAGGCAGCGCACTGCCCTCCGACACCGGGGCCACTCTATGCCCCCCACCCAGGGTGATTTTTTTAGAGAGTTTTTCTTCCTCGCAGCCTGGGGGCTCGGGGTGGGCCCCGAAAGATGGCGGCCCTCGGCCTCGCACTACGTACGGGGTTACGAGATTGCCAGCTATCAGCCTACGCATGAGGTATCCGCAAGGATACCTCATACGTAGTTGCCCAGAGTGCACCGGACCAGCACATTTCCGTTCCCTAGGCCTAAGCCACAGGACAGGATATGCATCGACCACACGGGGAGGTTTCTGGCGAGGCACCCCATATCTTTTGACTACCTGGATATTTTCACGGTGTCAGATCTTTTGACTACCAGGATATTTTTTTACGGTGTCATAATAGAAAAGGCTAGTTTTTCATAGATCTATCAAATCACATTTGTTTCTTAGGTTTTCTCGCACATCACTCATTAAATAAAACTAGTTTTAACGGGTTAATGCACGAAACTTTATTTATTTATTGACGTTTCGCAGCCTTTTCAGGTCTGTTTAGTCAGAATACTATTTAATACATATTAATTACATTGTTGGCGGAGCTGGGTGTATTTTGCCCATTGTCCTTAGTTTTAAGTTTAGAGAATCATGCCAGAATCGTCACTCACTAGTGTCTGTGGCTGATGGTAAAGGTCTAACACAGCATGGTTAATGGTGTCGATTCTAGCGTGAGTCTCTAAACTTAAAACTAAATTTAACATCAGTCTCTCCTTTTCATTCTGTATAGAGAATGACAAGGATGCACTGTTGTCAAATTTAAGTTTAGCTTTAGAGAATCATGCCAGAATCGACATCAATGTTGTCATAAAACGTCTTCTCCGAGAACTTTATGCTCTATGTTCTACATTCCTTTTTTAAATAAATTGTAAAACAAAATACTCGTTTTATTCGGTTTCGCCTATCCTAATTTCTTCATTTTACACAAAAAAAAGTACGTAGATCTATGAACTTTCATATGCAAATACTTATTTTACGTAATTTTCTCATCGGTTCAAAATCCGAGTTGGCAACACTGTTTGTCACTGTCACTCAGTGGAAATGTCAAAGTCAATCGTGTCAAAAAATTAGGGAAGAGGGTTGTCTTTTCCCAAAATTCTATTTTTATATTTATTATATTTATATTTACAGGGATATTAAAACATGTAAGTGATTTTTATACTCGTTCATGTGTTTTTTTATTCATCGTTTTGTGATAATTTTCGTTACGTGATCCTAACCTTGACTTCTAAAGGCCATTACTTATCTTTCTACCATGATTTATTCAGTGGAAATTTGCATAAAACGTAGTACTTTAGGCACCAATTTGACCGTTTATGATTTCCTTCACAGACATATTTATTGTCTAATGGGTCAGCTGTATCAATTCTAATTCCATTTCACGTGATCACATTATTCACAGAACACAATGAGTGCCTTGGCGCAGAAACTTTTCAACCAGCTGAAAAGCAAAGAATTTAGACAGTATTTAATGAGGTAAGATACACCATATTTCTAGGTTATTTATAAAGTGAGGTTGTTAATTCAACTTTCATTCAAATAAGCAACGAAAATAAATATAAAAGTACTTAATTAAAATCATAACTTCACATGTTCATTGATCAGTTTTAATCATTATATTCCACTTAATTATTTTGTAATGTAGTTTTAATACCTATTTGTTTCATGAACACTAAAATAGGTCTGCAGTTTGTTGTATCATTTACATGAATATGACATATTGTACAAAAAAGTAATATTTACAACTACTTAAGCCATAACCTTCAATAATTTGTCAATTTCATGAAATACATGAAGTACATCTTATCTCTGTTCATGTCTATTGGTACTAAAAGTATTGGTACATAGCTTTTAATCATTATTATCTGTTTTCAGCACACATTTTTGGGGCCCTGTTGCAAATTGGGGAATCCCATTAGCAGCAATTGCTGACACAAGAAAAGATCCCAGTTTCATCAGTGGAAAAATGACATTTGGTAAGCACCAATAGTAAGTGGCCTGGGGTGCTAGATTTTAAAATACGCCACTGAACATACTTGTTTGGTAGTCATGACATTAGCAACCTCAAAATACTACATGTATTTTAAGGTTGTTAATGTAATGATTTATCACAACTTTATGGAGCTGATAACATCAAAATATATGTTTTTATAGCTGCAATTCAGAAGGATTACAAAGACATTCAGAACCCAAAGACATTTCAAAGATAACAGCCATTAACAGATAGCAGCAATGATATTGAAGTAATATAAATCACATCACATTTTTAGTTTTTATATTTATTCCAACAGTGGGTAGTAATTTTTTATCAAAATATGTGTTTGAGGAGCTTAATGGCGATCGTTGAAGTTAAGCAATTTTCGCAGTGGTCGGTCATTGGGTGGATGGCCACAATTTACTTATTATCTATTTAAATTAGGTATTTTATCCTAATAAATATAGAACTTTATTAATATCAGTTCAGTGCCCTTGTAGCCTTAATGTTAGTAGTTGTCATGTGATTGTGTATGTCTCTCTGTCATCACTTTCACTTTATGTCGGATAAAGTGTTAATTTGCACAACTGTATATTGATATATATATATAACACAACACTGTTGGGACATATTTTTCATGCACTTTTGTTAGGCGATTGGTGGGAGTATATTTGTTTTTATATGTTAGTGTAACTAAGACACAAAATTGATAGAGATCTTATCTTTTTACTTACAGCCCTCACACTCTACTCCTTAATGTTTATGAGGTTTGCATGGAAAGTGCAACCAAGGAATCTCCTGCTCTTTGCCTGCCACTTCACCAATGTAGGTGCTCAGCTGACACAGGGTACTCGCTTCCTCAACTATCACTATATACAGGGTGCTGATAAAAAAGAAAAACCTGCCCAAAATTAGGAAATTGGGACCAGCTAAGGTAGATAGAGCTTTTGCTCTACTGGACAACCATTGTGATATATTGTACGAAGAAATTGTGGTTGTACTTGAAAAAAGTTAATTTAGTATGGAAGATATTATAAAACTATTTTTTTAACGTATATAAATAATACAAAGAGCATTTGAAATGTAAAATGTTAGGCCTATGCCTGCAGTAAGTAATAATAGTGCTAATGACTGCCAATAAATTAGGCTGTAAAATGGCGTATTTAGGGCGTATCTCGGTAAAAATATATTAAGTGTTGCCAGTTAATGTTATTCAATACTATTTTACCTTAAAACATTTCATATATCATAGATAATGTACTAAATTTTATGACTATTAAATAGATTGTTATTGCAGATAAGACTGCTGTATTGTGTATCTAATACACAGTTATTACGAAATTGTTGACTTTATAGCTTGCGCATGCGAAAGACTTTTTTTTGTCTGCGGACTGTTTTGTCCGCCGAAATAGATAGCTTACAATTGCA